TTCATCAAGCCATAGAGAGAGAGAGAGAGTTTACAGTCAAAATTAAAAACCGTGTCAGAAGAGTTTTCCATCAGTCATTCAAAACCATTATTGACTAAAAGTAAAGTCGGCTGATGTCACAACACCTTGTCTATTTTCTGGTAATAGCAGTTCTAAATATATCCTCAGAATGGACAAGACAGATAAAGCAGAAACGTCAAATTCTTGTTCCATCCGAAGTTGATCTCAATAAAAGTGGCAAAATCCGTTTTATCATTTTAACGCCAATGCGTCAAATAGCCTCGAAATGAATAAATGTATGGAGATGTACACGTTTGATTGGAACAGCTTATTTTAAAACAACACAAGACATAAAAAGATACATAAAATCAATAATTTTTGATGTCAACTTCCTTATTTTGAGGTACACGACGAATACAGAATACAGAAGTTGACATCCATATGAATCCTTGATTTTATGTGTATCATTTCTGAATGTCATTCAAAGGCTTTGAAAAATTAACACTGACTGACTGACTGAGTTTGTTTTACGCCGCTTTTAGCAATATTCCAGCAACATCACGGCGGGGGACAACTGAAATGGGCTTCACACATTGTACCCATGTGGGGATTCGAATCCGGGTCTTCGGCTTGACGAGCCAACGCTTTAACCACTAGGCTACCCCACCGCCCCTGAAAAATTAACATTCATCTGAAACATTTAATGAACATTTAAAACCTTATTTTCTATGGTCTACGCGATTTACAGTTATTGAAATGACCACGATTCAGCCATGATTCGAGTATCCAACCCATATAGAGTTAATCAGTTGACTGTACTGTTCTGGACACAGCCAACTGCTTCACAACACAACCTTCAAGTGATGTGTGTATATTATTAACGACTTACACAAATTAGTTTGCTCTGTAATCGATTTGAGTTCTTTTCCACAATGACTAACATAGACTGAAGCCTTAAATACACTGTTTTCTTCAGGATGACATAAACGTGTATTTTTAACGTCACGTACATTATCAAAAAAGTCACGTTCTTGAGTTTTTACTTATGATGATGTCCCTGACTTAATTGCTCTGGGGGATTAAGGTCAGGAACGATGCTGTCCATTGCATTAACTTGGTGATGATGTGTCTGGTGTGATGGGGTATTAGGTCTTAGTTCCGAAATCGTACATCCATTGGCGGTCATTCTGCAAAGTTTATGTTTTGTCTTGATAGGCTTAAAGTGAGTGAGGGAGTATGGTTTAGGCCTTGTATAGCAGTATTCCAGCAATGTCATGGCGGGGAACACCAGAAATGGGCTTAACACATTGTACCCATGTAATGAATCGAACCCGGACCTTCGGCGTGACGAGCGGACGCTTTAACCACTAGGCTACCCCACCGCAGAGACAGGCTTATAGATACAGATCTTATTTAAACGGTGTAGATACCAACACATTTACCAAGCAAGTGGGTAAAACACTGATAGAAGCAAAGTTGTGTTTCTACGGTTAATGTACAGGCTGTAATGTTGTTTGAGGTTTACACAATAGATAAGGCTGATGTACAAGGTGTGACAAAAAGTAGGGATTGAGTTTGTATTAACTATAATTAAGTTATTGAAGAGGAAGAGCATGTTTTATAGCAGTGTCCCTTATTTGGCTAAATCAACCCCATTGTCTGCCATTGCTGGAAAAATCTAAAACCTTCTTATCAATTTCAGGAACAATCAAAGCATTACAAGCCCTTTGTGTATCAATGGTGATGATGTTGGAATTGTAAATGATTATAGATAACATGGCACAATTATAGATAGTAAATTGAATTAGAATGCTAATACACATGCTGTTTTCAAACAATGTCGTAATAGATTACATTTCCTGCGCAAGTTGAGATCATTTAACGTAAATGAGCGGGTTTACTCTCTGAACTGAACTGAACTGAACTTTTATTCACTCAGGCTGCAAACTGCAGCATAAGAGGTATATAAATGATATTTACATCTATATACAACATAAAAGTATATACAAACGGTATGATAGGTGCAATGTACATCGAGCTAGTTACATATTAAGTTATTGAAATTATTTCTTAAATAAAGCCATAATTATTTTACAAAAAATTGAAAGTTTTCTTAAAGTTCCTAGTTTCTTGGTGTTAAATGGGATATTCATTTTATACATATATGGTCTAATATAATAATACTTCTGGATATATTTTTCTCTTTCTAATTCTAATTTGGGACATATAAATAAATAATGAAATTCGTCACCAATATCATTTAGGTTACACATAGTACACCTCTATCATTTACTGGGATTCGTCGCCATCTACCTGTCTCGATTGGAAGAAAATGATTTGAAGTTCGAAATTTTAACAAGTTATTGTAATGCAGAAAATTTAGGTATGGTTCAAAGTTGAGAGATGGATTTTTGAAAATGCTATAAGTGGTTGCTTTGGAGGAGGTTTCAATTGTTGACATCCATGTTTGCTGATAAATATCTTTTAATTTACTTTTGATAACAGTTTTAAGCCAAAATATACTTTTATAATTTTAAGGATTTCCAGATAAAACTCAGTCCAAGATTGTCGAAAATTCTCTCAAGATAGATTCTCCATTTATGTTCACACTTGCCAAATATATAATCGTTGCATATTAATTTATATATTAAGAGGCATAATTTTGATGATTTTCCGCTTAAAAGTTTAGCCCAAAAACATACCATTCTGCTTTTGATAACATATACAAGTGGGAATCTACCAAACTCACCATGTAACATAAAGTTAGGTGTACTTTTCCTGAGTGATACTAAATATTTCAGAAAGCGTAGATGGACATTTTCAAAATACCAAAACCCCATTCCAAAGCAAGAAGCATTTTCAAAACCCCAGACCTCACATCCATATAAAAGAATTGGGGTGACCATACAATCAAACAATTTCAAATGACAATCAATGGAAAGTTTAAATTTTCTGCCTTGGCTTAATACAAAGAACATTGCTATTGTTGCCTTTTCCACCAGTATACGTTTGGTTTTAGTAAATTTACTATTCTTTTGTAGTGTAATGCCAAGATAGGGATAATAATCTACATTTTCCAGGATAGTATCTCCAATATTGAAACTTCTTTTATATTCTTTTGTGGATCCACCGAAAATAAGAAATCTGGATTTGGATGAGTAAATTTTAAGTTTCCATTTTTTACAATAATTATGAATAGAATGTAATATATTTTGCAGATCACAAGGGTCTGAGGACATAAGGACGGTATCATCAGAATATAGCAAGGCAAAAAGTGTACTGAGCGTATCTAAGCGGTTGTGGAAATCACCGGGTTTAAGTTGTAAACATGAATCTGAAGCTAAAGCACCTTCAAGATCATTAAGAAATAATGAAAACCAAACTGGAGACAAATTCTCTCCTTGGCGGACACCTTGTTTACATAAAAAGAAATTAGAATAACTACCGCCGTTACAAATACATGATTTTATATTTTGATACATGTTAATAATTACCTTAAAGCATTTAATTCCCAGATATGTTATTTTGTAAAAGTTTTTTCCAGAGCCCTGATCTCCAGACGGTATCAAATGCTTTTTGGAAATCGATAAATGCGCAATATAATTTGTTTTTGAGACATTTTAATAGTTCCGAAAGGTGAAATAAACTGAAAATATGGTCTGTTGCCGAATATCCTTTTCTGCAACCAGCCTGAGCTTCAGAACGAATTTGGTTTGATTAGATGAATTTATTTAATCGGCTGTTTAAAATAGATGTGACAAGTTTTCCAAAACAGCTTAGTAGTGTTATTGGTCTATAATTTTCAGGGGTTTTAGGATCGCCTTTATTTTTATAAATTAGTTTGATGATACCACTTATCTGGGAAGATACCAGTGTCAAGTACAATGTTAAAAAGTTTAACATAAATATCTATGAATATATCAATCGTAGTAGAGATATATGTGCCCACTTTTGGAAATGGGCAGTGTTAAAACAACAGAGGGATTAGGGTATATGTCTGTATCAGGCTAGTGGGCAGTAGTATATAGTATAGTCTACTCTCCTGATCTGCGCCAAGAGAATTTTTTATTATATTATCGTTATCATGCTTATATGTATTTCTTATGCAACCATATGTCAACGCCCATTGATGATCGCCACATCCGGACAATTCATCTGAGAAATCGTTTTGTAACGGCGACGTCAACGGCAGCGACGGCACCGTATCAGGCGACTAAGAGAAGATGGTATTTGAGCAGGTCGACCATACCACGGAGTACATCTGACTCTTCAAAACCGACGTCGCGATTGACATGGGCCAGGTGAGTTCGACGTTGGCAGATGCGTGATTGGCTAAGTGTGATGTTCACCGACGTGAGTAGCGTTTACTTGTACAGTAATGACGGCTGGGCTCATGTTTGACAAAACAATATAATGACACTCTTCTTCATATTCTGGGCTTTCGTGCTCCAATCAAAACTAGAACTTTCATTCAAAAGCCAGGACGCCCACGGTACAACCACATTGTACACCAGGCAAAGACGTCGGGCTGAACGAACGTGGCGAAAGTCAAAACTGGAGTTGACCGTCAAATATACAATTCTGTGAGGAGTAAGTGTCGTAAACACATTCAAGGAAGCAAGCGTGCATACTGCAGACAACAGATTGTTGATCTCTCTGACAAACCACGAAGAAGTCCACTCTATCTTGTGGTGACCCGTGAAGAATATTGATCTTCAGTAACCTATGCTTGTCATAAGAGGCGACTAACGGGATCGTGTAGTCAGACTCGCTGACTTGGTTGACACATGTCATCGGTTCCCACTTGCGCAGGTCGATGCTCATGCTGTTGATCACTGGATTGTCTGGTCCAGACTCGATTATTTACAGACCGTCGCCATATGGGTGGAATATTGGTGAGTGCGGCGTAAAACTAAACTCTCTCACTCACTATCTTGTGGTGTTCCTCAAGGCTCCGTAATGGGATCTGTCCTCTTCCTCCTGTACATGAATCAACTTACTGGCATCATCAACTCCTTTAATACCTTCCATTTCTCCTATGCTGACGATAATCAGCTTGTCATTGCCTTCACCCCAGATGCAATGGCAGCTACCTTCAAGAACACTGAAAACAGCAGAGCCAAGATAAGAGCATGGATGACACAGTTTTAAAACTGAATGATGATAAAACCGAAGTAGTACCTATTGGCAAATCACAACACCTGAAGATTATCACAAGTGAAAACATAACAAAAAGTTCCTCACAGGTTGCTTTTTCTCCTTGGCGAAGGGTTTTGGCGTATGGCTAGAGTCTGATCTCTTCATGGATGTACATATCGACAGACTGTGTAAAACCTGCTATTTCCATTTGCTCAGGATTGGGAACATCCGGAGTACATCACAAAAAGAAAGTGCGAAGACTAATCAGATGTCTAATTTCATCAAAACCATTATTGCAACGGACTGTCTGTAGGTCTTAACAGGGTTCAGCTTAAAAGACTGCAGAAAATACAGAATACGGCTGTCCGCATCATTTCGTTACAGTCAAAATCATGTCACATTACTCCAGTCCTCAAATCACTTCATTGGTTCCCCATGCCACCACAACCAAGTCCTATCCTACCTCACAGACTTGATTACTGTGAACACACCAGCCTGAACTCTTCGATCTCAGAATCAGCTACTACTTACTTTCCGACTCTCCTCATTTGGTAAACGATCGTTCTTTCATGCAGCCCCAAGACTATGGAATTCACTGCCAGTCCACATCAAAGACTCTGATTCTCCGACAGCTTTCAAATCACAACTGAAGACTTATCTTTTCTCCTCTGTATATAACTGACTCTCTCCCTCTTTCCCCTGTGGTTTGAGCATGCACCAGTGTGTGGATTATAGCGCATAACAAATAGCCATTATTATTTTGTTTACAGACGAGTAGGTGAACGTTTAGCGCCGAATTGCGTTCAGCACGTCCAACCGTTTGGGGGGCGGTGGGGTAGCCTAGTGGTTAAAGCGTTGACTCGTCACGCCGAAGACCCGGGTTCGAATCCCCACATGGGTACAATGTGTGAAGCCCATTTCTGGTGTCCCCCGCCGTGATGTTGCTGGAATATTGCTAAAAGCGGCGTAAAACTAAACTCAGTCAGTCAGTCAGTCCGACCGTTTGGAACCGGTTGCGTAATAGTTTGGCTAGATATCTGCGGCGATCTCAAAACGAGACTTGTGATTATTCATGGCAACATGAAGCCACAGGGATGACACGTTGTGACCTGTCGTGTTGCCATTTATCCAGCAACAACCACGTGGCATTGTCTACCAACACGATAACGCAAGGCCTCATACGGCAAGACTGACAAACGACTTTCTGCATAACACTAACATCGTTGTTTTTCCGCGACCAGCATGGTCTCCCGACATGAATCAGATAGAACATTTATGGGACCACCTGGATCGACAACAATGTCTCCTACAGGAATGGCAACGAATCACGCCTAATGCCATTCGTCGTCTTACGCCATCAATGCGTTGACGTGTTTTGGCGTGTATTGAAGCCAATGGTGGTCACACTCACTATTGATTCAACATTTGATGACATTTTGCAGAAAAAACGCCTTGTTGATTTGTGTAAAAGTTCAGACTATGATACCACGTGTCTTTCAGAGTCAGTCTAATGGTACTTTCGACTTTGTATGAAATTGTGTACATTTGCTGTAGAATTGAATACCCTATTGAAATTATACAGATGTTCATTTAAATATGCTTTTGTTTTCTTTTCAAGTTTGGTATACAGCACACACTGTATACTTTAACGTTTTGAGAAACATTAGTTTGCCAACGCTTTAACCACTAGGCTACCCCACCGCCCCTAGGCAACAATATAAAGACGTAGGCCTACATTTACTTCGTTTTCTTTCAATCCTAACATTTTTTACCACTGTCAGATGTTAAGTTAAACTTCAAAATGTTTTCATTTGGGGTGGTCAGGCTCGCCGACTTGGTTAACACATGTCATCGTATCCCAGTTGCGTAGATTGATGCTCATGCTGCTGATCAATGGATCGTCTGGTCAAGATCGACTCGATTATTTATAGACCGCCTCCATATAACTGGAATATTGCTGAGTGCGGCGTTCAACAACAAACCGACAAACCATAGAAATGGTAATGATAAAAGTGAAGAATACTTCTAAAACTTTTACAAAATCGTTTGGTACAAATTCCCTGATACCGTAAAATATCAAAAGCACATGAGAGAATTTAGTTCAGTGAAGCTACACAGATAAGCCGAAGTGCGAACGGTGGGATCCGAACCCTCTTCGTTCATCGTGTGTTGTCAACAGCTAAATTTCCAGCATTGTGTCATGGTTTCATCACCAGGACCGAATTGCGATACACAAAACGAACTGCTGCGATAAAAATAAAGACCACTCGACGTACAGAACGCGTAAAATGTGCGTTTTATCCTTGCAATTCATCACCATACCAGTTATCCCCCTTTGTTGATAAATCGGATTCCCAGCGTTGATCGTTTCAAAAGGCACTTCTAAGGGATAATTGTTTAACGAGTATTGTTTATATTCTCAGGCGATACTTCATTATATTTCTCAGTACACTAATATACAATATGTAGATACAATACTGTCGTTTATGTTTATCATAAAATGCTTCGTTACAATGAATTTTGTTTGGTGTAAAATGTTATCCGTTAATGTATTTTCGTGACGTCAGAGTCTCGTTGTAGCCGCCATCTTGGGTCATTTCTTGCAGCCAGACTGGGTATTTTCAGATTAGAGAAACTGGGTCTTGGAAAGAAAATGGGACGATCCCGAACTAGGAGCAGGTCACCAACCAGACACAGGCATAGAGTAAAACACAAGAAACATAGATCAAGATCCCGTTCAAGATCTGTTTCTAGAAATCGACGTGAAGGCAGCAGACGAATACGATCCCGTTCACGGGATAGAAAGCGAACTGCAAGGTACTCGCTACAATAAATCTTGAACAGTTTACCAGAACTGTTTCGTCAGTTTAAAGCCCAATAATCATGCAAAAATCTGCTGTCAGTACATTTGCTTACCGAAAAACGTGCAGATTTATGTGTAAAGCAAATGCATCGATAATATTGAAACCTGACGGAATAAAAAAGTGCATGGATTCAGGAAGGTTCATTAGCTCTGTCCGCCCTTGTTATCTTACCTTCAAATGTCATTAATGTTGGCGACAATTGTCCCTAGATACATGAAACAGTTATGTCACTTTAGTCACCATTTCTTTTGCAAATAGTCACAGAAAAATACTACGGTACAATTGAAGACTCTCAGAGCATCAAAACATTTCAAGATAGCACGTACAGAATAATTCAAGGCGAATCTAAAACTCTGAGATTAATCCTTGTTTAAACTACCTAAGATAGGTGACAGTTTATAGTTGATTTTGTTACTAGCCATTACTATCCAACTCTCCACCATTTGGGTCCACACTAGGCCTGTACTTGTCATTTTGGCGACCAGGATTATTATTATTACTCAATGTTAACTGGTTATGCTTGATAATGAGTGAGTGAGTTAAGTTTTACGCCACACTCAGCAATATTCCAGCTGTATGGCTGCAGACTGTAAATAATTGATCCAGTGATCAACAGCATGAGCATTGATCTACACAATTGGACACGATGTGTCAGCCAAGTCAGCAAGCCTGACCACCCGATCCTGTTAGTTGTCTTTTTGACAAACATGTGTCACTGAAGATCAATTCTATCCCAGATCTTCACGGGTTGTTATGGTTGACAAGAATTCCTAACTAGTTCAGTAAAATTGCAAACTGATGATTGGTAACCTAGTTTAACTTTTTAAATAATCAATTTAAGTTATGTTAATGAAACAATAAATATTGAGATAGGCTGGCCATTGATAGATGTCGATTATCGTTAACTATATATTGAAAAGTTATAGATACATTTGGCAGATGTAACTTTGAGCTAAAAAGTAAAAAAGAAATCAAAATATTTTATGTCACTGGTAAGAGGAAACACATTTATGGATGGATTACTTATAAAACACTGCCCTGAACATAATTTAGAAGCAGCTGATAAATATAGGCATAACTTTTTGTGTGTATTTTTGTCTAAAGTTTATTTCTTCACTGTAGTTTTGGCTCAATATTATCGATGACACAGTTCGATGGTCATTAATAATTCTTCCATTAACGATATTTCCGATATCATATCAGCCAGCTCTAATGTTAATGTCACAATCTTACATGTTCTGTATGAAAAAGTATCCTGAATCCCCACTCAATTTACCTCATATATCAGACAAATTTGTTGCTAGACATTAGTGGTGGTCCGATTAATTGAAATAATCGAAGATTGGTCGCAGTGACTAAACGACCAAGCAATCGAACATGTTTTTTCGTAATCGAACACAACCAATCTTGGAACACTTGTTTGCATTAACAATATTTTTCACAAGGCTGGTTTTGTCTGTGTCATTAAATTTACATTTCATAAGCACTACAAGCTCATTCCAAGTCATCACTGAATTTATCTTAAAGAATCCAGGAAATATGTGTTCCTAAGATACTAATCTTCATTTAAATATGCGAAATTTGCAAAAAACAAACAAATTACTACATGTTTTTGCTTTATTATTTTTTTGTGCATTAACAAAAATAACAGGGACATTTAATAAATGACGCTGACCAATAATTATCGATGATTGATCGGTTGTAATGGACCAATCATCAATTATTAGATTTTAACCAATTCCCAACACTACTAGACATTACTGATATATGACATTTTACAACCAAGTCACTTATACTAATCAAAAAAACATAACCTTATCCAACTACGTAAATTGTGGGGTCAGATTAAGTACATGTAACTGTAAGCATATCGTGAAGATACAGAATAGAATTGGTCTTCAATTACCTATGCTTGTTGTAAAAGCAGTATGCAAAATTTACGCTGGTCCTGTGGTCCCTGGCTAGTAAATATTCATCAGGACCACTAAATGATAAGTTTACAGTGGGTCCTGGTGGCCAGTCAATTTTGTATCGACAGGACCACTTATTATTGTCCACTCACTGGTCCTGTGGTCTAGTGGGAAATTTTGAAAGAATTCTTTCCCTGAAAAGGCAACTTACGCGATTGCGGGGTCAGACTCGCTGACTTGATTGACACTAGTCATCACATCCCAGTTGCGTAGATCGATGCTCATGCTGTTAATCACTGGATTGTCTGGTCCAGACTCGATTATTTACAGGCCACCGCCATATAGCTAGAATATTGCCGAGTGTAGCGTTAAACAACAAACTAACCAACAACATGTAAGCTAACAGTGTGTCTTCTTTGTAAAATCTCCATATCTGTTGTCCCAGTTATGAAATTCCTGGAATAATGCTTTAAAAAAAAGTAAAAACATGCCCAACTCATTTTTTAAATAGAATCAAGTCCTACTAACATGCAAGTTTTCAGGAATGAGAATTTTCCGCAAGTTTGATAGCGCTGGGGTCATTCTTGTGAATCATCTAAATCTGTGGAGAAAGACCCCTGGTTCATTTTCGTTTTTTTTTCACCCATACCATTTCTCACCCCTCAGTTTTCAATCGACCCAGGAAGGTCCGGGTTAGAATTGATCTTCAGTAACCCATGCTTGTCATAAGAGGCGACTAACGGTCAATCAGTCAAATGAGAATAATGATAGAGGGATAACATTCATTCTTTATGGATAAGTACCGGCCTTCCAAGTGAGGCACACATTTTTTAATCACAGTCATCATTTATTTTTGCAAACGTTTTTCATCAATCTGATTATATGTAGGTCATAGTGAAACAGGAAGTTGCGCATTAATGTAAGTCACTGGGTCAGGAATCATTGTGGACCAAATAGTTCTGTTTGGACAAGTGTTTCATGTTTGTGGTACCATGTTGTACAGAACACTTTAGCAGTGTTGAATATTGCCATATAATGAAAATTGTTAAATTGATATAAAACATTTTGTAACCATGATATTCCCCAGTCATAACAAGTGCCACTTTAAAGTAAGTTAATCCCTTTAATATCTGGGGTCACGACCCGTGAGGATCCCGGTTAGAATTGATCTTCAGCAACCCATGCTTGTCATAAGAGGCTACTAACGGGATCGGGTGGTCAGACTTGCTGACTTGGTCGACACGTCATCGTATCCCAAGTGTATAGATCGATACTCATGCTGTTGATCACTGGGTTGTCTGGTCCATACTCGATTATTCACAGACTGCCACCATATAGCTGGAATATTGCTGAGTGAAGCGTTAAGCAACAACCAAACCAAACGAAATGAATACCTGGGTTAGAATTGGTCTTCAGGAATCCTTGCTTGTTATAAGAGAACAAGCAGGAGTGGGTGGCCAGGGTCTCTGACTTGGTTGATGGGAGTCATCATGTTCCCATTGTGTGGATCAATGTCCATTATGTTGCTGACTGGATTGTCTGGTCCAGATTCAAGTATTTAAAGAGTGCTGGGTCAAGCAACAATTTTCAGTGCTTGTTTTTGTTTTTCTAATGTACGCTTTTGGTATCTATCAAATTCATACTATCCCTGCAATGCCATGATTTTAAGCATGTGCAACTTATATCTGTGTTTGAACTATTGCAAGAACATGTTTCTTACAGTACCTCATATGCAGGTGTCATGTTTGTGTATAGAAAGACTTTAAACATGTTTAAATACTTTCTGTAGACACTAGTTATGCACAGGTATTACTGCAATATGCTTTTGTATAATACTTGCTTTGTAGTGGTGTTATTACTTTTAATAGTAATTCACAGTCATCTATGTTCATCTGCAGCCATTTTTGCCAACTCATGCAAACGTGGACCTGTGAAGATCCGCTCGTCGGGACCCGCTAATCCCCAATGGGTACAATGTGTGAAGCCCATTTCTGGTGTCACCAATGTTGCTGGAATATTGCTAAAAGCGTGCGAAAGGCAAACTCAGACAGTCAGTCATGGTCAGCGGCTCGATGAGATCCGGTAGACAAGATCTTCAGCAACCCATGCTTCCCAATTGCGGTGATCGATGCTTGTCGTGCTGTTGATCAATGGGTGGTCAGGTCCGATGACTTGGTTTACATTTGGTTCCCGCCATATAGATCGATGCTCGTGCTGTATCACTGATTGTCTGGTCCAGACTTCGAAATTTACAACTCATATAGCTGGAATATTGCTCACTCAACTCACTCATGCGAACGTTTCTGCCACTGTTTGGCTCTGTTCATTTTCATTATTTTTAGTGTGACTACTTTAGTCATAAATCATTTTGTGTTTTCTCGTTGACCCCACCATCCCCAATGAAAAATATATTTAAACCTGTTTAAGTCATCTTGCTCAGACACTTGAGGGAAGAGGTCCTTACAACATTAATAGATGTATTTACATCCCTTTAAAAGTATCTTTAAGGCCAGCAGCACAGAAACTTTCTGTTTATAACTTCCACAGAAGGTTGTCAACTGTTTCATTATTAGTAGGAATATTCAAGATATGAAAACTTAGTTTTGGGCTCTTAATTATCCTGCATGAGTAATGAAAATGATCAGAGGTGAGTTGATGTGACGGAAATATTTCCTCTTCAGTAGAATGAGCATTTTTCATATTTCTGACCTTGCCCAATGGTCCGAACAGCTAATGTTCAAGTGAGCTAAGGGGCAGTGGGGTAGCCTAGTGGTTACAGCGTTCGCTTCTCACGCCAAAGACCCAAGTTCGATTCCCCACATGGGTACAATGTGTGAAGCCCATTTCTGGTGTCCCCTGCCAGTGAAGTGAGTTTATGGTTCAGCATTTTGTCCGTTGTTGGCATGTAGGGCTGGCTAAAAAGATCAATAATCAGAAATATCGTCGGTATGAAAAAATAATATTTCAGTATGAAAAATTGTGTTATCGATAACATTGTACAGAAACTTTTGTGATCGAATAAAGATCTAATTTGCCCACAAAATACACAGAGCTAGTACTGTATTCATGGTCTGCTTCCAAATTATGTTCAGGACGCTGTTTTGTTACTAATTCAAACATATCATCCTTCACCAGTGAAGTTGCTTCTCTGATATTTATCAATAATTGACCGATATTGAGTAAACGATTATCGATCTCTGATCTATATAGATAGCCAGTCCTATTGGCATGCAAAGCACTGTAATGATGCTGAGATTTGTGTAACATTCAAATGAATATGACTGGAGTCTTTTTTTGTATTGCCATTTAAAAATATTCATGACCTTCCTCAAAAATAGCAAGACAAAGCAGGAAATCGGGCTAACTTAGGGCAAATATGTGGCTGAGAATTGTTCGTGGCATGAAAATGAAAAATTCAGTTTAAAGGCACAATTTTACACCACACTTCTCTACGAATACTAATGCATTTCTCTCAATAATGCTAACTATCAGCCCTCAGGGAAGCTACCATATTATTTATTCCATTAAAAAAATATGTATTTAGATTACAATATTAAATCTAAAAGTTTGAATCAATTAATGCAACTTTGCATTAAATCGACTCTCACGCCCTCAACTCAATAGAGTTAATCTCTTGGAGCGCTCTTTACGAAAATATCCTATGCACAACTTGTGATTGAAACCAGTTAGGCAAACACCAACAACACTGTGGATGACAGTTTTCGATGTACTGAACAATCATTTACATTCCACATGGCAAGTCTTCCCTGTTTGGAAACTTTTCACCTCGAAGTTTCAATTATACTGGCAAGTCGTAAGGGATAGCTAGTCGTTTATTGCATCAGTAAGAAGCTAAAGGGAGTGTATATGCCCCAATATATAAAATATCGGCCAAAATATTGTGGAAATGTGTGACATTGTGCCTTTAAGACATATACAACCATCTGATCAAGTATTTTCTTCTCAGAAACCACAAGGCCCAGAGAGCTGACAATACAGTAAGGTATGTAGCACTACAATGAGACTCCCATTTACAGACCGTTTGATTTCATCTGAGACCGATGAATTGCTCACGAACATAAAATCCAGGGATACCAACCACTACGATTTTGGCGGAGTTACTACGATTTTCAAATACAAATCTGCTTTCCGATTTCTCTTCAAAAACTTCTGAATTTATTTTTACGGTATACAAATTTGTAAGTCACTGGTGTTTTATTTGAGTGAACACTGGTAAAAGCATTCAGAAGCTTAGTGTTTGATCCTTTGGGTGTCGCTTGTGTATATGCATGTTAAAATATTGACGATGAAGTTTCACAAAGTTTTTCCGAATGCATATCATAGTCCGTATGAAAGTGAAACGAAATGGCAGAGCCGACCACACGCTCACCCCCAACTCACACCTTTGGTGCTCAGGCCTGGCTTTCTGCCAGTCATGAGTCCATTTTCCTTAGATTCAGGGTTGGCATCTCTGAAAATCTAATAATTGCAACAACAAAAATTTTGCACAGTCACGAAGGGGGACCACTTGCTGGAAGAACAGCCAGGTAATCAACAAGTGGTCCTCCCTCGTAAGAAACAGCGAAAAGTGACAACAAAATTATGAGACAAATCATCAGAATCGGTCTGTCGATTTCATGTGACTGTTTGATTTTGTTGCAATTATTAGATTTTGTGTTAGTGAGCAATTCATCGGTCTCAAATGAAATCAAACAGACTATTCTCATGGATCTATATTCCAAAATTGAAAAAGAAATAATGCTGAAACTAACCTTTTTATTATTTCTAAAGTACAAATTGTTGATAATCATGATATTCAACATACTGAATTTCTGCTTTCATTTTGGGCATTATCACAAGGTTGCTGTTCCCAAGCAGCCACCATTACCCATGTTTTTTCATCTCCATTCTATTTTGATAAATAACATTTGCCACCAATGATTCATTTTACTACAATGATGTCATCACAATTATTCTCATTTTAATCATTATAATGTTTATTGGATGGTTTTTCTGGCATTATGGAATCAAATATGAAGGGGGGAGAGTATAAATGAAATGGAGAATTCTAGTATGCCATCCAACTTACCTGGAGATCTTACAAAATGGTCCATAGATGACTATTTTCCAAATTTGCCTAACAGATAACATAAGTGCCATGCTGTCTTCGAACATACATTAATATTCGCTTGATAGGGGTGGTGGGGTAGCCTATTGGTTAACGTGGTTAAAGTGCCGGATCGTCAGAGACCCAGGTTTGATTCCCCACACATGTACAATGTGTGAAGCCCATTTCTGGTGTCCCCCCGCTGTGAGATTGCTGGAATATTGCTAAAAGCAGCATAAAATTAAACTCACTCACTCACTATTCAGCTGATAATGTTAACATTTTTCAAGACGCTCATAATGCTCTTCACTGTGACTTGAAGGCTGCAATTTATGTATAAAACTTTCGGCTCACTTGAAATGTACCAGCTGAGCAACAGTGCCATGTCCATTGTTCTTTGGCCACTTTGAAAATAGGGACCGAGAGAGAGAGAGATTTTTACGGAGAAGCATGTACAATGCCAAATTTCTCTTTTCTTCCCCAAAAAAATAAAAACCCAACTTGTCAAGGTTAATGACCACCCCACCCTATGATTTTTAAGCATAATTTTACAATTGTATACAATTTTAATATTTTACAAAACTGCTGACACCCTTCCCCTCCTCCCTCCCTCCCCTCACAAACACACATGTACATGTGTACAAAACTGTTGACCCCAAAACAAAATGGATGACCCCACCCCCCAAGTTAAAATCGACATAAATATCGACCGATAACTCAATATAGTAGGTCATATTTCCCTACAAGGAGTCGTAATGAAATGCTAATTGTAATTTGAGAACCTTTGCAGCTTTGGATTTGTTTGTGGTATTTATTTCATCATCTGTTATTGACTCTGGGTAATTGACTTATTTTAGCAGACGAAGTATTGGCCATTAGTATTATTGTTGCTGTATTACGACTGCGTAATTTTAGTACATTTGTGTTACTGTAATTAAAGCTATGAGGAATGGTTCAGTGTGAAATGTGGTGTTTGTGATATTTTTCCCCACAATCTCTGTTTGCATTGGTAGTGATCTGAACCAGTGAGATACAGTGTAAGATGTTGTTATCATCTTTGGATTATTTCTCTTTTCAGAAAGCGATCGTATTCCTCCAGTAGTTCAAGTAGTGACGAAGATCTCATCATGCGGGCTAAACGTCGAGAGGAAGAAGAGAAAAAGGCAGAATTAGAACGACAGAGACTCCAGTAAGTGGCCTCTACAAATATTATCTCGATCAGCAGTCTCGATTTAGCTAGATTTAGTCCAAAACTTGAGTCTAGTAAAATTCTGTTTGGTATTGTGAGCTTAGAAATATTCCATATAATAACTCGGATACTGAGAGACAAGAATACATGTCACGTTTTTATTGATAACAACTTCTTTTTATTCCGTAAGAACGTGTCATTTATTCATGTTCGTACTTCTAAATGCTTTTCGGTCGGTGGGGTAGCCTAGTCATTAAAGCGTTCGCTCGTCACACCGAAGACTCGGGTTTGATTCCCCGGATGGGTACAATGTGTGAAGCCCATTTCTGGTGTCCCCCGCCGTGATATTGCTGGAATATTGCTAAAAGCGGCGTAAAACCATACTCACTCACTGTAAATGCTTTTCAAGAACTGAGAGTCAAATTGGGGGCTAGTGGACTGAAAAGGTTATTGTTGTGGCACAAGTCCTGGCCCATGAGCTGTACATAACACTGTTATTTTTATCTTTTTTTGTGAGTTAACATTCGAAATTAACATCGTTCCTTAGGCCCGAAGCCGACTGAAAACCACTTGGACCCACAACTTTTGTTTTCTGAAGGTCCTTATGGCCGACAGCTTTTGCATCCCCTCTAACTAAGAGTATTATTTCCATATTAATATGGGGCAAACTCTGCTGTGAGTTACACAGGTATTGAGGCTGGTCCAATCCTGCTGTATTCCACAGACCCGTTAAGGTCCGGGTTAGAATTGGTCATCAGCAAACCATGTTTGTTATAAGAGGTGATTAATGGGATCAAGTGATCAGGCTCATTTACTTGGTATCCCAAGTCTGTAGATGTGCTCTTGTTGTTTATCACTGGAATGTCTGGCCCCGAGGCCATGAAAGTGACTCAAGTCTAAAAATTGCTTAAATCTGTCATTTTGATCTTAAGTCCCAAAAATTGTCTTAAATCGGGGATCACGTGCATTTTTTAGTCTTAAAAGTTAAGACTGAGATCATTTTCATACGGTTTGAAAAGTGAACGTTGTGCGAGATTTGCGCTTGCTTGGTCCTGGATCTGCGTACGGCTATAAAATTACACAGAAATGTAGAATATTAAATTTCCTATCCGTCGGTATAAATAGAAATGCAAATACCTCGGCTGTTTGAGAACTAGACACTGCTAAGTGATGTCCCAAATTTTATTATGCATTACAAAACAGTAAATTTCTCTGCTTTTGATCGTGCACCGATAAGAGCACTGTGCTATGTTTTTTTTAAATTTGGCATCTTTACGGAATGTGTCAGCGAAGAAAATACAGCCTGATATCTGAACGACATAAGTATATATGAAATGGGTTTATTTGCTTATACATAACGTTATACGCTCAACATTAAAAATGACTCGCAATAAATGTCGAAAATGGATTTTCTTGTATGATGTCAAACAATGACCAAGAGGTCATGCAGGTATAAAGATAAGGGGTATAACTCTGCTATGCTTAACACTAGGTTAATGTAACTCAGATCACTTGGAGAGAATTTGTTGTGGATACAGATGCTATATTTTCCTTATGTTTTGTTCACCGTGAACCAAACTATTCCAGTAAAAAGTTCCCCAATGTGAGAGGATACGTTTTGGTAGTTTCACAATTTATAAAAAAAATGACAATGTACTACATGAGAAAGCACGTAAAAGTGATTTGGATGACCCTATCTGATATGTAAATTAGTTCTTAGATTCACATATTCTCCTGTTTGTGTAGATGTATTTTGACTAATTTTGCATCATTATTAACCGAGTACTAGACATATCTTCAAATGTAATGAAATTACTGAAAAGATTACAACATTGTAGTTGACGTCATTGCTTGTTGTATGTATTTTGCGAAGTCGGTAAAATACGACATTGGAATGCTGATTAGGATATATTTCACCTAATTTCCATAAATTGTATAAAAGGTTTCGGTTTCTATGTAAGAATTTAACACTTTCAACAGAACTTAAAATGACTGATTTTACCATTTAAATAATGTCCTGAATAGATCCATAATTAGATGGTTTGATAGGAACTAAAGTAGATCTACATGTTGCAGTTACGCCCACTGTTCTTCTAATACATGTTTAAGGGTTTAAAATATGGTGTACTACACTCAGTATGTCAATTTCTTATGTAAGTATTATTCAAACAAACAAAAACCTTCAAAGAATAAAAACCGTACATACCCTATATCCACAGATATGATATAGAACAAGGCTAAATGTAGATAATGAAATTAGTTTCATGAAAAAATATCTGAACGATACACAAAATATACATTGTAACACTGAAAGTGTTATCGGTGGGACATTGCGATTGTGTTTACTCTTATTCAACAATGTTAACGTATATGACATCACTGCCGTTGACCGATTTCTTACAAAATTGCGGCTTCACTTGACATGGGTACACAGGATTTTGCGAGGACCCTTCCCTTGATTCGGGGATCGTTTGTACATAAATGTGTCATGTAAGTAATCAGAATGATTCTGACTATCTGTGTATTGTTATATGTTTTATCGTTTTCATTGTAAGAGAAGAAGCCAGATATTCCAATCATTACCGTTGTTCTGCGAGATTTTCACGCTGCTCAGAAACTTTGATAATTTGGTATAAACATACCACGTTACTGTATTGTAACTATTTTTAATTTGCTTTTTCTTGCTAGAATACTATTTCCATGTATGTCCTAAAAGTATTGAGCCTATGCATGCTACGAATAGACGAAAGGGTGTCTGAAATTTGAGAGAATACTAAACTGTGTAAAGTCTGAATTTTGCTTTTTTTACATTTCAACAAGTGCTGTCTTTCGCGCACAGCGTTCGTTTTTCATGCCCAATATCTTTCGTTTCATATCACCTAGACACTTGGTTTTAGTCACAAAGACCATTTCTTATTTGATACTAAAATGTATGAGGAATTCAGTGATGCATTTGTAGCAGCTGAATATGAAATATACGTTATGTAGTAGGCGTCTCAACACCGGTCTTTGTGAAACATGATTTTGTAAACACTGTGAAATGCAATATGGCAGAGAGTGCACTTAGGCTTTCCTGTTAGTGTATTTTCGAAAACATTCCAACCGTAAAGACACTAAAATTCACCGTGGCAGGGATAAAAGCGTAAGTTGACTTGTTTGGAACATTTCAGCAGGTGCCTGATACTAAACTATTCTCCTCAATTAATTAAGAGTGACCGGACATGATTACATCATTCTAAAATTGCCATGGTAACTGTCTTAGTCTTAGTCTTAGCTAAGATTTTGCTGAGATAGTTTCAAGATCCAGTCTTATCTAAAGTCTTAGCTAAGCAAATGTTTTTAGACTTAAGATTTTTTTGTGCTAAGCAAATTGTAGACTTAAGATGTTTTCATGATCCCGGGGCCTGGTCCAGACTGGATTGTTTAAGACCGCTGTCATACAGCTAAAATATGGCTGAATGCAGCGTTTAACCTCAAACAAACTCGTGTGGAGCCAAGAAATAAAAATAAGCTCACTTTTTGTGATCCTTTTGCACTGGTTAGACTTGTGTTGGTCATTTTCATGACAAACTTCAACAGCTAGAAAAGCTTATTGACATAAACCATAACATGTTGACATGAACCAAGGCTCACTAGTGTAAACATACAGACATGCATTTTTTAATAGCAATAATATGCAAGTCGACTTCAAAAGGTAATAAATATCTGTTGACATGTTTTAAACCAATTTTGATGCACATGTTATTATATTGTGGTGATTTTCACAAAAGATGGCAAATAAATGCATTTTTGCACAAAAGATAGATGTTGCAATATCTACACCAATCAGCAGGGCACTATTACATGACATGCAGCTGTATGTAAAAATCTGGTATTCATTCCTTATACTGTGTGTGACCGCCTCCATGGTGTAGTGGTTAGAGCGTCCACCCGGAGAGCGGAAGGTTGCGGGTTCAATCCCCAACCGCGTCATACTAAAAGACGTTAAAATATGGTACTTGTTGGTCCCTGCCTGGCTCTCGGCATTAATGGGTACAACAAGGACTGGTCGGCTTGGAGTCAGTATAATGTGTCTGAGTGGGGTATTCATGCTTCTCTGCAGCGTGGTATATCAGTGGGCTAGCACTATAAAACCAGCTTCAGTCTGTGCTAGTACAAGCAGCCGCACATACACATATGAGCAAAATATTCTCAAGCACGACGTTAAGCCCAATTTCACCTCACCTCACCTCACTTCCTTATACTGTGAGTAACACTGGTATTCTTTTATGGCGTCGTACATAACAGTAACACTGGTATCAGTGTTTCATATGGACATCACCCCTTAGGCCCCAAACCGACAGCTTGGTTTGTGGGTTTATTGTTTTTTATTTTATTTTAGCGGGCCCGTACAGATTGCAGTTTATTTTGTTTTTAACTGTAAACAAATAAATAAATCATAACAATGAGATATTTTTGTAAAACATGGTACAGCTTCAAAAGACTAGTTAATCAGTGTTTCTCATATCAATCAGTCATACTAACTGGGACCTTTCAGACACAAAGCGGAGAAGAATTGTGAGACCAGTTTATATGCACTCTATGCAGTGCAGTTGGCATTAACACCTTATGGTGTAGGTAACCATGGTGACACTGGTATTAGGGTCCTGTACTGAGGATATGCCGGTGTTCATGCCTTCTGTTGGTAACCATGGTGACACTGGTATTAAGGCCCTGTACTGAGGATATGTCGGTGTTCATGCCTTCTGTTGGTAACCATGGTGACTCTGGTATTAAGGCCCTATACTGAGGATATGCCGGTATTCATGCCTCCTGTTGGTAACCATGGTTACACTGGTATTCATGCATCGTGCTGTGGGTAATACTGAGGGTAATAGCATTACTCATGCCTTGTGCAGGGGCTGTGGGGTAGCCAAATGGTTAATGTGTCCACTCATCATGCTGAAGACCCGGGTCCAATTCCCCACACGGGTACAATGTGTGAAGCCCATTTCTGGTGTCCCCTGCCATGATATTGCTGGAATATTGCTATAAGTGGCGTAAAGCTTCTCTCTCTCTCTCACTCACTCACTCACCTTGTGCTGTTGGTAACCATGGAGACATTTCTACCTTTACTAAAGGTAATACTGGCACTGATACTTTTTGCCGTGTTTCACACTTTCGTTCATGTTATCTGTTACAGAAAACAAAAAGAGCTAGAGGAGAAACTAATCGAAGAGGAAGTCGCTCGTCGTGTTGAGGAACTTGTAGCTAAGAGAGTAGAGGAGGAACTGGAACGGCGTAAAGACGAGATCGAAGCTGAGGTCCTGCGTCGGGTGGAGGAAGCAAAGCGTATCATGGAGAAGCAGATGCTGGAGGAGCTGGAGAAGCAGCGAGAGGCTGAGCTAGAGGCTCAGAGAAAGAAGGAGGTATGGGTGACCTCCATGTGTCAGATGGGTACTATTGGCATGCCTTTTGTTATAATGGTTGCTTGGACTTTTTAACTCCTTAAGTCTTCATATTGTTAGAATGCCCGTACACTAGTTGCTTCATCCAACAGCTATGGCCTGACAGTGTTTGAGTAGGGTTAATGAACTGTGTATTATCAGAGTACTTTTGTGTCTGTGAACAGGAATCTGAACTAAATGACACGCTCATGTCAAGCTTTCGTAATAACTGTCATGTCAGTTTTGTTGGGAACTTATGAGAATAGACAAGAATTTCAAGATGGCGTTTCGATTTGCATATGCAACATCTACCACACCCTTCATCTGTTTTTGAAAACGTGTACTCTTTGTCTGCATCTTTGTTTATGGTGTCTCAGTTTTGGTGCTTTGTTTCTGAAACCAGTATTTCTTGTCTTATCTTCAAATATTCTCAATAAAATATCACAGTGGAGATAAATTGTCTTGTCCGGTCATAGCTTGGTAGTCTATTGACTCAGTTTGAAAGGTATGCCAAAAGTACTCCAGTTCCTGTCCAGTCCTTGAGATGATGCTTGGCATTAGAAATGTATGTTAATAAAACTATTCTCCTAAAATTCGCTTATCCGGTTGTGCAAGAAAAAAGCTGTGGAGCTAGTCAACCATAATGTAGGGGTAACCATAACGACAAATAATTTTGAAAATCGCTCTTTTTGAAAAGAATTTCATACAATGGAACTAATGTTACTTTCTTTGAACTTTTGGCTTGTGTTGGGTCAACTGTCTAACATGAAGTTCATGAAGAACTTGTTTAATGCAGTCAGTGGAATTGCTGTGTGTATTTTGCAGCTGTCTTCTTGTCTCAGGATGTGTATTTTCTTAAAGGTTTAAAACAATTTTAGGTGAATCCATGACAACCATTTCTTCCCCAAGCTGACTCCTTGACTGGGAAGATATTTACTTTTTCTCGAGATGTATTACCTTAATCATCCAGCTTGCTTTTCAGCGATGGGCTCTTCCGTTTAACGTTGAAATAAGTGTTAACATGCCACCATTTTCTTCCAAGTTTTCTAGGTAATGCTGTGATAACACAGAAACAAGGCTTTGCGTTTTCAGGAAAAAATGCAAGTATTGTGATGTAAAGTCTTGATCAAGTAAAATATACACTCACTTTAGCTTCAGCCTAGCCCTCCCAGTGAGTATGTTCCTTACATTGAGCTTCGATGTCTAGATCCTAGAATGGACTTTCAATTGGGAAAATGCCTTTTAGTTTGGTTAAGGGGTTGCTAGTGATTGGTTGAACATAGAGTCCACTGAAAAAATGGATAGATTCCATTGGTGGAGTGAGTCAATGGCGGATAGATTGAAGACAACGACAGCTAATCAGCAGCCCTGTTCATAGTGCTGCTCTCCTGGTACGTAGCCGAGGTAAAGACAAGCCGGAACAAGGTGATATAGCCAAGAATAGTTGCCATGGCGATAAAGTTTACATGGCAACCATTCAGTTGTCACTGTGGCTTTCATGTTTACCCTCCATAATATTTTTTTTCCATTGAGTAAATCTGTTTTTTTTCTACTGTTGTGTTTGTCTGTGTAATTTCATACATGTATCTTTGTATAATATGTAGGTGTCTGGCTTAGTTAACATGAGAATCTTCTGATATTTTTCATAATTCACTTGTTAGTAATCTGATAAGTTGTGCTCCACTTGTACATCATATTGTGTTAATGTAACCTTGGTAACTGTCCAAAATGCTTAGTGAGTCTCTGCCACTAATGTATACATGTAAGGTTCACATTTGTGTATTGTAAGGAGATATACTAACATTATAAGACTGATGCTTTAGGAGTTTCTTCACATGGTTTGCTTGTGACAATATGGACGAACCTGTATTATCTTGCATGATTTCTATCTGTTATGTTTGTATTTATTTTAGGAAGAAGAACGGGCAAAGAGGGAAAGGTTAGAAAAAATAATGGAAGACAACAATAAGAAAATTGAAGAAGCGCAAAGAAAATTAGTAAGTACTTCAAGAGGCATGTTACCTAGTAATCCAAGCAGGGGTGGAAGCAACCCAGTCCAGTGGGGTTTTTTCTTTCGGGCAAGGAATTTGTATATCACGCTGTACCAGTGTCCAGTTGACTTTCCAATGTTGATTATGTTGTTTGTTTAAATAATCAACAAGAAATAGGCCAGTATAGTGGTTAAAGTATCAGGGCAAGTGATTTTTACATTTGCCACTGTACCTGAGTACACTAGCAATTTTGAAGTTATTTCCACTCCTGCCAAGGGGCTGCAATTTGCTGTACAGCGTTGCATCCTCCTACAATGAGATACTTCTTATGGTGAGTTTGCATCTTGCCTGACACTACGTGTCTACGTTTGTCAGCACCATGCTCGTGGGTTAGACCAAAGTAGTCATCGTTTGAGGTGTGCATTATTGCTGTAACAATACACTCGCATATTTGATGATTCGAACCGTATCCCTTCATGAATAAAGTTCACTATTCATGGTTACTAGAATTGAATATTTTCAAATATTATTAAGAGAGAGCTAGAGAGTGTTAAGAGAGAGTGTTTCACTTGCATCTAATTTGTTTATATTTATGTGAGATACACAAAATGGAATACAGTTGAGCACCGTTGTTTCGATATTCATGGGACCAAGAAAAAATATCGACTTATCCGAACTTCAAAACATCCGACCAGGGCATATCATCACATATCACTATGAAAGAAAACAAAACGCTTCTCGGTATGTTTTGATTCGAAACTATAATCCGTTATCAGTAGTGTTTGGTTGTAACAGTGAGTACTTCCTAATTAAGTCCTTCTTAATTAATCCTAATTAAATAACAAACAAGTGACACCTTCAACTCTATTAGCCCTAATTAGTTTACACTAGCGCATCCCTTTGATTCATGCCGGACCGTGTGTAAATTGTGGAAACAACCTCAGTTCAGAGAGATACTTGCCCATGAAAGGTAGGTGAATATTGAGTTTCTTTGCAGGGCTCGATTTAGGAGATGTTAACCTACTTGCACCAGGTGCAACCTGAGATAAAAACCTAGTTGCACCAGCCAAATTCTAGTTGCACTGCTTTTATGGTAATATGTAATGAATGGAATATATGCTATGTAAATATCATGTTGAAATGGTAATTTTGCTTGTTGGGACCATGAAATTATATCGAGATATCCAAAATATCGAGATATCCATATCGAGTTAAAAGACCTTGAATAATGATAAATTATGAAGGATTTTGTCGAGACTGAGATGTTATATCGAAACAACCGAGATGTCAAGTTATCAGAGTTCGACACAACGGTGCTTGACTGTATATCCAAGCCACGCAGTAGCGTAACTTTTGTTACTTTACCAAGGCTCCCTACGACATGTTAGGCTATAAGTGGCATTGTTGTATAGGGCTGCATCGATTCGGTTCGATTCATCAAAAATCGAATTTGACACCTTAGTTTCGATTTTCGATAACCATTATTACTATTTCGATTCAGTATTCAATCTTTTCGGCTTCGTAATCTTATTGGCTTCGTAATTATATTGTTGGCTACGTAATTATATTGTTATCTTTGTACATTCTCCCTCCTTGCATTGTGTAACATGTTTTACCTATATATATTCACTCTTTGTACTGACACAGCATTCACCTGATGAAGGAGCAAAAATTAGCACTGAAATGTAAAGAATAAAAAGAAGTTATCCATAAAAGTGTCATGTAAATCGAGAAATATTTCTTGTTGAAATTTGCCAAACTCTGATTCCTTTCAAATGATGTGGGATTTTTTATATTTGAAATTTTTATGTTGTACATGACAGTAAGTTTGATACAATGAGGGTACTGCTCATTTCCAGACCAGAACTCCAACTGAGGGGCGGTTGGGTAGCCTAGTGGTTAAAGCATTCGCTATATCCAGCAATCCATGCTTGTTGTAAGAGGCAACTAACGGGATCGGGTGGTCAGACTCGCTGACTAGGTTGACATGTCATTGTTTCCCAATTGCGTAGATCCGTGCTCATGCTGTTGATCACTGGATTGTCTGGTCCAGACTCGATTATTGGCAGACCACTACCATATAGGTGGAATATTGCTGGGTGCTGCGTACAAACTAAACTCACTCACTCACTCACTCCCAGTGAGGCACACATTTTTTAATGACAAGCATCATTTATGTTTGAGTGTGGTGTAAACTCACTCACTTTATGTTTATGATGACTGCAAAAAGGGTTTTGTTGGAATAGTAGAAAAAGGTAATAACTTTATGAAATTTAAGAATGAGAAGGGTACAAAATAATATCTACTTTCCCTGCATGACAGACTGGGTTAAGAAAAGAAATTGCATGGATAATGCAATGTATATGAAACTCAGTAAACTCAGTAAACTGTTGTATTATAGCTTTGTATGGTTAAGGTATATAGAGATGGAGTTAGTCTTACTAGACCAAACGGACGTTCGCCAGATTGTTGCTTCAACTTAGCCACTCATAGCTACAGATAACTATTTGGGTCATTGAGTTATGTGCTCGCTTGTGTTCATCTCAATTGGGTATCCTAAGTTTCTTTTGAGTAACCAAATAATTTGTACTCAGCTCACTTAAACTCAGTTGGGTATTTTGCCCTTTTCCTTTACTTGTAAAAATGCAGTAAAGTTTAAATGTTAGTGTTTGATATATATCTATTTTTGATCTGTAATATTAGAAACGATAAGAAAGACTGCAAGTTGCCAAGTGCATGTCCCGAAATAGAATCTCTCAATATACCTCAGTTATTTTATTTATCCACCGGTACGCACGCTAAAATTTGACATTTTTGTGTACGCATGTAAGATCACATTTTTTGAGTATTTACACAAATTCAAGCGTACTTGTACGCAATAGTCTTTATAGAAATTGAGTTTTCACATAAATATTTGCGTAATTTACGCAGATACACAGCTTATCTGTACCTCTGGCCACTGTCTGAACTTTTTCTAAAACAGACTTAAAACATAATATTTTTCTTATTCTATCCTAGGCTGAGGAACAGTTGAAATTAGTTGAAGAACAGCGAAAAATGTTGGAAGAAAAACAACGACTTGAAGATGAGGAGAGAAAACGTACAAAGCGAGACCAGGAAATCATACTCAACAAAAAGAATGCAAGACCAAAGCTCTCCTTCGCACTGGGGAAATAGGAACCCCTTTTGCTGTGTTCTTTTTGTGTGAAATCTTTCCATGGGAATCTGAGCAGGTCAACTTGGATGGCAAGGAACAAAGCATCCAAAGACTGAGACTGACTCTATCATGCTCAGTTGATGTACTCTACATCTCTGTGAGAGGGAAAGTTTAATTGGGAATGGGGACAAATTTCAGTTTGAATTTTGTTCGTGACAATAGTGTTTCAACCTTACTTGTTTGGCTGGGGGTAACAAATTGTTAGGTATAATGAATCATGTAAAATTGAAGAAATTCCCGAATAGAGAAAGACACCTTCTCAAGAAAGCTTGCTTTAATGCACAGTTATATACAGAAGGGAAATCTCAGGTGCTTTTTCTTTTGGTGAATATTTATTGATTCTGGCTGTTCACTTAAGGCACTGTGAACATTTTAACTAGACTGGAAAGGGTGATGGTGATCCTAAAGGAGAGTTTGTGGAATGGCAGTCTTGAACTGTTCATGTACATTGACAGTCAGAGCAGACTGTGGAGAGAGAGAGAGAGAGATCAGTGTTCATCGGATATGCCTGGAGGCTTTGTGGGGAAGGGTGGGGTAAAGGTAGGTGAATCAAGAAGGGGGTGGGGCTTTGGGAGTTAATTCTGTTGTTTTTGAGGGGTGGGATATTTATCAGTTACTTATAATTGGGCCTGGGCAGAGGGTTAGGGGTTGGAGATAACAAGGAACACTTCCCCATCCCTTAACTGGTAGGTAGGAAGGGTTGTAACTTGTTAAGGATGGGAATTGTAAGGGGTAAGGAATGGTAGGTTCCTGGGAAGGGGAAAGGATGGGTTAATTGTTAAGTGGTGGTTGATATTATGATGTCCTGAATTGGGTGTGAATAATTCCAGTTCATGGGAATGGGTGGTAGGTGGTCAAGGTAGGGTGATGGAGGTTGGTCCTATGGGTTTACATTGAAGTTCTAGTAATTAGTAATCTGCATTGGCATGGGGGTAGTGTTGCCATCGTGGCAACTTTAATAAATACTTCCTGATATGATTGCCCGGATATTGGCATGTTATTGTGGACATTGTATGATCAATTAGATGGTTAAGGTAGGTGTTTATCAGTACGTTTGTGCTTCTTGTTACGGGGAGGGTGGGTGTGCAGTGGCTTAGTGTATTTTAGATTCACAGGAAGACCTATGCTCTTGCGATAATTTATCATTTCTGGATTTGGCATTGTGCTCAAAACTTGTTATTCACATTGAAAAAATGGTGTAAATAATTCCTCTATGTCAATTTAATAAATTTATATTTAATCTTTCGATATTTCCTAACACATGGCATTATTAGTTCTGATGTTTTCTGTGCATTTTTTTAACACACACAGTGGTAGGGGTTGCATGTTTTACTCTTTATGCAGTAAGGTGGAACAGTTGGTAAATATGTACGTTTTTTGTGGTTTTTTTAATCCATGACGTTTCTATAAGGGAGTTGTGTGAGCAGGTGGCCATGTTTGAAGGTCTTTTTAAAGGACCTTGATTAGTGTGTGGAACAAAGCATTCTCTCTTTTTGTGGTCATAATACTTAGTGTCATAATCATGTTACCTTTTAAGTAGGAATTGATATATCTATTTAAAACAATGAAAATCAGAGCTGACATACTAGGGTAATGCCAGGAGGGCAAACATCATTTTCACATTTTCATAGAGTGATGTTTATCCAGATGAGGTTGATAGTGGACTGAGAAGAATGATAGGAAGATTTTCGAGTCTCAGCTGTTGTCTTTTGGTTTGTTTGTTTTCTCCAGTGTTAGCAGCACAAGTTTCGTGTGGAAGTCAGTGGCCATCGCAATTCCAAGACTTTATGAGCCAGATGTAGTCATGACTATTATGATGGTAATTTTGTGTACTTGTGTGACAATGAATGTATGGGTGTATGAAAGTGTGAATGTGCCGCAGTTTGAATGAGGGAAGGGGCTGGGTTTAATTGTCTGGGTTTGTTGTACCCACCAGCGTGTTATCATGCATCAGAAAGGAGTGACTCCATGAAGGAAGTGGAGATTGAACAATCAAGGAAGTGGTGATAGGGTGGACAGGGAACAGGTAAGGCAGTGATCAATCAGGAAGGATAGAATGGTACATCAAGGGAGGGGAGAGGGGTATTTAGATATACAGGGGGTTTGGGGGGGTGACACCAATAGATGGGGCCTGTGGGTTCTGTTAATGCTTAACATGTTTGTTTATTTGTGCTGTATAGTTGCTAATAAATTTTGTATGGAATATGAGGAATGTGTTTTGTGCTGTTATCTTCCCTTTGATGTGAAGCCTCTCTCAGCAATATCACAAAGGGGGGACACCAGAAATTTTTATTTCTGGTATCCCCTGCCATTATATTGCTGAAATATTGCTAAAGGCAGTGTAAAACACCACTCACTCATTTACTTACTCTTCCCTTTGAAGCATCAGTGAAACTCAGATGATGTTCTCTAAAGATTGGTTGACTTGCCCTGTTGATCCAAAACCTGAGGGGCGGTGGGGTAGCCTAATGGTTAAAGCATGTGCTCCTCAAGCTGAAGATCCGGGTTCGATTCCCCACATGGCTACAATGTGTGGAACCGATATCTGGTGTAACACACACACACACACACACACACACACACACACACACACACACCAAGATATTGCAGGAATATTGCTAAAAGCTGCGTAAAACCATACTCACTCACTCAATCCAGAACCTGTGTTTTCTGGACTTCCTCCAGCGTTGTGATGTAGCACAATAACCTTGCCATTACCTTGAAGACCTCAATGCATCCAAATGCTGAGATCTGAAGCTCACATGGAGTGCTGAATATTATATGCCCATGAGTATTGATTAGGGATCACCTGTTTCCAGATGTATTTCTGAAAAAGAAGATAACTTGAACTCTTTATGTGCAAAGTGAAAGAGGCCAATTCAAAATCTAAATGAATTGGCCAAGGCAGTGCACCAGGAATGACTGGTGAGTGAAAACCAGTCATGCTTGATCGTGGGACACCCTGTGAGTGGGTGGGTGAGTGTCACCTCGTTTTTCAAAAAGTATGGTTAGTGAATCTTTGATGGATGTCTCCACACCTGGCAAGTAGTTGAGAATTATTATCCCCCTCAACGCATTTTGCGGGGGGTATTAAAATGGACTCCGTCCATTGCGTGCGTCTGTCTGTCCGTCCGTCCATCCGTGCACATTTGTCTTTTCTGGAGCAGAACTCTAAAACCGTTTAATATTTCTTCACCATTTTGGCACATACATGGATCTGGTGGTGTACTGGTGCCTTTTGGTAGTTTTGGAATTCTGAATAAAATATTTTTGGCGTTTCCATGGCAACAAGTTCGACTTTGACTGAAATTAGTGGTAGTGCTCTTTTCCGGAGCTGAACTCTAAAACTGTTCAATATTTCTTCACCAAACTTGGCACATGGATAGATCTGGTGGTGAACTGGTGCCTTTTGGTAGTTTTGGAATTCTGAATAAAATATTTTTGGCGTTTCCATGGCAACAAGTTTGACTTCGACTGAAATTGGTGATAGTGCTCCTTTCTGGATCAGAACTTTAAAAACCATTCAATACTCTCCTTCCACTTTTCTATATACACATCTAAATATTTGACATAATCATAACTCGTAGACATAATCATGAAGAGTATTTTGCAGGGGATATTGATGACTTTGTCTTCTTGTTGCATTTGCTTTAATGTTTGCTCGAATTTGACTACCATTGTTCAAAAAATACACAGACGAGGCGAATCTGGGCATCTTGAAAAACAGTTTGTTGTGGGTCCTCCAGAACATGGGTGTCTAAATATTGACAGAAGTATGTCTTGCCTGACAGATAACCTGACAATTTGAGAACTTTCTGGAACATGATGGAAAATGCTGACACTCATTGGAAGAATATATGAAACTCAAACTTTTTCTTATCCCAACAGTAGTACAATAAATTACACCTCAGACGCCTTCTAAATGTCATGTGCCTTTATGATACAAATATGGCGTGATATTGCTGCACTTTTGTTCCCAGTTTACCCAGAAATCTGTGACCGCCTTCGTGGTGTAGTGGTTAGAGCGTCCGCCGGAGAGCGGAAGGTCGTGGGTTCGATCCCCGGCTGCATCATACCAAAAGACATTGAAATATGGTACTTGTTGGTCCCTGCCTGGTGCTCGGCATTGATGGTTACAAGGAGTGGTTGGCTCAGAGTCGGTAAACTGTGTCTGAGTGGGGTATTCATGTCTTACTGGGGCATGGTATCTCAGTGAGCTATACTATTCACACTTGCTAAGGATCAAATCATGGATTCAACAGAAAATTATGATGTGGGGTCAGATTTGGTTTAAATATCTAAGCTAATTGTAAGCATGGATCCTAGATTTCAGTATGCCATTTCATCTTGTGGATCCCATACCTGCTATCCACAGGTGTGTACTTGTCACTGACGCGTTCCATGATTTGCAAAATGGTTGACTGGTGCCATGGAAACCATTTGATGATTATTCATGTATCAAGTGCATAAGGTTAGATTAAAGTGACTGCCCAAAGAGGGGTTACCATATTATTTATCCAGGTTTAGATGGATAGTTTCAAATTATGAATCTACCTTTAAGTACAGTTGTGATTTTTTGTGATCCTTAGTAAAGTGTGAGTAGTATAGTATAAAACCAGCTTAAGTCTGGGCTAGTACAAGCAGCCTCACATACACACGCATGCACGCGGTCATATAGGCGAAATATTTTTAAGTACGACATTAAACCTACAGTCCGTTTGGCTCAAAAGCGGACCGATGAATTGCAATCTAACTCGAAAACTAATAAACATAACATACTCAATGAAACGCTGATCATAATCAAAACATCATACCCACTGTGAGGTTTTTGCAGAATTTTTGTCCTAAAAATAATAAAGTTGTTTAACAAACTATCATTAAAATATTGACACAGTTCACTGTTTGTTACGAGGGAGGAGTGCAGAGAAAGGGACAGCCAGGTGTTCGCGAACGGATGGAGACGGCACAGCACAGATTAATGAATAAAAAACTTTGTCTGTGAACGTGCTTCTCGACCACCGGGCTGTCCCTCACCTCACCCAGAAATCGCTAACTCGCACCAGAGATCAATGATTTCTTAACTCAAACGGTTGTGGCAGTAGCGATAAATTACCTGCAATTTTACATACCCGTGTACTTATTCTCCAGACTGTCAGTCGAACGCCATTATGTTAGCTGGGCACATGCTCAGTTCTTGAATCCAGAAAGCTACTAGAAGCAGGCACTGGTGAAGATCCGGGTTAGAATTGATATTCAGCAACCCATGCTTGTAAGAGGCGACAAACGGGATCGGATGGTCAGGCTCGCTGACTTGGTTAACACATGTCCATCGGTTCCCAATTGCTTAGACCGATGCTCATGCTGTTGATCACTGGATTGTCTGGTACAGACACGATTATTTACAGACCGCCGCCATATGGCTGGAATATTGCTGAGTGTGGCGTAAAACTAAACTCACTCACTCACTCTCTAGAAGCAAGCAAAATATCCCATACATACTGGGCAAGTACAGGTTTGCATGTCAGGCCGCATAGGGAGGCGAACACATCTGGCACAAGGCCAGATTGAAACAATCATGTCAAATACCACCCGTTACATTAACTGAAGTATTTTTTCGGGCCATACAAAGCCAAACAAAACGAAAATTAAATGTGGGAGCATGACATATTCGTGATCAAACATTCGTCTTTAAACCACATCCCCACTGTCATCTTTGTTCTCACGCAAAGAGGTATCAATTGATGACATGGATGTATAAGAGAACGATGGACTTTGCCTAACATGTCAATCAACAGAACCAGTTGGCAGTGTACTGTAAGGGTGTATTTCTGTCGTCATCCGTAAGATATCTTCATATATATACTATTTTGGGAGAGTGCGGAATGCTGTCACGTCATTGAGAGCACAAACTTTTATTTGTATTTTCTGTATTTTTATGCCTTCATGTAAACTACTTTGGTTTGTAAGATTGGTATATTGCATCAGCAGAGAAGTTTGGTCAAGAATAGAAATTGTGACGTTTCAACTTTAAATCAAAACATCATTACTGCAACGGCGGCAAAAATACTGATTTTGGACAATCTAGTCATAAATTTTGCTTAAAATCAGCTATGAGATGGAAAGAGGCGTCACATATGTTACTGTTTATAAGTATATTGTGCAATAAATGGTCATTCTTCTAAATTGTTTTGTTTCTTAGTTTTTAGCATGAATGTAAATGCAATAACAGGCAACAATAGCTCTTATCTCAAGGAGTGGGCGGTGGGGTAGCCTAATGGTTAAAGCGTTGGCTCGTCACGCCGAAGACCCGGGTTCGAATCCCCACATGGGCACAATGTGTGAAGCCCATTTCTGGTGCCCCCCGCCGTGATGTTGCTGGAATATTGCTAAAAGCGGCGTAAAACCAAACTCAGTCAGTCAGTCGGTATCTCAAGGAGTTATCAGAAAAAGATAAAACATTGAATTGATCCTCCCATAATGCTTAAAATGCTTCAAAGAAATAATTGGTTGTATAATCATAAATACTTCATAAAAGGTGTTTGAGTACCTACGTGAATCAGCTAGATTGCGTGATATGGACTTTTCTCCACGTAAAATTCAACTGGATTTCTAGATTTTACATAACGAATATACTTCACATTATTTACGGTAACATGGATTAGCTAATAGCGCATTGCCGGGAGAGCCACATTCACACGATCACTCAACCATGGCCATTGCCGGTTGAGCCACACCATTTTCAACTCTGTTTTTCTTAAATAGCTTTCCCGGGCTATAACCTGCAAGACATGTTGGTTGTCATCCATTGACCATCAACCGATTGACGACCGCCTCCGTGGTGTAGTGGTTAGAGCGTCCGCCCGGAGTGCGAAAGGTCGCGGGTTCGATCCCCGACCGCGTCATACCAAAAGACGTTAAAATATGGTACTTGTTGGTCCCTGCCTGGCGCTCGGCATTAATGGGTACAAGGACTGGTCGGCTCGGAGTCAGTATAATGTGTCTGAGTGGGGTATTCATGCTTCACTGGGGCATGGTATCTCAGTGGGCTAGCACTATAAAACCAGCTTCAGTCTGGGCTAGTACAAGTAGCCGCACATACACACACACACACACGCGCGCATGCACGTCGTCATATGAGCGAAATATTCTCAAGCACGACGTTAAACCCAATTCCACCACCACCATCAGCCGATTGACCAGAAACTATAGACGTTAAGGACCATCACGTCGACCAGAGTATAACAAACCCGTTTCAGATTCACAAACTTCATCCGTTCATGTCAGGTGGCGTGTTAAAAAACGGTGGTTTCCACATCGTTTGTGCAACAGAATAATCCGAAACTCGACCGCGGGTACAGAGCCAGACAACCTATCCGTTGATATCCCCAGAGTAGCACGACTCCATTGGTGAGTGTAAGTGAGTGAGTTTAGTTTTACGCCACCTTTAGCAATATTCCAGCAATATCACGGCAGGGAAACACCAGAAATGGGCTTCACACATTGTACCCATGTGGGGAATCGAACCCGAGTCTTCGGCGTGACGAGGGAAAGCTTTAACTACTAGGCTACCCCACCACCCCCGACTAGATTGCATGGTGTCAAGCTCGACATCACTGGAATTTGATGACATGGGTATGATCCACTGGTTGGAGCAAAGTCGATTTCTTTCGTTATTGACTGATGGCCGAGCTCATGTTTGGCGCCTTAGAAACACTGTATATGCACAACAGAATATCATCGAACAAGCACCATTTGGCTGGGGTTCATTGATGATGTGCCTTTCACCTAACTGTAAACTTAACCTTGTGACGATCAAATAAAATCTGAATTGACAGCGTCACATCCCAGACAATGCATGAGTGACTGAGTGAGTTTAGTTTTACGACGCTTTTAGCAATATTCCAGCAATATTACGGCGGGGAACACTAGAAATGGGCTTCACATATTGTGTCCCATGTGTGGAATCGAACCCGGGTCTTCGGCGTGACGAGCGAACGCTTTAACCACTAGGCTACCCTACCGCCCACATCCCAGATACATTTCCTCTGAACACAAGGCCTGTCTTCATGGAAGACAATGCTATTCCACATACTATACTACTGGAATGAAGTAACTTTGCATTATTTGTTTTTATGCCATTCTTCAATGCAAAAAGAAAACTGTTTAATCACTGTTTAACTGTTGATAGGATAATGTCGACACTAGGCATCGTGACACGCCTTTGAAGAGATGTGGTGTCAAAAGACAGTTCACAAATGCAGCATCGTGTGTGTCCACCATTTGCGTTGATGCAGGCTTGACAGCGACGACGCATAGACGACACTAAGCAATTGAAGAAAGCTTGGGGAATGTTGTTCCATGTCTGAACCAACGCTTGTCCCAATTCAGGGCTTGACGTAAACGTCGATCCATCACAAGCCTGCTCGATAGGGAACAGGTCCGGAGAAACAGATGGCCAGGAGAGTACCGGAATATTCTGCTGTCTCCGCTAATCTGTCACGCGCGACATGTGAACGGGCATTATCTTGCTGAAGCGTGAATTTACGTCTCTGTCCTTGAATGAAAAACTGCACATGAGGCCCAATGATCTCATCCCTGTATCGCAGACCTATCATATTGACAATGACAATGACAAGTTGTGTTCGACCAAGTTATGTGATGGCTCCCCATATCATAACGCCTTCGCCGCCAAACTGTCGACGTTGAACAACGCACACGTCAGCATACCGTTCACCTCGCCGTATGTACACCCTTGCCCTGCCATCTGAGCTGTCCAGATGAAATCTCGACTCGTCAGTGAACAAAAACGCGTCCCAATGCCAGTGTTTGCAATACTTTAATTTGCCAGTTGGCCATCAGGGCCTGTTGCCGCCTACATGATTTAAAATCTACGGGCCCTGAATGAAATCTGCATGCCCAATTTGTTAAAGTCAAACCCATAAACACAAAATAAACTAAACTGTACACAGTTTCACACTGTTTCTACAAATCAATTAGCGAAGCCAATGGCGCAGAGAGACGTTTTCATTTGTTGAAGACTGGTGTTGACATTCCTATGCGCAAAGCGCTGAAATACGGCCGGTCCGAGACAAATCTCTTGTGTTCCCATTATGTTGAAAACGTCTCCATAGTGATGAGATCATGTTTCTATGGACACCAAAATGTCTGACCACTTCATTTTGGGCCATTCCAGTCTCAGGCAAACCCACGGGGTGAAGACGCTGATTTTCTGTAAGCCGTGGCATGACTTACGCGCAGTTTAGGTTGAAATTAACGCATTCCACAACATTCAGAGGCTAGAGAATAATCAACCGTTCTTCAGTTTTCAATATCAGGTGTGTGAACGTCAGAGGACCGCCTCCGTGGTGTAGTGGTTAGAGCGTCCGCAAGGGAGAGAGGAAGGTCGCGGGTTCGATCCCTTGCCTCTTTATACCAAAATACGTTGAAATATGGTACTTGTTGTTCTCTGTCTGGCGCTCGGCATTAATGGGTAAAACAAGGAGAAGCATTATAAAACCATCGGGTCTGGGCTAGTAGAAGTAGCCACACATACACCCGCATGCACGTCGTCATATCAGCGAAATATTCTTAAGTACGACGTTAAACCCCATTTAACCTTCTTCAGGTGTCAAAAAGCATGAGTAAGTTGATTGTGCACAAAGTGCACCTACCACACGCGACACATGACACCAAATTTCATGCAAAGTACGTGCCTTGCTAAATTTTTATTTGGAGTTATTTTATTCATTTCAAATAACTTTTATTTCATGCAATTTAATGTTATGCACAGTTTCTTTTTTCCGTCAGTATACAAACACTCAGCAATATTCCAGCTATGTATAATCGAGTCTGGACCAGACAACCCAATGTGATCAGCAGCATGAGTATCGATCTAAGCAATTGGGACACGATGACAGGTTAACATCGGAAGACAACGATTTAAAATATAATTTCATTAACTGTTTTGAGTTACCAAGGATATTTTTTTCATCTCACTAAATGTTTAATATTTTCTGTTAATTATTGAAGACGATTTTGTTGAAAATATTTCAACTTGAAGATACTGTCTGGAAAATGAACGAAATACGTGCATGCATTCTAAATATTGTCGAGACAGTTTAATTCTTTTCAGAATGTCATAAACAGTCTTTTTTTCCCTCCTTTGTTCTTCTTAATTAATTATGTTTATCACTAGATTGTCTGGTCCAGACTCGATTATTTACCGACGCCATACAACAAACGAACCAACCAACTTTACTAATTATTCGTTTCTTGGGTATATATTCATCTATGTATCTATTCATATATGGATCATAGATTTTCGGACGTGATGCATATTCGAATGGGGATTTGTTCTATGTTTTTATATGTTCATCCGTCTAGATCTACATAATCGTCTAATATATTTTTTCTTCAGTTTGAGTCCAAAGTAGTCAGGATGGGAAATTAAAGAGTTCATTCAACGTACGTGGCACGTTTTTAGCTTTTTCGTAACTGTTTCAGCCTTCCGAAATTGGATATAGTTTTGCAATGTTGTTTGTTTATTTTACCTTATGATTTTAAAGATATTACAAATTGGTTACACAGGTTCTATTTCAAAAGTGGAGGCTGAAATCACTCGGGACTGCTCGGCTTAATCCGTCAGGCGATGCGAGCGATCGCGAGCTGTGTGTGCGTCTTGGCAAAAATACCTGAAACTCCCACCCACCGCGTGCTACCTTACTGTGCGCGAAACCGTTGGTATGCTTCGCTATCTGGAGCTCGTTCAAGGTGAAGGTCGTTGTCAAGGTAAACCCCAAGCGCCTGACGATCCAGACCTGAGCAATCATATCGTAGATATTTTTCAACATGAAGGCTTGAATCTCGGTCCTTACACATTATAGAAGCCAAAATAATACTTAAAGGACACATGAACAGTAAGTTGTATACCAGGCTTTGTATGTTGCTCATGTCGTATGTTCACAATCATAGTTCTCGAACGCGCACTGACCCATTTGGTGATTTGAGTAACTTTGAGCCTTACAATAATGCGTCCCCTCGTAATTACGCACTTGGGGAAATAGTTAAAGGATTTTATCGTATCTATTTAATGTTGACAGTTTGGCGTTAGAACTGTACACTTGTATTCACTTAGTTCCGAGTTATAAATTGCCTTAATTTAAGGCCACGAATGTTTCGTTTTAATGAACGTGTGAAAGTTATGGTTAGCTATCAACTTCAACTTAGCGAAACGATGAATGGCCATGTTTCATTATTCATTATTTCCCATCACACATTAAAACAATTCGCTGTTCATAGCAATAATGCCAATATCAACTATTGTCAGACATTGTCATGTTTGAAATGAGTTTGTTTGAATGAGGTAAGTCTAAATATCATTAGCATGCTTTCAAACAGAGAAGAAGTGGAGAATAATGTTGTTTGTCCTTTGGCTTATACAGATAGGGGGATCAAGAGGATTTCTTGTTGTTATCAGAACCATAGCATATGTGTTTAGGGACTTATAATGTAGAAAATAGGATTGACATGCACAGTTAGTGTCACTCACTCTCAAACACTTAAGTTCCCAATATATCGCAATATGGGTACCTGAATTGCAATATATTGCAACACAATGTATTTGCTAATACACAGTCCTAGTAATGTGAGTTATGATTTTGGTCTTATAACTATAAGTAAATCATATTCAGAATCCTCATCAACGAAAAACTCCACTGTAACACTCCACTTGATATAGTTTTCTTCGGTGCCTAGGAATTGCCAAGCTTTATAAGTACTGATTTCATTCAACATAAACAAAAGTAACACAATTGAAATAATTTATTTTTGTAGAGTGAACAAAATGTCTGGCAAAGGATCAAAAGCAAGTTCACGAGCTGGATCTAAGGCAGGATCCAAGCCTGGATCCAAGACTGTCACTCCTCGCAGTTCCAAAGCAAGCACGCCTAAAGGCTCCAAGAGCAACACACCTCTGCCAGTAGACTCTGTGTCCGGGGCAGTCAATGGGAGCCAGGATCTCGATGCTGGAGCCAGTAAGTTTCCCACAATATTGTTACTGCGTCACCATTTTTGGTTTCAGACAAGAAATTCAAATCCATGTCTAGAATATGGCTATTCAATGTTTATAACATGTATTCTTATAAGAAGTTGACAGATGAAGCATATAACGTAATGAATGACAACTTCTTGTTTATTGCATAGAGTGATGTTTTGATTTAGATTCGTTTACTTTTAGCTTGATAACAGTTTAAGAATCTACATCGAAACATCGCTCTATGCAATAAACAAGAAGTTGTCATCCATAAAGGCTTAGGCTTCATTTTTGACTCGCCAACTTCTAGAATTCCAATCAAACAACTAAATTAACAGATGTAACAAACTGATTTTTGGCCTTGGACATTTTATGATATAAAATTGATGGATACTAGTATAACAATCACATGTATGTGATCTCATACATATAGCAAACCCACATTCTCACCCCATGTGTCTTCTGTCAATGACCAATATTTTTGTTTAAAGTGAACTGCATGTTTTGGTGTGCTAGCCTACTGAGACACCATATCACTGTGTAACATGAATATACAACTCAAACACATTATACAGATTTCGAGGCGACAAATGCTTGTTATATCTATTAACCTTAGGGTTTTTTACAATTCATTTGCATATTCAGTGAATCCAACCTTGACCTTTCCTGCATTCAATTCATATTTGTGATTATAAAATCAAATATTCATGATTATTTTTTAAATGGAGTTTTCTTATTTGAATTGAGGTGTTATATGCGAAATGGATTGTCATTGCCGTGATAAATTAGCATTGCATTTTCAATACATGTCAAACAATTTATTTTGTTAATGTTTCACTGAATATCAGGAATAATACATCAACTGCGGACTTGTTCTTGAATCCGTTTGTAACCCAATAATATTCTTGATATATATCACATTTGCCTCATAGTCCATTCTTCATTGGACTTACTCACTCTGGTGTCACACCTGGTGATTGTATGTCCTGATACGTTTAGTATACTTCTCAGGGAGCTGAGAATGAAAACTCTGCATGATCCTTTTTGGTAATAGAAATGTAGGATTTTAAGCACATCTCAGTCTGTGGTGTAGAAATACAGCTCATTATATGTCCAAGATATTTTTTATGGATTAAACGTCTTTTTTATTTTTATAAATATAAAAGAAGTTTAATCCATAAACAATATCTTAGACATCTATATACAACTTCTAAACAGTGTTCATGAATAGTGTCTGACCCTCTGACAAATCTGGCAGATTCCGATACGGTCTGATAGAAATCTACAACCCGCTGGCCCCAGTGTCTGACTGTATGTTTCACAATGACTTTGACTGAAGTTGTTGTATGTCACATGTCACATGTGACGCTTGTTTGCTGTTTATAAATCTTATGTTTGTTAGTAATTTTAAATGCCAATTATAAGAAATTTTAAATCTGAAATGTGTGTTTAATTTTATTCTATGGGTCCTGTGAATTTTCAATGGGTCAGACAGACATCTGAAACTTACAGGACCCAATGTCCTGTTACTTTGAAACACCATTCGTGAACACTGCTTCTAAATGCCGCTAAAAGACATCAGCTCATTATACATTACATCATCATCATCTACATCATCATCATCATCATCATCTTCTGAATTATTATTAATTACTTTACACAGCAGATGGGGCTCTAGAACCAGTTGAAGCAGGTGAAGCAGCAAATGGAAGTCTTGTTGCCGTAGACGACAATGGGGAGCTTGCTGTCAGTCTTCACGAAGCCGAGACGGATCAAAGAAGTGTTGTGAGTGTTATGACTTCAATAAGATACTGCACTGTCAAAACTCTCAAGAGCTGGGTTTTTGTCACTTGCTCTTCGAAACCTATTTCTGAGTGCAGCGTTAAACAACAAACCAATCTTTAAAACCAAGGGTTCTATGTCTTAGTCCTGATGTTTGAAAACATTGATTTTATACTGTACCTAAACCCTAGCTGCTTCAGCAGCTTGGATTGTACACTCCCCAGGAAGCTGAGAAATAACTTTGATTGTACTGATCTAATGACTGGGGTAATGATAATATAGCACCATCAATATTCACTTGTTAAATGGGGGCAGTGGGGTAGCTTAGTGGTTAAAGCATTTGCTTGAGATGCCAAGACTCGGATTCAATATTCTCCTCATGGGTACAATGTGTAAACCTCATTTCTGGTGTTATTGCAACAAGTGGGGAAAAAACTACTCACTCACTCCTTTATTGAATAATATTCAGTCACTCACTCTCACATAGTTATTAAATGATATTCACTCACTCACTGGACCTTCTATTCAATAATATTCTCTCACCCACCATCCCTCTCTCTCTCTCTCTCCCCCTCTCTCTCTCTCTCTCTCTTTCCAACTATATAATATCTCTCTCTCTCACTCACTCTCTCTCACTCACTCTATTATCAAATGATATTCACTCACTCACTGGCCCTACTATTCAATAATATTCACTCACCCACCATCCCTCTCTCTCTCTCCCACTCTCACTCTCTCACACACGCTCCCACCCACCCTGTCTCTCTCACTCAGTCACTCTCTTATTGAATGATATTCAGTAACTTAATAAATGATCTCTGACACTCTTTCTCACTCACTCACTCACTCACCCACTATTTTATATGATGTTCACTCACTCAATATTGGCTTCTAGGTGGAGATGATCAAGGACCGCATCAGCATCTGCAACTGGAAAGAAGATTGGTGGACTGAGACCCATGATGCATCACTACAGAAGTTCATCGAGGATCCTGGTACAAAGTTCCTGGTTGCTTACCATGATCACCTCAAAGGATTCTGCATGGAGCACAGTCTGCCAGCTTTCAGTGTGGAACAATTGACATATTTCATCAAAACTGGCCCCGTGAAGGAGCTGAACTCTGACAATTTGTTAAAGAATGTGCAATACGGAACAGTGAAAGGGGCTCACATAGAAAGTCTTCTCCGACTGATGATGGGAATATACGCCCCCATCTTCTTCGAGAACACTTCCTGGCCGGACAGTATCCTTTCTGTGATATAACACGGTCAGAACTTAACACTAGCCTGCTAGCTTGGGGCTAGTGCATAGCCCTGTGGGCTGAGTTCAAGTTTCCCATTTTTACCATTTTTTTAACATATTATGCACATCTTTAGTAAAGTTGAATAATAAGCTAGCAAAACTTTTCTGCTGAATTTTGACCTGAAATATGACAATCTCCATCTTTGAAGTGGTGTTGCACTGTGGTGATTCTAAGCAACCTATGCTTGTCATAAGCGGCAAATAACAGGATTACGTGATCAGACTCACTGATTTGGTTTATGCAGGTCATCTAAAGGGACCCTTCATATTTAATGGCTAGAGGTGGTGATTATGATTTAAGGTGTGCGTGCGTGCGTGATGATTTTGTACATATAAATATTAAAAAATTGTGCTTACAGAATATGGGAAGGGCGAGTCATTGATTTTGTACATGACAGAGGGGCACTTACTTTGTACATAAATTTTGTGGTGGGTCAGTAGTCACATTGTACATGCTTCTCCATAAAAATCATTATCGCACCCCTTAGCCATAAATTATGAACGGTCCCTAATATGATGTCAATTACTGGACCATTTGGTCAAAACTTGTTTTTTTAATACTGCTGGAATGTTGCTGGAGTTTTCAACTTTCTTGACGAGTGTTGATATAATTGTAAAAAAAAGTCGGTAATATTCTCAGTGTAAAAATGAATTGTTCCACTTCTACAAAGTGTGAAGGGTGGATATTGTCTGATTCAAGATCCTGAACTCCACGGGCAAGTTCACATGCCGGATGCAATGTTCAGTTTAATGGGGTTTCTGGATTCTTGGGGTTTCTTGCTATATTGACAGTCCTGCAGTTTGAAAATCTGAAACTTTCAACATTGAAATTTACAGGGTAAGGATCCCTTAATTTTCATCCTTAACTTCAAAGACTGCCGATCAGCATGTACAAAACTATTCATCTCATTACTGGCCAGTCTCATAACATTACAAGTGTTATCTTCACTGAACATAATGTCGACATACCTGTTTCCACTGAGTTGGTTCAAAACGTCAATGCTAGTAGTTTGAATCAATGGAAGATGATTTTGTTTGTGAGCTCAAAAGACAAGGAAGGATAAGGCCAATTTTAGAAATGTCAGAATTTTGAGTTTTTTTAAAACTTTGAAATATTAATTTACAAATTTTCAAATTAATGTTTAAATGGACATATAGCCTTTTTTATTATTAATCATTTTGGATTTTCACATGATTAAATACATCAGTAGTGAGCATTTAGTATCCTGTAAAATTGATATCCTGTAACTTTTGATTTCTTAGGTTTGATAGATAACTGAAATGTCTTCCGATGAGCAAGTTTCAGCTGATTAAAGTTCATATATTAAGAAGTCTGTTCGTGAGTGGAAATTTCCTGAACTAGGCGCAGGTATTAAGAACGATTTCTCGGCCCAACTGCACAAGTTCCTGGCCAACCTGACAGACACACGGTGGAAGCTTGAGGGGAAGACTGTCCTGTACATTCCCACAGAGGGGATGCGGATCCCTCCTGACGTGGCGGCCAAGAACAAGGAGCTGGTCCAGAGGCTGGAGAGTAAGTAGACTTGTGACCTGGTGGAATAATGTGGAGGAGGATTTGGTGGAATAATGTGGAGGATAAAGATGGTGGAATAATGTGGAGGATGAGGATATGGGAATAATGCATAGATGGTGGAATAATGTGGAATATGGAGATGGTGGCATAATGCTTGGGTTGATGTGGATGGTGGAATAATGTGGAGGATCAGGAGGTGTCACGCAGGAAGGCGACTCTTTTTGGCGTGTAAAAACATGGGCCCTTTTTTCGTGTTTGCCTTTGTGCGAAAAGGGTGGACATTTGCAACAATGGTTTCGGGTGTTTATACAAGAACCCTAATGCCAGAGGAAAGCGACAGCCAGGGGCTTTATAAAAAAAAGCCCGGGCTTACACATGATTGTTGCTAAAAAGGTTGGGCAAGTCCTCAATAGTATCTAAATAAAAAGCTTTGCAACCTATCAGGCTTACACACACAAAAAAAGGCTTGCTACATGCCTGACAGCCACAAGACGTTCATGTTCATATTATTCATACATATGTCCAAAATAACAGTTTGTCATCTTATCATTTTATACAATATTTCACTTCCACTTCCACTGTCCTTCTTAAGCATTAAGATATGTACAAAGTATCATCTAACATGCTAATTTAAGAACATATGATGCACTGTCGGCATACTCATACACAGTCATCTGGTTGGAATCAAACTCCCACTTGAGTTCCTCAAACTTATTCCTTTGAAGATCTCTGTACTTCTTTTTCTCTGGTGGGACGTGCTGACCGGCGGCATATTGAACCAAGTTGATTTCCGTGGATTTCTGCTCTCTTTATAGGAATAGGAGGAATTGAGTTGCATCGCCTCTCATTTGAATGTCATTCTTTGTTGTCATTGAGACACTGCAATCTTTCGTTGTAGGTCTCCAATAATCTACCTCATTTGCTTTCCTCTTACTGATTCTGTACTTATAACTTCCAACTACCAAATACCTTCCACCTCGAGCTGTAGTTAGATACTTCTACTGTAGCCATTGGCAGATCCAGAAGGGGTGTTCAGGGGGTTCGACCCCCCCCCCCCCTTGAAAATGACTTAAGACCACATTGTAAATGACTTAAGACCACATTGAAGATTTTTTTTTATGTTGAACCCCTGAACCCCTCTCTTTCAAATGGTAGAAATCTTGTATCTTGTATATTATATATAAAACTGTTGACATTGTTGCTTTATGCGATTGATACAAAACTCACAATTCTTATGATAACCAATAGGGGTGACTATTGAGGGCAAACAACTATTGTATTGCAACATACTATTGCGATATACTATCTATTGTGATAAACTATTTGACAAACTATAACAATAGTGTGTTTTTTCTAATCCTTACGCTAATCCCCAGTTAATCTCCCACATAAACATTACTGTATCAACACTAAACATCAAAGGGTGCCGTGTTTCGCCTTTGTGCGAACAGCCAAAAATTAAAAAGTCACCTTCCTAAGAATAAACCGATCCGAATGTTAAATGATGAATAGGTTGAGAAGGAGGGAGGGATGTTGTGGAATATATACCTGAAGTGTGCTTCTCACTATATATTAAGCATCTCTTCTTTTCCCGGAATAACTGCATTTGAGGTTTTTGTTTGCTCACAGGTTTATCTTTTTGTAAGTAACACCTCTTCCCAGGTTTGATTTTTTTAAGTAAGACCCTCTGTTTGAACATCAACATTCCCAGGTTTTACTTTTGTGTAAGTAAGATCTCTTCCCAGGTTTTACTTTTTGTAAGTAAGATGATTTTTCCTAATTCTATATGTCAACATTCAAATGATATTGAAATCAATTGTAAAATATCATCCAAGGTCAATTTCAAAGTGCAAATATTTTCCCAAGCAGGATTAGAACGCATCTATCAGGTTAATAAGCGGGCACTCTACCTCACGACCACCGAGCCAACAAAGGCATCAGGGTTAAATTATTGATAGTTACTGTCATTAAATTGATTTTACTTGTGCTTCAGATATTGTTAGGTAGCTTCATTAAATGGACCGCCTCCGTGGTGTAGTGGTTAGAGCGTCCGCTCCGAGAGCGGAAGGTCGTAAAACCTCAGTTCGATCCCTGACCGCGTCATACCAAAAGACGTTAAAATATAGTACTTGTTGGTCCTTCCCTGGCGCTCGGCATTAATGGGTACAACAAGGACTGGTCGGCTTGGAGTCAGTATAATGTGTCTGAGTGTGATATTCATGCTTCACTGCGTCATGGTATCTCAGTGGGCTAGCACTATAAAACCAGCTTCAGTCTGGGCTAGTACAAGGTTTTACAGCAAACATTGTAACACATACATACACACGCATGCAGTTTTCATGGTTATTGAAATATTCTCAAGCACGACGTTAAACCCAATTTCACCTCACCAGCTTCATTAAATGATGATCTACGTAATGATTATCCATCATTGACGGTTTATATGTTAGGGAAAACACTTCCCCTCGGTTTTGGTAGAGAATGTAAAACCAAGGGATTTCTCTCCTCCCAAGGTTTTACATTCTCTACCATAATCTCGGGGGGCGTGTTTTCTCCTATGCATAAAGATGGAGGAATAATGCATGTGTTGATATGAAGGGTGGAATAATGCTTGTGTTGATATGGATGGTGGAATATTGAGGAGGATAGGGATGGCAAAATAGTGCATGGGTTGATAAGGAGGGTTGAATAATGCATGTGTTGATAAGGAGGGTTGAATATTGCACAGGTTTATAAGGGCAGTGGAATAATGCATAGGTTGATAAGATTAGAATGCTTGAATAATGAATGTTTTTATAATTATGGTGATTTTTTCTTATCCTGACTCATGATCTGTTGCTTATCTCCCTTTTCTTTTCGAATGGTAGTGGAAACACTTGAATCCCTTGAAATTCCCGAAGCAGGTGTAAAAATACACTCACCCACGAGGTTCCTCCCTTTTGCCCTTTTCACGCGCAATCAGTCATGTGACCAGCCTTACTTGTCACTCTCTCCCTTTTTGCCCTAGTGGATGGTTGGGCGAGCAGTGGAATCCCATATACGGCATTATATTCTTTTTATTTAGATCTTATTCTTCAAAATTATGCTGTGTATGGATTTGGCTATAACTACTTTGTATTATATGTAAAAAAAATTACGTTTGCGGAGGGACCTATTTACAAGAGCCGGCCTTCGACACACATCTCTACGCAGACGCTTTGATACAAGGCTGGGGTGCGCATCTCAACAATCAAGTTGTATCAGGAAGGTGGTCCAAAATAGAGCAGCATCTTCACATCAATCTGCTGGAGATGAAAGCCGTGATCAACGCCTTTCAACTTTGGTCGAGCTCACTGAACAACAAAATGCTGATGGTCCACATGGACAACTCTACAGTGGCATTCTCCATAAATCGGTCTCCAAGCCTGCTACAGCTCACATTCCAGTTGGTCCACATCACGGAGGAAGCAAACATCTGGATAAAGGCGTGTCACATACCCGGAGCCAAGAGCGTACTTGCAGACGCTCTCTCCCGACCATTGCACCCGCCACCTACGGAATGGATGCTCCATCCAGAAGCATTCCGGCTCATCATAAGGGAAATAGGATCCCATTGCATAGACCTGTTTGCCACGAGGTTCAACAAACAACTACAGACATTTGTCTCACCAGTTCCAGATCCTCAAGCCTGGGCAACAGATGCACTGAGCATATCTTGGGAAGGACTAAACGCTTACGCGTTTCCTCCCCCGATATTACTACCGGAAGTACTTTTTAAGATCAAACAGACACAGGCGCTACAACTGACTTTGGTCGTGCCATACTGGCCAGCGAGAGTATGGTTCCTAGACCTAATAGAAGATCTCGGAAGTCCAACAATCAAGTAACCAGATTGGCCGAACCTACTCATACATCTGCACACCAAGCAAGTCCACGGGAACCCGACATCGTTCCAGCTACACTTGTGGACTGTATCAAAACATTTTCGAAGAAAAGAGGATAGTCTGCCAGGGCAGCCAAGGCAGTAACGCTAGTGTTACGCAGATCTACTCGTAACCTGTATGATGACAAATGGCTGAAGTTTGAGACTTATGCAAGGCGGAAAGGCTTCATTGCGATGAAAGCTACTCATCCTCAAGTGGTGAATTACCTGTGTCATCTTAGACAGACCAGACATCTGAAAGGCTCGACATTATCTACATACCACGCCGCCATCAGTACAGTCATTACCATGAAAACAGGCATCAAGTTGACAAAATTACCAGAATTACTTGCTCTGATCTTTTAAACTGGAGGACCAGCAAAATAAGTTCAGAGCTCCGGCCTGGGATCTGAATGTAATTCTACGTCATCTTACGAGTGATGCCTACGAACCTCTGGATCAGATTACCTTCGAGCTGCTGACACAGAAGACTCTGTTCCTGCTTGCGCTAGCCACGGCAGCTCGAATATTGGAGATACATGCGTTGGACTTTGGTCGAACCAGATTTCGACACAGGGCAACATGCTGCAATTCATCTAGGACTTAGATGGGACTTCATTGCCAAGAACCAACTACCTCGTCAGCCAGATAGACAGTTCCACATACCAGCGCTAGCTACAATCCTTGGAACAGGATATAGAGGACCTATCCTTGTGTCCGGTCAGAGCCCTGAAGATATATCTTCAAAAGACTAAGACAAGGAGACAAAAATTCAAGCGCCTGTTCATCCCATTATCCACAGAGACGTCAAGAACGACGATATCGTTCTGGATGAGAGCCGTCATATTGAGAGCCTCAAAAGCAGCAGGACTAGAACCTCCTAGAGCTTCCAACCCACATGAAGTCAGAGCACTGGCGTCAACACTGGCTCTGCATGGAAATTGCTCTATATCTGCAATTATGGAGGGCTGCTTTTGGAAGTCGGACACAGTGTTTGCCAACCACTACCTCCGAGACATAGTCACTGGAGACGTCTCAGGCATTCACCAATTTGGGCCTCTCGTTGTAGCACAGCAACTAACGGTTCCTCAAAGGCGCGCTGAGTTGGAAAATCTCACCCTTTATCACGTTGACTTGTTGATAACTTTTACTCAGGAAAAGTAATAGTTTGAAAGTCCATGCGCACAGTCTAGGACAGGCTAGCAATTGAGTGATTAAAGATCCTGTACGGGTAATGATCTTACCTGTACGTGAAGGGATTGCAACTCATTTATGATAAAGATCTTATCATAATCTATGGGTTGTTATAAGATATCTAGTAATAGGAAGATACTAGTTTATCTGTAGCCACATGAATCAACATGATTCAACTTGTCTGAGATGGAAGTAAGACAAGAAAGTGGTCCCCCCCGAGTTATAACGGAAGTTGGAAGAATAGAATCACGGAAATGCCGTTTCGCAGTTCCCATGGGGGGGATACAGGACATATCAAAGGACAGCTGTTGAATCCACGAAGTGGCTTGACCCACCACCAATCCTTCGGATTATATAAGCAAAAGATCATGAGTCAGGATAAGAAAAAATATGTAATTTTTCAAGTAAAATTGATAATTTATACTTATCCTGACTCATGATGAGAAGCCCTCCCAACCTCCCCGCTGGAAACACTTCGGATTTCACAGCAGATCTAAGTGCATGGGCAGAAAATCAGGAGAGAGTGACAAGTAAGGCTGGTCACATGACTGTTTGCGCGGGAAAAGGGCAAAAGGGAGGTAACTCGTGGGTGAGTGTATTTTTACGTCTGCTTCGGGAACTTCAAGGGATTCAAGTGCTTCCACTACCATTCGAAAAGAAAAGGGAGATAAGCAACAGATCATGAGTCAGGATAAGTATAAAAATATCAATTTTACTTGAAAAATTACATGTAGTGGATGGTAGTATAAAGTCAGTTGAGTGATGCTTTGATGAGGTTTGGTGGCATAATTTATGCAAGATTAGAAAATATAAGTATGAAAAAGTTGAAATATGAAACTACTTTTCTATTAATAATCTATTTTGTTTCAATGGTTTCATGGTATTTCATGCTTCTTGTTCTGTTATGAGTAAACAAAAACGTCCAAAACACACCTGGAACAGTTGAGTGGATCCATCAAGAGCACTTTGATATCATTTTCCTGCAACTGTTACTTCTTTCACAGCGGCAATGATTCACTGGGCGAGACAGATCAAGGAAGTCCTCAGTACCCAGGATGCCTTTGAGATGGCGGAGAACTCCGGCCCACTGGAAGAGATCGAGTTCTGGAAGAACAGGTGTGCCGATCTGTCTGGCATAAGTAGTCAGTTGGATAAACCAGGAGTCAAGAGGATCACCCAGGTCCTCGAGCTAGCCAAGTCTTCCTATGTGTCCTCCTTTCTTAAACTCTCCAGCCAGATTAAGGTAAGTTCAAATTTTTAACTGTTTATTTATTAACTCAGATCATTGTACTTCATTCAGGAACATAGGTGTGCTGCCAAAGGTTCTGCAATACATTATACAGAGTGACATCCCTTGTGTATACCAGAATCCTATTATCCGTTCAATTCCTCATTCCCCCTGATTATGTTACCAGGATTGTCCCTCATCTAAGCTTCTCAAATGGTCATGTCTGTACTGTTTGTAAACAATAAAGGGAGATAACTCTGCTACACTTTCTGTTACAATTGGATCTTACTGTGTTTGAGTTCTTTACTGCAGTTGACACTCACTACAAATACATCAACAATCTCACATAATAACACTACAAGTTATCTATTCCGTATCTGCCTTTCCAGGAAGGATCCAGACAAGCTGAGAGTAACCTGAAGTTCCTGATGGTGCTGAAAGACCCCTGCCATGAGCTGACCGACGCCAAACCCAAGGACATCCCAGTGCTGCTTCCCAAGATCCTCAACCTCATCCGCATGATCTGGGTCAACTCGGAGTTCTACAAGACCAGGGAGCGACTGACCGGCATACTCAAGAAGGTAAGTGAGATGGCCAGTATTGGTGTGAGGGCATTGGACATCATAATGTCAAATAATTAACTCATTCACTTATAGCAGACATTATTCACATTCAGATGTCAAAAGATTCAACGGGTTCATCATTTTGAATCATCTAGTCTGTCAGATTTCTGTCAAGTGGTGAAAGCGTTTATCCTTCATGCCGAAGACCTGGGTTTGATTCTCTTCATGGCGGAATGGTGGAATGTTGCCTAAAGCGGTGTACAATGTGACTCACTCATGCTATCATTTAACAGTCTGAACCTTTGAACCTTCCATCATTCTTTCCAGCAATCCACCTGTCATTCCGTGTTTTCTTCCCGGTGTCCCTGCTTCCACCAATTCCCTATTAAGCCATAAGAACAAATCAAATAACAAATAATCTGTTCTTAAGCGTGAACACATTCATAGCCTTCTCCATGAAGTTTCACAAACAGCTGATTGAAGATTTGCATATTCTAGAAGTTGTGCGTAACCATGGCAACCTGATTCCAGATGAGCAATGAGATCATCCGTCGCTGCTGTCGGGACATCAACCTGGACAAGATCTTCGACGGCTACGTCCAGTCTGGGAAGAAGACCCTGAAGGACTGCATCAAGTGTTGTGAGGAGTGGAAGGAGATCTACGACCGGGTGAGGAGACACTGCCCTGCCCCCTGCCCTGCCCTGCCCTGCCCTGCCCCCTGCCCTGCCCTGCCCTGCCCTGCCCTGCCCTGCCCTGCCCTGCCCTGCCTGCCTGCCCCCTGCGCCTGCCTGCGCCTTGCCTGACCTGACCTGACCTGCCTGACCTGACCTGATTGCCTGCCTGACCTGACCTGATAACTGCCAATGGCCTATATTTTTCTCTGCAGAGTAGCATCCCATAAAGCCTCCTACATTAATCTAGGCAGTTTACTCTGCTGAGTTATGTCTCATAGTGTGCCCAAATGCTATGACTTCTACACCTTAGGGGCACTGTGGCCCAGTTATTTGAAGTGCTGCAATTTTGCAGAGTTGTGTCCCCTTGGTGTTACAGGATGCTACTTATACATTACCTATACATTACATCACCAATTCGAATTGGAGAGTTGTTTAAATTGCACAAAACCACAATGAGATGAACAGGTGTCCACATGGGAACATAATAGCCTGCTAGTCTGAAACTACTGGAAATCTGAAAGGGCTTGTGTTCCTCCCAAACCTTCAAACGTTATTATATTATTATACTGTGAGTATTATATGAGTAGTCTGAAATAAAAAACAGTTTGATGCAAATCATGGTCAACCATATTCTTTTGCCTGATAAACAATTGTTGTCTCTTATGAAATAACTTGTTCCTTTGTTCAGTTGATCTACATGATAACTAACATTGTAAACCAAAAGTCACCGTGTTCTTTAATCTGAATGGTTGAAAAACATGATCGAATGGTACTTGATTCCCAGAAATTGCAAGACTATTCACTGCATATTGACACGTACAAATATCGCACACAATTGTATTGTTGCGTCGTCAGCAGTGGTGACATCATTCAAATCATATTGTGACATAAAGTCGGAATGACGTCACAAATGAGCAGTTCAAGATGCTACCATGGGAACCAGCTGAAATGGCCGGCTGATGACACTTCACTGCTGTACCCGTACTTGATGTCAATGAGTGCAGACAGTAAAAGCCATGTGGGCCTTTTGGTTTAGTTTTGTGTTTACAATGTCAATAAACATCATGTGTTGGCCAATTCCCCCGGGTGTTATTGAGTATTTGAAGCATGGGAATATTTCATTTGCAACCAACGGCGTGCTTCAAATACTCAATAACACCCGGAAATTGACCAACACATGATGTTTATATCCTAAATATGTTTCGTATCTCCTGTACGTGTATTTGTATGTTGAGCTTTGTGTATGTTTGTAGACGGCCAAGTTGCACCACAAGTTCTCCCCCTCGGGCTGGGTTCTGGACAAGAGCAGCATCTTTGCCCAGATTGATGCTTTCATACAGAGATGCAAGGATCTCCTTGAGGTAGGCATGTTCAAACGCTTTACGTAATATAACAAAGCACCATGAATGTGAACCTTTTCACTAAATATTTAAAATGCTATTCCTTTATGTCCTTTTGTTCACACTGGACAGTTCCTAAATGTAGAGATTTCTTTTATTGCAGGTTTGTGAGGCTCAGATCCACTTTGCCCGTATGGAGGATGGGAATCGAACAGAGATGCCGTACTTCGGAGGTCAGAAGGGGCCGGAGATCACAAGAGGTCTGCTGGAGATAGAGGCACAGTTTGGTAAAAATCTCAACATCCTCCGTTCTGTGAAGAAGACAATTCTGGATGTGAAGGCTACATCATGGCATGATGACTACAACAGGTATGTTGTATGTTGTATCCTGGACATCAAGATCAGAAAGGCCCCCATCCCTGAATATACGGACAGGGTGTGATACGGATGCTTTGTCTCCAAAAACACCTCTTATTTTTCTTGTGGTCTGGGGGGGCGATGGGGTAGCCTGGTGGTTAAAGCGTTCGCTCGTCACGCCGAAGACTCGGGTTCGATTACCCACATGGGTACAATGTGTGAAGCCCATTTCTGGTGTTCCCCGCCGTGATATTGCTGGAATATTGCTAAAAGCAGCTTAAAACCCAACTCACTCACTCACTCTTGTTGGTCTGTGACTGTTGGCGTGTCATGATGGAGACAGGTTGTAACAGGCCAAACCTTCTCCAAGACAGGTTTTAACAAGAATCTCAAATCAGCTAATTAACTATGAAAATATTTGCATGACTTTTAATTGTACTTTTCATGAACCATATCTGAGGAAGTTCAAGATCCTGCTGATGAAAAATGAGAGGATGTGACTGATGTTAATGTTCTGTTCAGGTTCCGGGCTGGTGTGAAGGATTTGGAGGTGATGATGCAGAACGTGATCTCATCAGCTTTCGACACAGTGACAACAGTGGAACAGGGCATAGAGCTGTTGGACGTCTTCATGCATCTTTCCACAAGAGAGGTCAGTTGCTGTTCTAGTGAAACCTTTGTCTTGTATGAGGTTCAGAAAAGGCATCCAGTACTTTGTGCGCCAGAACAGAAGAGATGTTTATTGCCAGTGCTTTTCCCCATTTTGAATTCCGGAACAGAAAAGAAGTCCAGTACCCTATTGGGTTCCAGGCCAGAATAGGTGTCCAGTATGAGGTTATATTGTCATTGTATTGAACATACCCCTATCTTTGTGATAACCCTAAAAATTTCCTTCCTTTCCAGGCCATCCGTCGCACCATTGACAAGAAGACTGTGGAGGTGTACACGCTGTTTAATGAGGAACTCAACTCTGTGAAAAAAGAGCTCTCACAGAAGGGGCTTGCTCCTCTAACTCCGTCACACCCTAAATTCTCTGGGATGGCGCACTGGGCTCGCCTGCTCAAAAAGAGAATTGAGAGGGGTATGATGGTAGGTAGAGGATTTTCATTGGTTGAGCTGACCAGGGTCAGGGGTCAAGGTCAAGGTTTGTTAAGGTGGAAGTCAATGGGAGAATGCACTTGCAGCTGATCTTATTTTTGTTTCATTTTGAGTGGGTATTTTGTTCTAATGTTGGTGATGGACTTTGTTGAATGTTTTTCAGATTGGTGATTTTAATTTATGCATGGTTTTTTGTCTATTAAAGATGAGATTTAGTTCAGAGATGAAGCTTTCGATCACCATCAATCAGTTTGTTAAAACACAAAATAATTGACATTCTTTTTGTTTGAGAATGTAAAAATACATTTCTGAATCGGATATCTAAAGTAGGAAGGCGTTTCCTATTCTCGCGGTACTTACAGATATCGGCTGAAAAAATAACACAAACAATTCTTATCGTATGAATGCTTGTTGTTTTTAAATGAAGGGCCTTCTCCTCTAACATCTACATCTGTCAGCTGCTAGATCCATCAGGTGAATTACCACCCGGTGATAAACAATACGATCCGCCATTGACGAAACGAGGCTTCTCCCATTCTTACGGTATTACCAGGAATTAACGTTATTGAGTGTATGTAAGTGCAATAGTGCCGGAAAGGGCGGCAAAAAGTAATGATATGTCCAAGTTGGTATAAATTCCCCAATATTCGTGACACTGCAAGATTTTGATCACTTACAGACTTGGTCCACTTCCTAGTTACCAGTTGGTGATGTAAACAACCGGTAAGTGTCGCGCATCAGCGATTTCGGCAGAAAACGTGTTTACCGCGAGAATAGGAGACGGACCTATACTAAAAGTAAACAAATATTTGGAAAATTAAGTCATAAGGTAACCTCCTTTCCCCTTTGTTTTTTTCATTATTGACAGAAATTTATCTGTCATTCTCAGCTGTCTTAGCTTTGATGATATCCTCAAGATGTTTATTCTATTCCATGTTGTGGAATGTATTTAGCCCAAGTAATTGTAAATTACCTGGGCCCAGATTTTCAAAGCTCTCTTAGCGCAAGAGAGCTTCGAAAATCTAGGCCCTGTTGTTTTAGTGATTAATGTGTAGATGACTAACCGTAATTATCTGTAAGATCAAATGAATCCCCGCTGATAAGTGCATTCTCCTGTTGTACGGCCGAGGGTGTGGGCTTGTTTAGATGTGATTCTAGTCATGTGATCTTCGAGAAGTGATCATGTGATCCTAGTCATCTAGTGGTTGCTGTGGTGATCGTGTAGTATGATATTATCCATAAACCGTTGTCATGTTGTGTAGAAGAAAGCTAGATGTAGCTAGCAGACCTGAACTTTGTTTTGCATTGTTAAATGATGGCTTTTTCTAATGTTGTTTGAAAACTATTTGCTGTATTTACATTTTACAACAAAATAGCCTTGTGAAAATTGTACCAGATTGGCTAAAACTGAACCAGATGTTGTTGGTAACAACAGCTCCATATATAATGTTCAGTATTGTAAAATATGTAGTATTTCACCATTTGTTTAACATTTATCGTATTTGACAAAAATCAACTATTTTACCATTTATTAAACATGTATGATATTTACTGATTATAAAGCATTTTATACCATATCATGCTATTCAACATAGACAACATTCCTATGACTCTAGAATGCGACATACTTACCTGTTACAGTTTAAATCTTATTCAGTCTCAGTATTTAAAATACAACTATAGTATGAAGATATGGTGATGTTTTTTACAGAAATCACTTATGTTTCTGCCACACCAGACATGTTTTCACCATTCTATTGCAGTTTGAGTTTGGCACTAATTATGTCTCCCCCGAAGGGTCGGGAGACATATTGTTTTTGGTTGAGTATCTGTCGGAGTTCGGGCATTGGCATTCCCATTGTTTCCGGAACATAACTCTAAAACTGCTTGAACAATCTTCACCAAATTTGGTATACTGCCTCTCCATATCATGTAGATGCGCCTTTTGGGGGTTTGAGTTTTATTCAATTTTCATTTTTCCTGTTTCAATTATTTATTTCTGTTGAGGTCTCAATGTTGAATTGGGGGAAGGGGGAGACATCTGTTTTTACGAGTAAAAACACTTTCTAGTTTGGCATTGTGTCATTTTTAGCCATAGCCCAAAGACTCATAATAATTCCTGTACTGAGATCATGCAACTCTCTACCACTAAACTTAATGATTTAGATGCTGGACAGAGCTCACTTCCTGCCCCAAATCGGGTCAGGGGAAGAGGTCAGAGGTCAGTACCAACAGCTGTGTATTGCACTGGATGACTTCATTCGCAAGACCTTCTATGAATGGACCCAGACAGTGGACAAGGTCAGTAGATCAGTTTGTAGCAGGATATTTTTTTTCCATAGATGTTTAATGGTTATAACCTTTACAGATACATTGAGCCATGATTGGTAGCCAGAATCCCCATTGGAACTGACAATGCAACATGTCTGTAGCCTTGAAGGAATATGCTTTATTTTGTAAAACCTATGTTATTATGGCTGAAGGGGTCGTTGTCGGCACGGGTACTACAGATGTGTACCCCAGGTACACTAGCCAAAATCAGAATACAGAAACGTACCCTTGGACGATTCCATTCTGCATTGTGGAGTTTTCTTCATCGGAACGGTCATTGCTGTTGTATTAGATGCATAGGATATCGTTATATAAGAGCATACACAGTAATGAATATGTCACGGTGCACAACGTACACCACTAGCAATCAGATGAACTGGAACAACTACATACGGTTTCGGTTTTGGGTTGCGGAATATGGACTCGTCCGTCGTTTAGGGTACCGGGTACGTTTCTGTAGTTTGTCTTTGTTTAGGGTACATGTCTGTATACAGAAACGTACCTGGGGTACGTATCTGTAGTACCTGTGCCGACAACGACCCCTTCAGCGTTATTATGCACAGACAGTGATACTTAAGTTGAAAACTTTTAATAAAATTTGAAACAAAAATATACATGCAATACATCCAGCCATAATCTCGCGCTACAGATCAACACAAAGTATTGTTATATGAACCTGTATAGCAATAAACATTATAATGAAATGTTTGAACCTTAAGTAACAGACGTAACAGACAAAGCAGGAGTGATTATTTTTAGTTTCATATTTTTTAGTTTCGTATCACTCTGCCTTCTTATAACTGCTGTCATAGATATGGCCTTTTACAATTACTACATTTCAAATTTAAAAAAACCACAACATTTCATATAATAATCATTAAAGGTTAATGTACGTCAGCTTGTACATGATATTACTAGTACACTAATATACTCCACAAAATATTTCAAAGGACAAGTATTGCAGTAGGTTTTCTTTGAAGCAATCTATTGTTTATTGGGTAATACAAATATAACAAGTTTCATTACTATTCATGTAGTTTAACCTAAAATCTAGTCAGAAATTTATTCACAAAAAATATTTTCATTCATGGTGTGTACGTGATTTTCTCTCACATTGTTGACTCCCCTTAATTCACAACAACAAAATGAGTGATATTTACCAGTGTACATTGTCTTCTGGGTTTGAATTTTTTTTCATTCCTGAAATTATTTAGACTTTGTCTGTTCTATTAATTACACAGATAAGTCGCAATATTCAGCAATATGTAACACGATTGTAATTCTGGTTTCTGTTATGACATTCACAGTGGCAGTTGTGGAAGAAACCGTAGTGTTTTAAATTCTGCAGATGTTTTACATGGACATAATTAGTTACAAGTAAAAGTGTCCTACTGGTAAAACGTCATTACTGTCTGTGTAGATTTATCGTATCTATTGTGGCTCAATATACCTGGTCTTGAACTTCCAGTTTTATCTCTCTCTCTAAATATATATATATATATATACTCCTTTCTCTATACATACACAAAGAACTTAATTAAGCACCCCCCTGTAGTTTTGCAATGATAGGTTTTCAACACATACATAAAACTTCTTGTGGTGACCACGATGGAAAACATGAATTTTTTTACCCGTATGATCCTTTGACTCATAAAAAACAGCAAAATAATTGGAATCCATGTTGATTTTATGATGATAAATGCTCATTTTGAAACAACACTGATTTTCATACAAAACCATGTTTGTACATGTATGCCCTGGAATGTTTAAAGTGGAATTTATTGGTGAATCTTAACATTCAAAATGTCATTTTACGTGTCTTACACGATTCAAGGTCAATACCGAGTTTAAAATCCATGTGACTGTTTGACAGCCAGCACTCTCCTCATACCCCTTGATCCAGTCCTCATGCCAGATTCTGTACATGAGGATACCTTTCTTGCTCAGGGTGACCAATAATGTCCCATATATGCTCCAAAGGATTAAGATCGGGGCTCATTCAATCCTGAGATATGTCAGGGGGTGCTTAACTAAGTTCTTTGTGTATATATATATACTTATTATATCTATTGGGGATCTTGCCTCCTACCCAGAGGCTGTATCCGTCACAGCTTAGTTTTTACAAACCCATAAAGTAGGGACGTTTATCAGCTGTACATTATCTTAACAACGTATGGTATGATTTACAACTTCTTTAATATTTAAAACACGACATTTCTGGGCTACTTCTTGCCCCTTCATCAGGTGAATGATAGAATATGATTACGAGCAAAATATATAGTACGTACAGGAAGCCAGTGAGATGGAATTACAGATTGAGATGTACAGAGATCAAGGAGATTAAGTGATATGTTTTGATTGAGATGTACAGAATTAAGAGATTAAGAGGTATGTTTATGCAATGTGTTTGATTGGTATGTACAGACTGTTTATACAACGAAAAGGATAGGATATACATGATAGGATTGATTGGAAGCCACTAATGAAACCAGTGATAGGAAAACACACATTTGAAAACAATGATAGTAAGGAGCAAGAAGTAGCCCAGAAAACTTGTTGGACAAATTAAAGAAGTTGTAAATCCATACCATATGTTGTTATGTTTCCTTCCAACTTTGGGTACAATGTGTGAAGCCCATTTCTGGTGTCCCCTGCTGTGATGTTGCTGGAATATTGCTAAAAGCGGCGTAGAAATAAACTAAACGCTCAGTCAGTCAGTCAGTCGTTCCAGCTTCTAAATGCCTATCAAGCATCTGAGCTGTACATTATCCTTTGAGACCTTCTTGTACAGATACCACAGTTTCCAAATCTTCTCTGACATTTTCTACTAATCAATGTATCTTTCTTTGTTCCAGAACCATGTAAGTTTCTCTTTGCTTCTTGCTATTTGCCATTCCATAGATTTATCTGTGTCATGTAGTGACCTAATGTCACGTGGTCTCACCAACGTGTACTGCACACTGCACCTTTTGAGACGTGAATTATTTCACGCATAATGTCACATATTTCGCTAAATATTTTATCAATAACATATTTTTTCGGGTAGGCCTTATGGAGCTGATATTAAAACATTATTTTCCAACCCTCCACACCTTCAATCCAGCCCCTAGTAAATTAAGACACCTGCTAGAATCGATCTTGGATTTGATATTGTTTGGCCTGGGTGTATGTAACATATCTGCTTTTAGCATTTTAATGTAGTGTTATGAGCAATGAGATGCGATTCATATATCCCCATAGAAATATCCATCATCATCATCATCATCATCATCATCATCATCATCATCATCATCATCATCATCATCATCATCATCATCATCATCATCATTCACACTTTCATTAGACATATGTGATAGTGTTGTGCAACAACATTTACTGTCCCAATAGTAAATCCATGTAGATTAGTATTGCTTAAACACACACTGCAGAGTTAACTTTGTTAACATATTTTCTTTTCGAATACTGGAAGTACTTTCAAGGAGCTGCAATCAATTTGCAGTCACATAGTTGCTTCCCTTAGTGATTCCAGAATCTACAGATAGTGAATTTGAGTCCTAGATTTGTGCAGATTATGATCCTTGTGTACAAAGCCTGCATCACTTCGGGCTTGCTTTCCAAATTAAGCTGGGACCAACTATATATGTAGCTTAGATATTGTACATTATAAGTGGCCCACCCCCCCGGGCTAAGGTTAACCCCTTTTTCTTTCCTTAGTAGGCCCACTAAATACACAACCATTACAGCTTAACTGTAACATAATAAATATACGCTAAATATGCTTTACCATGTTTTTTCACTTATCAGCCCCAAACCCCACCCCACCCCACCACCCCCAAATATAACAACCCCACTTTATTTATAAACTCTATCAATTTAGTTCTGTTATTCATCTCCCCTAATTTATTAAAACAAACCATTTTATTTTTCCTTTCCTTTTTATTTATTTTATTATCATATTTGTAAACGTTTTCATTCTAAATTCAAGGTAAGTTAACGCCCCTTCATTAACATTTTGTTGGGTATGGTTGTTTACTCCTTATTATAAACATATTCATTATTAACTTAATTCCCACCTACCCCGTCGGCGACATTGGCTACAGTCTGAAGCCGACGTTAAACTCTAATTGATGATGATGATGATGATGATGTAACACACTCCATCACTCAAGTCTTGTTCTCATCCAGCCAGCATCCTTCACATGTGATGAAATTGTTAGGAACTCAAAAGAAATTAGAGGAACATAAGGAGTATCACTGACCAAACTTGAATATAATAATTACTTGAAATGTATTTGAAAGCCATCTTCAGACCCTCCCACACCAAATAAATCTTCCCAGTGTCATGCACAATTTGTGTTTGTCAAAAACTGTGTTATCATGAAATGGTGGTGGATTTGTGTTGTTTTTGTGATAGTGGTGGTATCTGTCTGGCAACTACTTTTTATTTCATCCCATTTTGTTTCTGTTTTAACCTACCAGATAGTCTGTAGATTGTGAATTCAGTGGATGAAAGTATACTCATTGGCGGATCCAGAGGGGGGTTCAGGGGGTTCGAACCCCCCCCCTTTTGAAAATGACTTAAAACCACATTGAAGATTTTTTTTTTTTTTTTTAGTTAGCGGAGCTAATGTGGGGTTCAGGGGTTCAAAAACCCTGAAACTCCCCCACCCCTCCTTTCAAAATTCCTGGATCCGCCCATGATACTGAAGTTAATAATTGAAGTGTTGAACATGAAGTGTAGATTGAGACTTATTCAGTTTGAGGAATCAATGGTACTATGAATATTTCCTGTAAATTCTAAATTCAAGCGGACAAGTATGAAAATCAGCAATTTAATGATTTGTTGTAATGCAACACGCAACAGACAGACATTAGACGATGTTTTGTGACCTGGTGTGAATGTCTTTAACAGGAGCCCCAGAAACAGCTGGAGGCACCGCTGATGTGTCGCAGTATGGAGAGACCACCCATGTTGGACATCAACTTTAACAGGTAGGCATCATGGCTTCACATGGTCAGTGTGACTAACTGTCTCAAAAAAAAAGTTATCTTACTGAAAATAAGTATCTTAAAAAACACTAAATTATGATCCAAAAGAAGCGCATAGCAATTCCTAGTCTCCACGGCAGTCTAGATTAGCCAAATTATTTTAGACTTAAGCTATATTTATTCACTCTCTGGGATCTGTGTTTTTAGTCTGTCTAAACATCACATGGTGATCAGTGGTGGCATGTGGTCCTGTGCATAGTGCTCAGGTCACAAATCAGTTGAAGTTAAGCAACACAGGGCGCGGACAGTGCTCGGATGGGTGACCGTGTTCGGCATCTTGACTCTTGAGAGTTTCTTGGACTTTAGTCCTGCCCCACAATGAAGCACACGTGACACATGTGGTCTCACCTTAGGCAAGTGAGTTTGTTCAAAATTGCCTCTGTTCACCCAGCAGAAAATGGGTACCCGGTAGGATAAGTCATGTGACTATAACCTTCTAGCACCTCATAGGCAGCTTGGGTTATCCGGGGTAATAAGGAATTGTCTGTTTGTATGCGTTTCGAGCAAGCACTTGGTGAATGGAATTTAGCGCAATAGAAGTACACATTATTATTATTATTATTAAAGATATCTTTACTCGTTTTTTAAATTTGTATGTAACATTTAAATGTTTTGCATCTGTTGTTTCATATGAATTAACAGCAAATGTTACTACAGTTAATTGGTTAACTAACCAAGCAATATGTTTTGCATTTATGTTTCTATAAACCAAAAATATATTTTAGCCATGTATACTTATGGAGTACTGTTTACTGTTTGCACACCAAAAATGACTTTAAAAGATGTTTTGAATGCATCTTTGCAAATTGAAATGTATCCCTGATATTACCATCTCATCACATTCAGGTTGTGTTAAGAAAGGTGCCTCTGAAAATATGTACCAAATATTTTGTCCATCTTGTCACTGTGTGACCTTGCCCTTCAGGAACATGCTGAAGATGTTCCAGGAGATCCACTACTGGGAGAGGCTGATGTTCGAGATCCCACACTACGCAGCCGATGTCTACTCCAAGAGGGAAGACCTCCGTAACCTGCGTGAACACGTGCTACTGGTTGTCCGAGACTACAACAGGTCAGCTAATCGTATCAGTTGGGGTTGGGCCAACTCTATGACATCACCGTCTTCCCAGCTCCATGAAGTGAATATTATAAGTTGTTCACTGGTCACGAGGGGTGGGCATGGGTTGATGTACCCTCCATGTTTGTTTATGTTCCCTGAGCCCGAAGGGCAAGGGGAACATAAGCAAACATCGAGGGTACATCAACCCATGGGCCCCGAGGGACCTGAGTGAACAACGTATTTATCTTACTGAACACCTTATTGTTAATTTTGAAGCACGGGTACAAATCTTTTTGTAGCCATCGCTAGATTTTGCTGACAAGGAAAACAGATTTAGAGTTATCTCCCTTCCATCGCCCTTAAAGCTCAGGGAACATAAACAAACATCGAGGGTACATCAACCCATGTCCCCCTCGTGACCAGTGAACAACTTATATGATTATCTATATAACAGACTGACATCTTTCCAGAATTATCGCTGCATTGTCACTGGAGGAGCGAGGATTGTTCCGGGAGAGGATCAAAGTGCTAGATAAGAAGATCCATGCCGGACTCACCAAGCTGACATGGGCCTCGAAGGGGATATCGGACTACTTTGTTGGCGAGTGTCGAGTTCATGCCAGTAAGGTACAGGCAATAGTGGATGACTACAAGGGGGCCAACATGACTGTCTCCGGCCACTGTGTCAAGATCAGCAAGACTCTACTGGTGAAGATCGACAGCAGGAAGATCTATGAAAATCTGGAGTTTGATGAAGATCAGGTGGGCTTAACTTCATGGCCAAAATTATGTTACAGCCCAAGCATCATTTTCTGTAAACTTCATGCCGATAGTAGACTGTCATTAGCGTGCTAGACTCAGACTTTGGACTTCTGACTAATGTTTAGACATGTGTCATTTTGTATTCCACTGAAATTGCAGATAAATGCAGTGATTTCCCTCTTGAAAGAAATCAAGGGTTGTAAACCATCAAAAAGTAATATTATGTTCTCAGGTTTCTTTTTGACCTGTGTGGATCGACCTTTGCATCAATCCCAAATATGATAACTCACTCCTGCAAAATTTAATTGAATATGTTTCCATGTCTGCAAATTTATTATTGTAGCATTTTTCTAGTATGATTAAGTGGAGTATCCATGTGTCTGCAGGCCAGACTGCGAGAGTCTGTACAGAAACAACTCAAGGAGATCCATGAGGAGATTGTATCCACCATGAACCAGACGCATGATGTCTTCAAACACGACGGAGCAGAGGTGAGGCAACTGGCACTTTAGTTGCAGTAGTTACCATGCTAAGTGCTAAAGATTGTTTGAAAACCGACAAAGTCCTAAGCTCTTGCCTAAATCATACACAAGTTAGAATTGTTCTTTCGAGATTGGGTTTTAGTGAGAAAAACATTTCAAACGTTTATGAAACTAAAACTTATAAGTGTTGGGAATTGGTTAAAATCTGATAATTGATGATTGGTTCATTACAACCATTTATGAAATTTGTAAATACACACCAAAAAATACAGGAAAAAACATGTAGTTCTTTGGGGTTTTGGGGCAAATTTTCACATCTATAAAGGATGACTAGTATGTTAGGAACATGGATTTCTTAGAGTCTTTAAGATAATTCAATCATGACTTGGAACGAGCTTGTAGTGCTTATGAAATGTAACAGACAAAACCAACCTAGTGAAAATTACTGTTAATGAAAAAAAGTGTTCCAGAATTGTTTGTGTTCGATTATGAGAAAACATGATCGATTGCTTGGTCGTTTAGTCACTCAACGACCAATCTTCGATTATTTCAATTAATCGGACCACCACTAATACTTATATCAGCAATAGTAGGCAATTTTATACCCATCCTCTCTGTTGTTTTCTTTATGAATCTGTAGTGTATGCAAGAAAGAATGAGTGTCACGTCAGTGTTTGGTCTTAGAGGGTGGTTATGAGTATTATACATAGACTGGTCTAGAAGTTTGTTGGAGCAGAGCAGATATGGTTTGTTTTGTTTCTGTTGTGTGTAGTTGTTGTTGCTGTTGTAGTAGCTGTTGTAGCAGCTGTTGTAGCAGCTGTTGTTGCTGTAACTGCTGTTGTTATAGTATCTACTGTTGTAGCTGCTGCTACTACTGTTGTGAAGCTGTCGGTGTAGAAGCTGTTGTTGTTGAAGAAACTGTTGTTGTTGCTGTTGTTGTTGCTGCTGTTGTTGTTGCTGCTGTTGTTGTATGACACGCTGATGATGTTGTCCAGGTTCAGCAACACTGGCACCGCTACACGGAGAAGATGGACAAGATGGTGGAGGAGGCATTCCGTCTCAACGTCAAGTACTCCCTACAGGAACTGTCCAAGGCCATCAACGGGGATGGCAAATCTCAGCCAAATCCACTCTTCAGGGTCAAGGTCATTCTGGAACAAGATAAGGTTTGTATTACCGAACTATTACCATCCTTGGAGTTATATTCAAAACGTTTCTGCAACTCATCTAACCTTGAAAAATGGAATGGTGACTACCTGGGTTAGAAAAACTCTTGCACTATGCATGAGTGAGTGAGTAAGTTTAGATTTATGCCGCACTCAGCAATATTCCAGCTATATGGCGGCGATCTGTAAATAATCAAGTCTGGGCCAGACAATCCAGTGATTAACAGCATGAGCATCGATCTGCATAAGTTGGAACCGATGACATGTGTCAACCAAGCCAGCGAGCCTGACCACCCGATCCCCTTGCACTATGCATGAACCGAAAGAACAGATTTGAGGAAAGTCTGTGTTATGCTAAGTGTCTAGAGTGAAGAACGTCACACAAAAATTTGTCCACGCTTTCAATAATTTTGACAATGTTCACTCCAACAATTCTTTCCTGTAGGTGGAATTCTCGCCCACCCTGAAGCAGCTGGCTACTATCATGGGGAACATGTCATCCCATCTCACCAAGGCCATCTCCGGCATCAAGAGGCTGCCTGATGCTCTCCGGACTAGGAAGAAGTCCATGAGAGAGCTGGTAAAGTTTTATTACTGGCCAATGGAATGGGATCCCAACAAAGTGAAAATGTTGTGGAATGATGTGGGAAGTTAGGGGGGTTTTAACATCCTTTTGTTTGCTGCTGCACGATAATGGTCCAGGCACATTATATATTTAACTTTCTACATAGGGTTATATTTCATTGTGTTATCAATGGTGTCAGGTTTAGAGTGGGGCTCACCTTTTGATAAACCTACACCAAATCCTGGCTAGCTATTCTCAAAACGTTCATAGACCTACAAACTTCTTAAGCCCATTCTTAACACATTGGCTACAATCAAAGTTAAGAATTCTTAGGGCTACGAATGTTTTGAGAATAAGGGCCCAGGATCATTTCCTATGGTTCTTACAGCATCAAATTACCTGCCCTTGATTCTCGTTAATGTTTAACCAACCAATCAAGCATTGAGGTACGGACAAAGGAAAAGAGTAAAGCTGGCTTTTTAGGGCTAAAGTGTACACATCAATGAATTGGAAAAGCTGATTCTATGCTATGTTTCCAGGCTATATACGAAGTTATAGCACAGGATGACGAGACCAAGAAGATCCAGACCGTGGTTAACAGCGGTATGCAGAGTAACGCGTCTCACCTGCAGAACTATCTGAGCACCTGGGACAACTACAGGGAGATCTGGGAGATTCAGAAGGACGCCTTCATCCGAAGATACCAGAAACTCAACCCACAGGTGTCTTCGTTTGATGCAGATATTGGCAGGTATGTTGGATCACATCAGCCCATTGTTTGTATCCACAGGGTAACATTTCAGTAGACCTACATTAACCCCAGATCCATTCTCGTGGTTATCGCAACCTAAAATTATTTTGATTTTCATTAACACATTGACTGTCTACCACAAGTATACTCGTGTTATAAAATGTAACAGAATTTGCTACTACGAGTTAGGGACCGTTCATAATTTATGGCTAGGGGTGTTGATGATGATTTTTATGGAGAAGCATGTGCAATGTGAATGACCCCCCCCCTAAAATTTATGTACGAAATACGTGAATCCCTGCATGTCATCTATGACCCCCCCCCTCCCCATATTTTTATTTACAAAATTGATGACCACCACCCCAGTACGTGTGTACAAAATTGATGACCCCCCTAGCTCCCCAGATCAAAATGGGTGACCCCCCCCCTTAAAATCATCAGTTCGTGGATGTGGAATCAAGACAAAATTTGGCATGCATAAAACACTCTCATTGTGTGAATACTTAATAGCTTTGATTGTCATGAGGTGAATGCTGGTGGTTACTATGGATACATGTTCTTCTGCAGATATGACGAGGTGGCTAACAATGTCCAGACACAGGAGACTATCCTCAACATCCAGTTCGTCCTCCTGGACTGTTCCCCGCTGAAACAGGCCATCCTGTCTCACTGTAAAGACTGGCAGAGCAAGTTCACCACCCTCCTCAACGAGATAGCATCCAGCAAGCTGAAGGAGCTGTATACGTTCCTCAAGGACAACAGTGAAAAGTAAATCTCTTTGTTGTATTATGTCATTCTTAAAATGAGCAATGTTTGAGGCGTAATACATGGGATGTTCCGAAACCATTTACCCGTGAAGATCCAGGTTAGGATACTGATCTTCAGTAACCCATGCTTATCGTAAGAGGCAACTAACGGGATCGGGTGGTCAGGCTCGCTGACTTGGTTGACACATGTCATCAGTTCCCAATTGCGCAGATCGATGCTCATGTTGTTGATCACTGGATTGTCTGGTCCAAACTCGATTATTTACAGACAGCGCCATATAGCTGGAATATTGCTGAGTGCGGTGTAAAACTGAACTCACTCACTCACTCACTCACTCCTAAACCATTTACCCGACCGCGTCATACCAAAAGACGTTAAAATATGGTACTTGTTGGTCCCTGCCTGGCTCTCGGCATTAATGGGTACAACAAGGACTGGTCGGCTCGGAGTCAGTATAATGTGTCTGAGTGGGGTATTCATGCTTCACTGCGGCATGGTATCTCAGTGAGCTAGCACTATAAAACCAGCTTAAGTCGGGGCTAGTACAAGCAGCCGCACATACACATATGAGCAAAATATTCTCAAGCACGACGTTAAACCCAATTTCACCTCACCTCACCTAAACCATTTAGCTTTCTTCAGTTTGACTGGATTTCAAAATTATTATTTATGACACAAAACTATTGCCATGACTTCCAGGGTCAAGCGGCTACCCCAGACATTGGATGAACTGGGAGACAGTCTGAATCTATGGGAGAAACTCAACAACGACAAACCCGAGATAGAGGCCAAGTTTGCTCCCCTCAACGACCAGTTCAGCATTCTGGAGAAGTACGAAGTCACCATTCAGGAAGATGTAAGCAGCCATTTTAATAATAATAATAATGATAATAATAAGGGCATTTGTAATGCAATGAATTCCACACCACCAGGGGGCATGCTCAAAACGCTACAATCTGATTATTATTACCCCGGATAACCCAAGCTGCCTGTGAGGCGCTAGAAGGTTGATAGTCACATGACTTATCCCACCGGGTACCCATTTTCTGCTGGGTGAACAGAGGCAATTTTGAACAAACTCACTTGCCTAAGGTGAGACCACATGTGTCACGTGTGCTTCGTTGTGGGGCAGGACTAACGTCCTAGAAACTCTCAGGAGTCAAGCTGCCAAACACGGTCACCCATCCAAGGACTGTCCGACCTTGGTGTTGCTTAACTTCATCTGATTTTCTGGTTTAGAATACTGCTGTTTTTTGCACTATGAACACAGCAGACATATGTAATCAATGTTAGAAGCTTTAATGTGTGGCTATGTAAATTAATGGACATTTTCAATTGTGGGATAATTTGTCTTTGTTCTTTCTAAGTCAAGCCATTTTGATATGAAGTAGACTTTTCCATGGTACTTGACTATATTCATCTTGCATACAGGTCATCGAGATGCACAAGGCTCTCCATGGGGAATGGGTGGCTTTCCAGGAAACTCTCATCGACGCTGAGACAATGCTTAAGAAACACAAGGTAAAGTCATCATATGAGTTCTCCAAATATTCCCAGTTTGTTTCGTGCATGATGCTGCAATGAGGTCATATATTAACAGAGCTGCAGATAACTCTTTGGGTCATTGAGTTATGTACTCGCTTGTGTTCATCTCAATTGGGTATCGTAATTTTCCTTTGAGTAACGGTTACCAACAAGTTATCTGTAGCTCTGGTAACCAAATAAACTGTACCCACCTCACTCAAATTCAATTGGGTATTTTGCCATTTTGCATTAATTTTAAAAATATAATAAAGTGTAAATGTTAGTGTTTACTATTTATATTTGATCTGTAATATGAGAAACGATAAGAAAGACTGCAAGTTGTCAAGTTCATGTCCTGAAATAAAACCTCTCAATATACCTCAGTTATTTTATCTATCCACCGGTACGCAAGCTAAGATTTGACATTTTTGTGTGTACGCATGTAAGATCACATTTATTGAGTATTTACAAAAATTCAAGCATACTTATAAGCAATAGACTTAATAGGAATTGAGTTTTCACATACATATTTACGTAATTACGCAGCTTATCTGTGCCTCTGATTAACCTTGGATTTTCAACTCCCCAAAATATTTAACAGCATCACATCATTTAAAGCCTGAAAGTCATTGGAATCAAGTGAAAAAAAACTTGTGTCCCTGAAAACAAACAAACAAACAAACCACATATCAGCTGACTGATGTAATACACCCTCGTTCACTCTGACTCTGACCTGCTAACAGGAAAAGTTCAAGAGCAGTCTCCTCGCCCAGTCAGAGGAACTGAAGAAACAGGTGGCGAATCTCCTGGACGAGTTCCAGACCAAGGGACCCTTCACCAGCAACGTGGCAACTCCATCAGCTCTGGAGACTATTGATACAATCCGCAAGTCTCTCACAGCTCTCAAAGACTCCGAGCAGAATATCAGGAAAGGTTTGAACATCTTCAAGATTGATCAACCACCTTCCAAGGAAATTGCCAATCTTGAGAAGGTAGGTCCATGCATGCTCATAAATTAATTCCCAATTGTGTTTTTCCTCTTTTAGCTAAAATGATGTGCACCCCCCTTTTTCTGCTGCATTCATGCTTTCCTTGCTCGTTAGGGGAGAAGCTTAAAAAAAATTACAATTTTTAATGACTGATGTTTTCTCAATAAATATTGACCAATGACATCTGTTGTCTTTAACCTAATTTCTTATTGATGTATTGCATTATAAATCAAGCATTTACTCAATTATAAGTAGTTTTTTTGTTAAAATATATATGCTTTTTTGTTAAAAAATATCTGCTTCTGAATCGCAATATATCGCAAAATAAAAAAAAATGCTCTGCAATACCCATTCACTAGTATTCTGTTGGTGAGCTGCATCAAGAATCAACCCAGGTTTGGTACTGGAGTCTTGATGTAAAACTAAACTTGCTCACTCACACACTCACTCACTCACTCACTCCGCTGCCATATAGCTGGAATATTGCAGTGTGGCGTAAAACTAAACTTGCTCACTCACTCACTCCGCCGCCATATAGCTGGAATATTGCTGAGTGCGGTGTAAAACTAAACTTGCTCACTCACTCACTCACTAACTCCGCAGCCATATAGCTGGAATTTTGCAGTGCGTGGAAAACTAAACTTGCTTGCTCACTCACTCACTCACTCACTCACACTGTTGTTCCCCTGACAAGAATATTGCTGAGTGCGGGGTAAACTAAACTCACTCACTCACTCACTCACTCACTCACTCACTCACTCACTCACTCACTCACTCACTCACTCACACTGTTGTTCCCCCGACAGGAATATTGCTGAGTGCGGCGTAAAACTAAACTCACTCACTCACTCACTCACTCACTCACTCACTCACTCACTCACTCACTCACTCACTCACTCACTCACTCACTCACTCACTCACTCACTCACTCACTCACTCACTCACTCACTCACTCACTCACTCACTCACTCACTCACTCACTCACTCACTCACTCACTCACTCACTCACTCACTCACTCACTCACTCTGTTGTTCCCCCGACAGGAGTTGGAGCAGATCGAGGCGGTGTGGCAGCTGACCAAGGAGTGGGAGGAGCTATGGCAGGACTGGAAGGTCGGCAAGTTCACCGAGCTTCAGACAGCAAACATGGAGACTCTCTCTGTCTCTCTCTACAAGAAGCTCAACAAACACAGCAGAGAGCTCAAGGTACACCAGGGATAATGTTTAATAAACCAGGCAATGCGATGTTGATGTGTTGTTCACAAGTCATAAAGATATGTTGACACAATGTTGAGAAGATGCTGATGAGATGTTACGGATGCTGACATGATACTAATGCCAAGTTGTCAAAATGATGATAAGTAGTTCAAGAAACATGGTGTTGATTCAGTTTTGACGAGACTTTTGGGCTGTGTTGACACAATGCCATTTATACGAGGGAAGATGGGTGTTAATGATCTTAACATGGCGCTGATGTTAACAGGATGTTAGTGACAAGTTTAAGAGATGTTGACATGAGGCGGATGCAATGGGTTTTTTAAACAGGTGATAATGCATTCTGGATCAAAGTCAAAGTCAAAGCGTTTATTGCATGAAAGGCCATCGGCCTATATACAAACCATAGATACAATGTGTAAACATATTCATTCTGCTGTAATCATGCTGGATAATATGCCATGTTGACGACTTGTTGACATCTAGACATGTTGTTTACATTCAGGACAAAAACTGGGAGGTGGTTGAGACTAGCAAGAACAGAGTGGATCAGTTCAAGAGAACCATGCCTCTCATCACTGACCTCAAGAACAAGGCCATGCGACCCAGGCACTGGACACAGATCCAGGTAGGTCTCTGTTACACATGAATCTCCTCACTGACCTCAAGAACAAGGCCATGCAACCCAGGCACTGGACACAGATCCAGGTAGGTCTCTGTTACACATGAATCTCCTCACTGACCTCAAGAACAAGGCCATGCGATCCTGGCACTGGACACAGATCCAGGTAGGTCTCTGTTACACATGAATCTCCTCACTGACCTCAAGAACAAGGCCATGCGACCTGGGGAAGAGACACAGATCCAGGTAGGTCTCTGTTACACATGAATCTCCTCACTGACCTCAAGAACAAGGCCATGCGATCCTGGCACTGGACACAGATCCAGGTAGGTCTCTGTTACCCATGAATCTCCTCACTGACCTCAAGACCAAGGCTTGCGATACATGGGTCATGATCTGAGGTTTTTGATTCACGATTTCACTGAAAATAATGACCGCTCTCTAATGCTTGTTACATTTTTGGATGACCCCCCACTCCCTTGCCTTTCCCCCTCCCACCACAGCCTAAGACAACAAAGGAATCTATGTCAGACTCAGTGACATGGTTTATTGCTAGGGCTGCGCAATATAACCGGTTTACTGGTATATACCGGTTCACACATGAAAACGATATGTATTGCAATACGTGGATCGAAAACCGGTATTTTTACATGCATTCGGAAAACTTCGTAACTTTCGGAAATCTTCGGATATTTCCGTTTTTCACACCGGAAGTCAAGCGTTTGTTGTAAAATGGCGACCCCCAACAACGAACAAATTATTGTGGGGCCAAATACTAGGGCAAAGGCTTCATGATAGGAAGCATTTTGGGTTGAAAAAGTTCACGGTAGATGGAACTATTGATAAGAGTAACGCGGTACGTAAAATATGCAATGGTAAAGTAACTTAAAAGTTTGTATTAAAGCTTAATCAAAAATAGTGCTTTTGTTGTGTTTTTGCTTTATAAATCAAGCATTAACTTCTTGCAATATATTGCAATACATATTGCAATATATGCTTTCGCATCGCAATATATCGCAATATGAAAATCCTCTGCAATACCCACCCCTATTTATTGTGTGTCATTGTACCCTGACTCACAACTTCAATCACTGGCACTGTCATATGGTCAGAATAGTACTTTGTGCAGAATTATAATGAATTTTGCATCAGCAAAACCTTTCAAGATCTTGTCATGTGTTCTTTCCTGTTTAGACGGAGATGCAACGGAGCTTTGATCATAATGCTGAGGACTTTACTTTGGAGAGAATCATTGAGTACGGCTTTGACCAGTTCAGCGAACAGATCAGCGACATCTCAGGTGCAGCCACCAAAGAAATGGCCATTGAACAGGTATGCTAAACGGGGATTTACAACAGTCGTTGTTGCTGATTAGGCCGGTGTTTATTATATTACTGGGTATGGAGTTGTCTTTTCTTGTTTGTTTCAAACCTAGCTGTATACTTTCTTTTGAATGTCAGTTTATCTCACCAATAGTTCCAATGATATTTAGGAGATAAGCATCATGTGTTGGCCAATTTCCAGGTGTTATTGAGTATTTGAAGCACGGGAATTCATTTGGAACCGAAGTCGTTAGCCAGAGGTTTCAAATAAAATATTCCTGTGCTTCAAAAACTCAATAACATCCGGAAATTGCCCAACACATGATGTTTATCGACATTGTAAACACAGAAGTAAACCAAAGGGTCCATTCATTGACATCAAGTACGGGTACAGCAGTGAAATGCCATCAGTCGGCCGTTTCAGCTGTCTCCCATGGTAGCATCTGGAACTGCTCATTTGTGACGTCATTCAGACTTTACATCACAATATGATTGGAATGACGTCACAACTGCTGACGACGTAACAATACAATGGTGTGTGCGATGTTTGTACGTATCAATATGCAGCGAAGGGTCTTGCAATATCCGGAAATCGAATACCATTCGATCATGCTTTTCAACCAATCAGATCAAAGAACACAGTGGCTCTTGGTTTACAATTGTCTATAAATGATTCCGTGAAAGTCACAAGATGAGACTGAAGTACACGAGAGGGGACTCATTTGTTTGTTTTCCCTACAGGGCTTGGGGGCGATTGAACAAACGTGGAATGTGACCGAGCTGGAGATTGCTCCGTACAAGGACAAGGGTCACTTCAAGCTCAAGTAAGTGGACATACACTGATACCAGCTCATGTCCCATCTTCTGAGGCAAGGGTCTTTAAAGGTCGGGTTTCTACCTTTGCCAAACTGTTCTGGAATTTATGAATTTTTGGCCCATCACAATATAAAATCATCTATCAATGATCACCAGTTTTTATAAAGCAGTTGTATGTCATATGAGAGGAGGAATGTGATTGGTCAAAAGAAATATAGAAGGGACATAACTCATAGCGACTGGTGGCAGAACAATTGAGACTAATTAAGCAAGAGCAGGAACAGGCATTTTATTGTCAGTTTATATTCTCTTTAAGTACAGCCATAATTAATGTAATCAGGCTAGCTATTCTCGAAACGTTCATAGCCCAAAAAACTTATTAAACCCATTCTTAACACATTGGCTACGATCAAAGTTAAGAATTCTTAGGGCTACAAAAGTTTCGAGAATAAGGGCCCTGGGCCTAGATTTTCGAAGCTCTCTTAGCGCTAAAATAGTCGTAAGTTACTGTTGATGTATGGCAGATACAACTATCTTAGCGATAAGAGAGCTTCGAAAATCTAGGCCCTGCTTGTTATTCTCATGATCATATATTATGGCATATTTGATTTAAAGAAACGACCTACTAAACAACTTCTTAAATGTTTAATGTTTTTCCGGATTTTTTTCTTGAAATTGCATAAGAAGATAGAGAAACTAGATAATCCTTGAATGATCCACGGATATTTGTCACTGCATTATGAACCCAGGATAACGGTCACTTGTGCCGGGAATTCAAGTTGTCTTGGGGAGATGCAGTAGTCTAGTTGTCATAATATTCACTGATCATGTTGAAGTACTGGACTTGATTCCCAAAAGGTGCAATTGTAATAAACACGCTCTTGGTGTCTCCTGCAATAGATGGACCCGTGAAGGTCCGGGTTAGAATATTGATCTTCAGTAACCCATGCTTGTCATAAGAGGCGACTAATGGGATCGGGTGGTCAGGCTCGCTGACTTGGTTGACACATGTCGTCGGTACCCAATTCTGTAGATCGATCCTCATGCTGTTGAATACTGGATTGTCTGGTCCAGACTTTATTATTTACAGACCGCTGTCATATAGCTGGAATATTGCTGAGTGTGGCGTAAAACTAAACTCACTCACTCACTCACTCTGCAATAGATGAGATATTGAATAATGCTGAAATGAGGAAACACAAAACTCACCCCTCAATTGTCTGCAGGTCGACAGATGATGTATTCTTAGCCCTGGAGGATAACCAAGTTCAGTTGTCAACGATGAAGGCATCTCGGCTTCGTGAAGGCGTTCGAGAAGGAGGTAGACAAATGGGAGAGAACTCTGTCTCTCATCCTGGAAGTGGTGGAGATGCTGTTGACAGTCCAAAGACAGTGGATGTACCTGGAGGTAGAGTTGTCTCCCTTCCATACAAAAATTCAAATTAAATGTGCTTACATTACTGCTATAAGGTAGAGTTATCTCCCTTGTGTATAAAAATCAAATGACACATGAACCCTACCTTGATGCAATTTTAAGTGAGTCTCCAGGCACATCTACACATTTCACCAAAAGGAAATACCAGTAGGTTAACTGCAATATTCTAATTATGGTTAAATAAAGTCATTAAAGAATTAGTCATTTGAAATTGATACTTACTACACAATGACCTTCTTTTTCAGTTACCCGTGAAGATCCGGGTTAGAATTGATCTTCAGTAACCTATGCTTGTCATAATAGGCGATTAACGGGATCAGGCTTGCTGACTTGGTTGACACTTCTTCGTATCCCAATTGCGTAGATTGATGTTCATGCTGTTGATCACTGGATTGTCTGGTCCATTTTCGATTATTTACCGATTGCCTCCATATAGCTGGAATATTGCTGAGTGCGACGTAAAACTAAACTCACTAACTCACTCTTTTTCAGTTATTTGATATTATCAAATTGTGAATTTGTGTAGTGCTGTGAGTTTAACTCAGATGCTCTTAATACATGCTATATGTTATATTTATTATTATTATAATCATTTATGCCATCAGAATATCTTCCTTGGTGAGGACATCCGTAAGCAACTTCCACGAGAATCAGCAGAGTTTGATGACGTGAACGCCAAGTGGAAGATCATCATGACCAGACTCAACAGTGTGAAGAACGCACTCAAGGGGACGCCATCATCCAGGTAAATAGACACAGGACATATACATGCCGTGTCGACCGCCTCTGTGGTGTAGTGGTTAGAGCGTCCGCCCGGAGAGCGGAAGGTCGCGGGTTCGATCCCCGACCGCGTCATACCAAAAGACGTTAAAATATGGTACTTGTTGGTCCCTGCCTGGCGCTCAGCATTATTGGGTACAACAAGGACTGGTCGGCTCGGAGTCAGTATACTGTGTCTGAGTGGGGTATTCATGCTTCACTGCGGCATGGTATCTCAGTGAGCTAGCACTATAAAAAACCAGCTTCAGTCTGGGTTAGTACAAGCAGCCGCACATACACATACACACGCATGCACGTCGTCATATGAGTGAAATATTCTCAAGCACGACATTAAACCCAATTTCACCTCACCTCACATGCCGTGTTTGTTAAGGTTAGTTATAAAGACACTGAAATCACACTTACTTCTCAGACTGCTCCCTCATACCAAGAATTCAGAAGCTGATTGGCTGATTGTAAACTTTGGCAGTTCAGACCTCTTATTGAGTGCCTGTGATGTTTGTTTTGTTTGTTGCTTGTGTGGCCCAGTTCCAGCTATAGTGTAGAGGTCTCTGAGTAATCAAGTAACAACCAGACTATAATCCAGCATTAACAATACAATGACTCACATTAACCAGGTCTGTGAGCCTGACTACTCAATCCTGTTAGTCCCCTTTCAAGTCTGGGTTGATGAAGTGAGTGAGTGAGTGAATTTAGTTTTACGCCACTTTTAGCAATATTGTAGCAATATCACAGCGGGGGGACTCCAGAAATAGGCTTCACACATTGTACCCATGTGAGGGATTGAACCCGGGTCTTTGGCGTGATGCGCGAACGCTTTAACCACTAGGCTACCTGACCACCCCGGGTTGCTGAAGACCTGTTCTAACCTGGATCTTCATGGGACTCGGACTATCATACAGACAGGTATCTGATCAGTGGTAGAGATGTGGAGTTAGCTTGGTGGTGATGAGGGACTCGGGCCGTCATACAGACAGGTATCTGATCAGTGGAGGAGATGTGATTGGAGTGAGCTTGGTGGTGATGAGGGACTCGGGCCGTCATACAGAGAAGTATGTGATCAGTGGAGGAGATGTGATTGTAGTGAGCTTGTTGGTGATGAGGGACTCGGGCCATCATTCAGACAGGTATCTGATCAGTGGAGGAGATGTGATTGGAGTGAGCTTGTTGGTGATGAGGGACTCGGGCCATCATTCAGACAGGTATCTGATCAGTGGAGGAGATGTGATTGGAGTGAGCTTGGTGGTGATGAGGGACTGGTTTGGTTGCAGGGATGCTGGAGCAGCTGAATGACATGAACCTGAAGCTGGAGGAGATACAGAAGTCCCTGGACATGTACCTCGAGACCAAACGACAGATCTTCCCACGATTCTACTTCCTGTCCAACGATGACCTCCTGGAGATCCTGGGCCAGTCCAAGAACCCAGAGGCGGTTCAACCTCATCTCAAGAAGTGTTTCGACAACATCAAGTCTCTCAAAATGTCCAAGGTGAGGAAGCATGAATGTCTGCACAGAGGAACAGATATGTCTAAAGATGAGTCATGTCTAAGATGTACTGTTGTGTAAATCTTTGTTAGTTGCAAGTAATTAATGAACCACATAGTATTGGAACCATTCAAGTTACTGCTGTCTGTTGCTGTTATGTTTTTGTATTCATGTTACTTTTTTACGCTGTTCGCTTTCCTTCATGTTAATATATTTTGCTTTTGTATATTATGCACAGCTTTAGTTTGTCCAATTTGTGGACTATAATAGGGAGTAGTTAGAAAATGTTCTTTATAAAATTTGAAATTAATTTCACCACCTATTTTAGCTGCAGGACCGTCCATCAGTAAGTAAAAGTTGTGGGGAATATAATCATTTAACAATGAGTGCAGGTAGTTAGCAGGATATTAGCATCACGCTGTAATGAACTCTTTACGACCAGTCACCATGGAAGTCAAGAGAGTTTAGACTTACCTGAATTTTATAGTAAGCTTTAATCCAATAACCTTTATTTGACCCGGGTTAGAATAGCACCCTATTGTCTTTTGCTAGAGGTGACAAAAATTGATTGGCAGGCCAGGGTTGGTGATCTCGTTGATTGCTTGTCATCTTGTCAGTACAGCTGGGAGATTGTTCATAGTATCGATCACTGGCTTGTCAGTTGTAGACTCAGCTATGTACAGGGTGCAGTGATGAAGCAGTGATATTCTGGGATGGGGTGGATGGCGGAGCACGGAGTTGATGTGAAGAAGACTAGCCCTGTACTGTTACGCAGTAGAATCTCCCCTTGAAGTTTTTTTGGCTGATTTATCATGGAAAATGTGATGGATTTGAAGACGGGAGAAGGATTGTAGAAGCTTAGATAATTTAACTGCACAAGTTTATGTAGTGATTTAGTTAGACTAAACTATAGTTGTGTAGATTAAGCTCACAGCTTGTCATAGTTATTTAGTTATTAGTTTTTCTAACTACAGAAAGTATTTTTTTTAGTTGCATATCACAATAAGGTAATAAGTTTGTATGTGTCTTAAGCTACATTTACAGCACTGCAGGAACTCTCCAGCTGATGCACAGATAGATTTGTCATCAGTCACTAAAAATTGCTTGACATTTTAGATTGCTTCAGTCTCCACTGAGACTCATGAGAAGTGTGCCCTATGTTGATTGTAAGGTTCTCACTCAGGTGAGAATGGTCTCAGGTAGGTAGGTAAGGTAGACATGCTGGTTTTGTTGGTGTGGGATACTCTCATGATAAGGATGTGGTATACTCTCATGATAAGGATGTGGGATACTCTCATGATAAGGATGTGGGATACTCTCATGATAAGGATGTGGGATACTCTCATGATAAGGATGTGGGATACTCTCATGATAAGGATGTGGGATACTCTCATGATAAGGATGTGGGATACTCTCATGATAAGGATGTGGGATACTCTCATGATAAGGATGTGGGATACTCTCATGATAAGATGAATGATAAGGATGTGGGATACTCTCATGATAAGGAAGCTGGATACTCTCATGATACGGATGTGGGATACTCTCATGATAAGGATGCTGGATACTGTCATGATAAGGATGCCTGATACTCTCATGATAAGGATGTGGGATACTCTCATGATCAGGATGTGGGATACTCTCATGATAAGGATGTGGGATACTCTCATGATAAGGATGTGGGATACTCTCATGATAAGGATGTGGGATACTCTCATGATAAGATGAATGATAAGGATGTGGGATACTCTCATGATAAGGAAGCTGGATACTCTCATGATACGGATGTGGGATACTCTCATGATAAGGAAGCTGGATACTGTCATGATAAGGATGCCTGATACTCTCATGATAAGGATGTGGGATACTCTCATGATAAGGAAGCTGGATACTCTCATGATACGGATGTGGGATACTCTCATGATAAGGAAGCTGGATACTCTCATGATAAGGATGCCGGATACTCTCATGATAAGGATGTTGGATACTCTCATGAAAAGGATGAATGATAAGGATGTTGGATACTCTCATGATAAGGATGAATGATAAGGATGTGGGATACTCTCATGATAAGGAAGCTGGATACTCTCATGATACGGATGTGGGATACTCTCATGATAAGGAAGCTGGATACTGTCATGATAAGGATGCCTGATACTCTCATGATAAGGATGTGGGATACTCTCATGATAAGGATGTTGGATACTCTCATGATAAGGATGTATGATAAGGATGTGGGATACTCTCATGATAAGAATGTGGTATACTCTCGTGATAAGGATGTGGGATACTCTCGTGATAAGGATGTGGGATACTCTCGTGATAAGGATGTGGGATACTCTCATGATAAGGATGTGGGATACTCTCTTGATAAGGATGATGTGGGATACTCTCTTGATCAGGATGATGTCGGATACTCTTCGGGCATGGTAAGGGTGTTGTATACTTGTGATACTGATGCACATGTTTTTCGATCAGGCTGGAATAGCACAGAAGTGGGAGGCAGCAGGCATGTCGTCAACAGATGGAGAATACGTGGAGTTCGGACACTCGGTCTTCCTGGATGGACCTGTTGAGGTGAGAGATCATGAAATCATGAAGTATCAAATGGAAAGTTTCTTCAGTTTAACATACATTCCAAAGAAATGGGGGCGGTGGGGTAGCCTAGTGGTTAAAGCATTCACTCATCACACCGAAGACCCGAGTTCGATTCTCCACATGGGTACAATGTGTGAAGCCCATTTCTGGTGTCCCCCTCCGTGATATTGCTGGAATATTGCTAAAAGCGGCTAAAACCAAACTCTCTCACTCACTCCAAAGAAACATAACACACATACTTGAATTCAGCTGGTTTTGAAAGTCAGTTGATTCAGATTGCTGTAAGCATGATGATGTATGTTGAAGGCCTGGCTGTGTGACGTGGAGAAGACAATGAGATGGACATTGAAGGAAGTCCTCAAGAACTGCCGCATTGCACTGAAGAAGAGTCTCACAAAGAGAGACAAGTGGATCAAGGAGTGGCCAGGACAGGTATGAACAACGACAATAATAATAAGAAGAATATGCATATTCACATCATGCCTTATCTATACCCTAAGCATGCATAACTGCGGAATCCGATTACATTCTCAACTCCGTAGGAAGTTTAAGTGTGCTGCAATAGAAGTAGAGATATTAAATCGTAAACATATAACACCTGATCACTTCGTTCTTTCCTCCAGCATAAAGCTGACACAATATGATATAACAAAAATTCAGATACAACTCACTCCCTCTTCACTCACGCCACACATTGGAGCATGTTGTAGTGAATTAACAAGAATCATAGTGTGTTTGAAGTGTTCAGTAAAAGAAGTATGGATATTTCAGTGAGGTATATGAAATTTGTACGTTATGTGTCAGGCAACATCAGCCGGTGTCTCATCAACTCTGTCACAGTCTTTCCAAAAGGTTAATTGTATTTGGTCTCCTACAGATGTGTATAACGTCCAGTCAGATCCAGTGGACGCAGGATGTGACCAAAGCCTTGACCACTACAAAGGAACGGGGAGACAAGAGGGCACTGAAGAGTATGAAAAAGAAACAGGTACAATATAACACTTGGTCATTACACTGAGTTATGCCCCTTTGTCATGTCAGAATCCTATGAATATGTGTTTGCTAGAATTATTGATGTTGCTTAAAAAAGCATCCTGTTGTAGGCTTCATTGAAATGGGAAACATTTATGAACACCAGAATCATTGTGGACTTTGTGCCCACTTTTGAGATAAGCATGGCTTTATGTCAGTCAACATGCATATCCATTTCCTTTCTTTGTTTATCCACCATCAAAATATAAAACACAGAAAATATGAATATATTTTCAATACTGCCAAAGCTAAAGATTACTTTCATAACAAAAATAGTCCAGTGAATTTGTAGATGACAAAAACAGAAATGTTTCCAACAATTAGATGCGACTTTTTGTCATCACCCACCAATCCTATTAAAAATTTATTGGGATGGGGTACCTGCCAACAAGAATTTTCTCTGTCAACATTTGTAAAACTGCATATGCCCATGTTTTACGTTCATGTTTCACCTTCTTGTGACAGGTTGCCATGTTAAACAAGATGTCAGAAGCTATTCGAGGAAACTTGACCAAAATTCAGCGTCTCAAGATCTTTGCCTTGGTAACAATCGAGGTCCATGCTCGAGACATCATTGAGAAGCTGACCAAGTCTGGGATGTTGTGATGTAACTGCCTTCGAGTGGCTCAGTCAGCTCCGAGTCTACTGGGATAAGGTAGGAAGTCTAATACAGTGTCTCCCTGTCATGTCTGTCTATCTTCAACCAGCTCCCACATTTGTTTCCAGTTCCCAAGGGAGATCAAGAAGTAACATAGGGCAGTGTCACAATAATGGCACTGAAATCTAAATTTCTAATGGAACTACTTTTTCTCCGAAAATATCAGGGGTTGAAAAGTTTTTCAAAACTCCACTAGCTGGACACAGGTCCAGTAAACTTTAAAAAATGCACTTGACCAAATATTAATTTCACTTGACCACAATAAACAATTTGGTTTCTTTTGCAAATAATCTTTATCAATTGGTAGCAATTGCATTTATATTACATCATCAAACTACATATATCAAAACATTTCAGTAGTTTGGCAATACTGTACCACGGTAAAGTTTAATGTGGATCTTTACTTGAACGACCGGAGAATTCTACTCGACCCCAGGAATCGGGCAATGGTATTTTTCAAACCCTGAATATAAAACCCATGAGTCTTACTTGAGGATATAAATATTGATGTGTTATTGTACACTGGTTTCATTGAGGGATTGAAATATTTCATTTCCTGATATAAATATTGTTCACAGTCAGACATTATTATTCCTTTATAACATAACTAGCACTAATTGGAAATTATACTGTAAATATTTTCCACTGTGCCTAAACTGACTCAAGCACACACTCAACACTTGCTTACAGTGTGCGAAATAGCAACTAGCCCGTGACTAGAAAAATTACAGTTGGACCAGTAAATCACAGTCACTGGCCCGACTGGCTAGTGAATTTTCATGGGGTCATTTTGTTAATATATCTGTAAAGTTATAACACACTTTTAAATCATGCAAAATTATGGCCTGATAAAGATGTTCATCATATTAGCAGCTTAATGATGAAACCTGAGTCATGCCAACAATATCTTATTCTTGTATCTTTATGTTTGTAGTCTTTTGCTTCGTTGCTACATTCAAATTTCAGGCAAGTGAATTATTTTGTGGGCTTGTAACTTTCAGGCATGGCTAACCCGACTGACTAGAAAAGTTTGGAAACTATTTCAAACACTGCTTGCTTAGTTGTGGTGTAAAACAACAAACAAGTGGATATTATCATTTCATTAAAATCTGTTTCCCTTCGTTCCTGCAGGAGATCGATGACTGTGTGGTCCGTCAGACCAACACTCAGTTCCAGTATGGCTACGAGTATCTCGGAAACTCAGGACGTCTGGTCATCACCCCTCTGACGGATCGCTGCTACATGACCTTGACCACTGCCCTTCACCTTCATCGTGGCGGTAGTCCCAAGGGGCCTGCAGGTACTGGCAAGACAGAGACCACAAAGGATCTTGGGAAGGCTCTCGGCATGTACGTCATCGTTGTCAACTGCTCTGAGGGTCTGGATTTCAAATCTATGGGCAGAATGTTCTCCGGCTTGGCACAGGTAGGATGTTCCCGCCGGTATTGCAGTTTTAATAAATGCCTGTGGACTCATGAACAGACCCAGGTGATAACAGGAATTCAATTCATAAAGCACCAATTCCTAATAGCGCTGAATGATAAGAACTCAAGAAATATAATGATACAAACAGTTCTGTGATGTAATTGAAACTTTGTCGAAAGTAGAACATTTTGAAAGAATGTGCCCGTAGTACAGATTAGAATGCAGACAGAGAAGGGGAAGTCTTGAGAGCCAGGGGTAGTTTGTTTGAAGGATACTGCAGCAGAGATGATTAAGTGATGATGCACATGATTGTATTGTAATAATAATTAATGTTGGTTCTTCATCCCAGACTGGAGCCTGGGGCTGCTTTGACGAGTTCAACCGTATCAACATTGAGGTGTTGTCGGTGGTGGCCCAGCAGATCCTCTCCATCCTTAGTGCCCTGGCTGCCAACTCACAGAGATTTGTGTTTGAAGGGCGGGAGATTGACCTTGTCTGGTCTTGTGGCATCTTCATCACCATGAACCCAGGTCAGTGTCAGAGCATCCTCTGTATCCCCAGGGCCTAATCCCTGGATACATCCCTTATGGTTCTTGTAGTCTGAAGTGTTCAGCACTGATTTCATTACATTGACAGAATGGTTATTTACAGCTGCCCTGTGAAAACTGGAATATTTCTCACCGAAACATTTGACACACTTCACTAACTGATTTGCAATTGTAATTTACTCTAGAGAGTTAGAAACTGGCATGCAGAGCCCAGTTGTCTAGCCACAAAAAGTTTGTTTGCTCAGAGTTGTGTTTCTTTGTTGTAGCAGGATCAGATGATGCTAGGTTCAAATTCCTGAACACTTATTCTCTCTGACATGAACATTTGGACTGTGGATTCTTTCAAAGCAATTTAAGCCTAAACCTGCATCACTTTGATTCAGATATTACTCCCTATTAACAAGATATACCTGAAAAATAATCTAAACAGCATTCAACCAAGCTCACTCTTATTCTGACCACTCAGGTTACGCTGGACGTACAGAGCTCCCGGACAACCTCAAGTCCATGTTCCGACCCATCGCTATGGTGGTGCCGGACTCCAACCTGATTGCTGAGATCATCCTGTTTGCCGAAGGCTTCAACAACACCAAGCTACTGGCCAAGAAGGTGTTCACCATGTACTCTCTGGCCACTCAGCAGTTGTCCAAACAGGACCACTACGACTTCGGTCTGCGAGCTCTGGTGTCTGTGCTCCGATATGCCGGCAAGAAGAAGAGGTCCAACCCTCACATGTCTGATGAAGAGGTACGTGCTTGGTGAAAAGGTGGAAATGATGGTGGGACTCCATCCTTAAATGTGGATGAGGGAAGAGGGATTCTGAGCATGTAATATATAACATATGATAAACTAGTCTAAAACCAGACCCAACTGTTTTTTTGTTTAACTGAGACTACCTGGTAAATATGACTTGAGATAAGAAGAAGAGTGGGGATGTTGATGTTGATGTCCTAAAATGCCAAAACCTTATGATGTATCATTTGAAATCTGGTCAATCTGATGACTACCAATATACATATATGTGAGATTTGTTCCTTAACACTTTAACATTTCCTGATGCATTTTAAAGCATGTGATCAGCTTGAAGCAAATATTTTGCATATACCCTGACTCAAAAATATATATGTCATATACGATAACTCTACATACTTACCCTGTATTTTGCTGATGGAGGGCAAGAAGCAGCTCTGAAATGCCATTGAAAAACATCAAAGAAGTGATACTTATAAATGGTCACATATTTAAGCTGAAGGGGTCGTTGTCGGCACGGGTACTACAGATACGTACCCCAGGTACGTTTCTGTATACAGATATGTACCCTGGCCATAATGAGAATACAGAAATGTACCCTAGGACGATTCCATTCCCATTGTGTCGTATTCTTGATCGGAACTGTCATGCTGTTGTATTAGATACATTTGATTGCTTTATTTAAGTAATGAGAATACACAGGAATGGATATTTCACGATGCACATGAATACCACTCGCAATCAGTTGAACGGGAACAACTACATGCGGTGTCGGTTTGGGATGGCGGAATAGGGACTCGTCCGCCTTTTAGGGTACCGGGTACGTTTCTGTATTTTGATTTTGTTTAGGGTACATATCTGTATACAGAAACGTACCTGGGGTACGTATCTGTAGTACCTGTGCCGACAACGACCCCTTCAGCCATATTTAAGGTCACCAGATGTCTGAAATAATGGTCTGTCAGTACTATTACATGAAGTCGCTAACTAAGAATGTGGATCTACACAAAATATACACTTCTACTCTAGATGGATAGTTCTATTTCCTGGTGTCATAAGTTATTTCAAAGAAGAAATCCGCTGTATTGTTTGTTTCAGATTCTGCTGCTGTCTATGAAGGACATGAACATTGCTAAGCTGACATCTGTTGATCTGCCGCTGTTCAATGGCATCATGATGGATCTCTTCCCAGGAGTGGAGACACCGGTCGTTGACAACTCCAAGGTGAGCATCTGTCTGGTCTTTCTGGAGACATGGTGGTCTAGTGGTTAAAGTGCTTGCTGATGACCTAGTTCTGTTCTTCATCACAAGCATTAGGTGTAAGTGAACTCATCATCTTTACAATATCCAGTGAAAATACAGTTTAGAATTGGTCCAACGCAACCTATGCTGGTTATAAAGATCCAGAATATGATTGGGTGGTCAGGCACAGTGACTTGGTTGATGGCATGTCACCCAAGCCTGATTATTATGCTAATATTTGTATTAGGACTGTAACAATGTATCAAACTATCGATGCATTGCAATTGTTGAGTCTCCGATAGCAATTAATTGATGGTAGAAACAAAAAACTATCGATGCATCGATAGTATGTGTGACTATCGATAGTTTTGTAATTGACTTCCGTTGATAAATGCGCAGCGCAAAATACAGGAAGTACCAGATTCGTTCAGTTTGATTTAGAGTTATCCTTGCTTGTTACCTCTTAAACGAACTTGATCTGGGTTTCAAAAACTGAAACTACTTCAGGTTGTTTTATTTCAAATAAACTACACATCCATTTGGGAAATGACTTGAAATGAGACAATTCAAGGAGAGAAAATACTATTGCAATAGTATGTTGCATGTTGCTGTACCCGCAACTAGGTGTTTGAACGTATTCATGTGGCCACCATCTGGTCATTTACCAACGGGTTCGTGGGTTTTCTTAAGTGCAGAGGGTTGTGTACTGTACACTAGGGGTTGTGACAACACTGAAAGAGTCTGCACACAAAGTTGACTCCAAGGTTTTTTACACCGGTCACAGGTGGACTCGATCCCGACACCTCAAGGTCGCTGGTTCACTACATGACGCCTTGACAGCTCGCCCCCCACGCCCCAAATGTGATGGTGTGAATCATTACTCACTATGTCAACCACTGGATTGTTTGGTCCAGATTTGATTACTTGTTGGACCATTGTCATGCAGCTGAAATATTATTAGTCACACAGTGTTTTGAAAGGGTGTACGGTCTGTAAGACCTTTAATACAGAATTTACAAGGGTCTTACAGTCCCGTACACCCTTTCAAAACACTGTGTGACGAATTTATTACCCTTAAGATATTTTGATTTAGCTTATCTTTATAACAATCAATCATCAGCAGAATGAGACACAAAACGTTTCGCCAAGATTTTTCCTGAAGTGTCATAAAGGGAGATAACTCGGGATGGCTTAGTTTATGATGAAAAAATTCTTAAATGACAAGTGAAATACAGTAACATTTTATTTTTGGGATATATTTATTGACACAAACAAAATAAGAAATTATGGCAACAATTTTATTACTCTGTTTATACTCATAATTGTATACGCCAACTCTAAAACTTCGAAGCGATCAGCCGTTTGGCAGCCACATTCCATCTACGGTCAAGGTCATTTGTACAACCCGTGATGTGTCACATGACAGATTTGACGGGTGTATGGTTCGTACATTCTGGCAAATCCATCTACATGGTTTGGTATGCTTTGGCTATCGACCAATCAGAATTCGTCAAATTTATCTTAAGGGTAATAATGATGAGTACAGCCTTAAACAACTCATGTACACTCAGAGAAATAACCCAAGTGCATCACCATCCATCTTTATTCTTGCAGCTAAAGAAGGCCATCACGGCTGAACTAAAGGAGCACAGCCTGCAGGTGAATGAACACACAATTACCAAGATCATCCAGCTGTATGAGACCAAGACTTCCCGCCATGCCGTCATGATTGTGGGCAGCACGCAGGCAGGCAAGACGGTCTACTGGAAGATCTTGCAGTCGTCAATGACCAGACTCAACAAGGAAGGTGACACTGGCTATCAACAAGTTAAGGTGAGATGATTTATTCTGTATTTACTCCGATTCCCCATCTCTCTCATCCCTCTTACACCCTGAGGGGTTCAGAGTTGTATCACCTGTGAAGATCCGGGTTAGAACTGATCTTCAGTAACCCATGCTTGTCGTAAGAGGCGACTAATGGGATCGGGTGGTCAGGCTCGCTGACATGTCATTGTATCCCAGTTATGTAGATCGATGCTCATGCTGTTGATCCCTGGATTGTCTGGTTCAGACTCGATTATTTACAGACCACCGCCATATATAGCTGGAGTAATGCTGAGTGCGGCGTAAAACTAAACTTACTCACTCACTCCCATAGTACACTGACTCGCTGTGATGTAACAGGAATTCTGTTTAAAGTGGAGAGGAACCCAAATCACTCACTCACTCTGTAATATAACTCACACTATGATATAACTGAAATACTTATCAATGTAGCTTTAATCCCAACATGTGTCCAGAGGCAGGCATTTCCTAGTTGTTTAAGGTGCTGCAATTTGCTGTACAGAGTTGCATCCCTTAGATGTACCTCGAACCGATGATCATCTTTTACCTGCAGTTTGGCTTGATGATGTTTTCAGTTTTGACAGCACCACTGCTCCATAAGGAATTTGATAGGTTGGACATTGGCAGACTCAGTGTGCCTAATGGCGTGGGCTCTTGATTTTCAGTCTCTACTTCATTTTGTCATAGGGGTGGTGGGGTAGTCTACTGGTTAAAGCGTTCGCTCGTCACGCCGAAGACCCAGGTTCGATTCCTCACATGAGCACAATGTGTGAAGCCCATTTCTGGTGTCCTCTGCCGTGATATTTCTGGAATATTGCTAAAATCGGTGTAAAACCCAACTCACTCACTCATTTTGTCATATTAAATTATTCAGGTCATGTGATACACTGGGAATATTAGTCACTGCTGCATTAAAGAACATATGTGTTTATTCTGTGTGTTGATGTGAGAATACCTGACTACCAAGGCTGACATGTACTTTTTTAACTACAGGACTTCCCACTGAATCCCAAAGCTCTCTCCCTGGGTGAGCTGTACGGAGAGTTTGACCTCAGCACAAATGAATGGACAGACGGGGTCTTGTCCAGCGTAATGAGGCAGACATGTGCAGGTCAGTGGACTAAGTTGCGCAGTCTTGACGATTGCAATTGGTTCCCTGTGCTGATATTTAACGGTGACCATCAGGATTGGGTGGTGAGCTTTGGTTGAGTGTGGACATTCTAGCCTGATTCCCTGGATCAATGTTCATAATATCAGTCACAGGGCCAGACCTTTATGCCTTGTGTTCGTTCATCACAGTTAGGATCTTATAAATGTTTTATTTTCCCAAATTTGGTTTGACATCTGCTGTTCGGTGCATCTTGTTAGTCAATAACGACATTTACTACATGTATATTATAATAATGAGGGTACTTATCATGTATACCGCTTAATACTCCACACCACAAAGGGGCATGCTCAAAGCATGCACAAACAGCACAACATGATTACCCCGGATAACCCAAGCTGCCTGTTAGGTGCTAGAAGGTTATAGTCATATGACTTATCCCACTGGGTACCCATTTTCTGCTTGGTGAACAGAGACAATTTTGAACAAACTCACATGCCTAGGTGAGACCACATGTGTTTCATTGTGGGGCAGGAACTCTCAGCAGTCAAGCTGCTAAACCCTGTCACCCTTCCAAGGACTCTCCGAGCTCAACGTTGCTTAACTTCAACTGATTTGTGACCTGAGCTCTATGCACAGGACCACGTGCCACCAAGTGCATGTGCAGTGTGTGTTTGTGCTGTTCTTCCTACCATTGTGCCCCCCTCGGTTAACTATGCCAACCTGTACATATACTATGTAGCATGTGTGTTTGTGCTGTTCTTCCTACCATTGTGCCCCCCTCGGTTAACTATGCCTACCTGTACACATAACAACATGATAGTTTCTTAAACAACTTTTCACAGTGATGGGTGTAAAAAAAGGTTGGATGCAGGGGATTAGTAGAATTTCAATAGACTAATCCTGTGTTTGAGTTAATTTGCACAACATCATTAGTTGGAGATGAACGGATTATATTCACAAAGCATCTTCCTGCAGATGAGAAACCAGAGGAGAAGTGGATCGTATTTGACGGGCCTGTCGACACACTGTGGATCGAGAGCATGAACTCTGTGATGGACGACAATAAGATTCTGACACTGATCAACGGAGAGCGTATCTCGATGCCAGAACAGGTGTCACTCTTGTTTGAGGTCGAGGACCTTGCAGTCGCATCTCCTGCCACCGTCTCGCGAAGTGGCATGGTGTATGCTGATTACAAAGACCTCGGCTGGCAGCCATTCGTGGAGTCCTGGCTGAAAAAAAAACAAGATAAGGTATGGACGGAACGAGATTTCATCAATTTTTGGCTTCCTAGGTACTTTATCCTCCGTAAGTTGTCTTCACACTCCAAAACATTGTCACCTGTTCAGAATGCTGACTTTAGTGGTGTTTAGGAAACATTCTCCCAACATTTGAACACGAGCAATTCTTTGACTGAAGGTATTTTGCTCAGATGTTGAAACTGAAGTTTAAACACATGGTAAAAACAGTAACCAGAGACTTGGTCATATTGAGATCTTCACTTGAAATTTGAAAAATAAGCAAATGTAAGAATGAGAAGACACTAGCTGTCATTCTTTTAAAAATATGTGATGCTTTTCATGCTAATGTTTCAAAGCTTCTGTTGCTGTAAATTTCTCACATCAAGTTAGCCCAAAAAAGTTTACAAATCCTTCTTCGAGTTGGTTGTATTGCTTGATTGTCCTCTTCTCTTTGTAGGCCCTGATCGAAGAACTTCGTCGCTTGTTTGACAAATTCGTTGTCAAAATCCTAGACTTCAAGAAAGCCAACTGCAAAGAGTTGATCGCCATTGCTGAACTCAATGGTGTTTCTTCTCTGTGCAAACTGTTTGACAGTCTGGCAACACAAGAAAATGGGGTAATAATTTAAGATTTTTCCTTTTCCTGACTTATGCTATATTGCATTTTTGCCCTTCTCCTTTCGACGGTTATGTGGTATCCCTAGTTCCCTTAAGTGACCGGAAAATCACTCACCCACGAGTTGCCTCCCTTTTCCTGCCTTGTGCAATAATGTCCTTCAGCTTTAACTTCAGTTAGTAGCAGTTTCAGCTAAATGGGTTGGTATATCGAGAAAATGAGCCCAAGTTTATGTATGAACAAAACCATTGTTACATGACATCAATGCAGTACATAGAGAACATATGCGGATCCCGGAATTTTCGTGGGAGGGGGGTGGGAGTGGGAGATCTGAACCCCTGAACCCTGCCTTGGCCCCGCTAAAGCAAAACATTAACTTCAATGTGGTCTTTAGTCATTTTCAAAATGTCCCCTCCCAAACACCCCCACCCCTTCAAACCTCCAGCCCACCCTTGGATCCACCAATGGAGAAGTTAGCTGTGTGACTTCTCATGGATATCATCTGGTTGAGTATTGGCAGTTCTTCCCCTCACTTGATTCATGGTGGTAGGGTAGCCTAGTGGTTAAAGTGTTTGCTTGTCATGCCGAAGACCTGGTTTGATTCCCCACATGGGTACAATGTGTAAAGGCAATTTCTTGTGTCCACCCATCATGATATTGCTGGAATATTGCTGAAAACAACAATTTAATCTGTTGTTAAAATTAGTTACTTCATTCTAAAGCAAGTTTATGTGAAAGTGTATGTGAGGGAGAAACTGCATTAGAAACCTGTGGTGACGGTCTTTAGAATTTAATTTCTTGTCCGCCAGGTCGACTCGAGCGACACAGAGAACTTTGTCCGTATGGTGGAGCTGTGGTTCCAGTTCTGTATGATCTGGTCCATCTGCTGCTCCATTGATGAGGATGGGAGGAAGAAGATTGACAACTACATCCGTGAAACAGAGGGCACCTTCCCTAACAAAGACACCATCTACGAGTACTATGTGGACCCCAAGAACAAGACGTGGGTGCACTGGGAAGACAAGCTCAAGGGCGGATGGAAGTTTAATCCAACGTGAGTGTTTCTGATTACTTTGTGTCATCATCAGCGTTTCCCCCATACAAGTAAAATGGATGCTTCCCAAAGCACAAGTTCTATCTTGAGTGTGAGTACTTATATCGCGAAAATTTCCACATACAAGGTGTATATTCAGAGTGCTAAAATTATTACACTGAGCAATTGATCAGATTTGCACTTCATCCCAAGCTGCCTCTGAGGTGTTTGAGACCATCTCAACCCCATCCGGGTACGCCTTCACTGAGGTAATTTTGAACCTTTAGTGAGTGAGTGAGTTTAGTTTTACACCGCTTTTGGCAATACTCCAGCATTATCACGGCGGGAGACACCATAAATGGGCTTCACAGATTGTGCCAATGTGGGGAATCGAACCCGGGGTCTTCGGCGTGACGAGCGAACGCCTTAACCACTAGGCTACGCACTGCCCCTTTTCAACCTTTAGCCTTAGGTGAGACCACTTGTGTTACATGTGACATTTATATATTTCAGTTTGGGTATTTGTACAGGTTTTGACTGTGGACTTGGATGTGAATTTGGTGTCTGAGCATGTTTAGATAAATCACTGTGTATACATTGCAATAATTGCTTGGTTTCAGTCTGCCATTCTTCAAGCTGATTGTGCCTACAGTGGACATGGTGCGCTACGAATACCTGACTCAGCATCTCATTGACAACAACCATCCTGTGATGCTGGTGGGCCCGGTCGGCACGGGAAAGACATCTGTTGCTGAATCAACTATTGGCAAACTGGATGCCAAGGTGTACAGCATCCTCTCCGTCAACATGTCCGCACAGGTGAGTGGGCATAATGTTGTTGGGGAGAATCTTCTGATGCTGCAGTAGGGATCTTGGTGTGGGTGGGTGTTAGTGTCCTCTCTGTCAACATGTCGGCACAGGTGTGTGGGCATAATGTTGGGGAGAATCTTCTGATGCTGCAGTAGGTGAGTGGGCATTGTGTTGTTGGGGAGAATCTTCTGATGCTGCAGTAGGTGAGTGGGTATTGTGTTGTTGGGGAGAATCTTCTGATGCTGCAGTAGGTGAGTGGGCATTGTGTTGTTGGGGAGAATCTTCTGATGCTGCAGTAGGTGAGTGGGCATTGTGTTGTTGGGGAGAATCTTCTGATGCTGCAGTAGGTGAGTTGGCATCATGTTGTTGGGGAGAATCTTCTGATGATGCAGTAGGTGAGTGGGCATTATGTTGTTGGGGAGAATCTTCTGATGCTGCAGTAGGTGAGTGGGCATCGTGTTGTTGGGGAGAATCTTCTGATGCTGCAGTAGGTCAGTGGGCATTGTGTTGTTGGGAATGTGTTGTTGGGAAGAATCTTCTGATGCTGCAGTAGGTGAGTGGGCATTATGTTGTTGGGGAGAATCTTCTGATGCTGCAGTAGGTGAGTGGGCATTGTGTTGTTGGGGAGAATCTTCTGATGCTGCAGTAGGTGAGGGCATGTTGTTGGGGAGAATCTTCTGATGCTGCAGTAGGTGAGTGGGCATGTTGTTGGGGAGAATCTTCTGATGCTGCAGTAGGTGAGTGGGCATTGTTGTTGGGGAGAATCTTCTGATGCTGCAGTAGGTGAGAATCTTCTGGGCAGTAGGTGTGGTTGGGGAGAATCTTCTGATGCTGCAGTAGGTGAGTGGGCATTGTGTTGTTGGGAGAATCTTCTGTGCAGTGTTGTTGGGAGAGAATCTTCTGATGCTGCAGTAGGTGAGTGGGCATTATGTTGTTGGGGAGAATCTTCTGATGCTGCAGTAGGTGAGTGGGCATTGTGTTGTTGGGGAGAATCTTCTGATGCTGCAGTAGGTGAGTGGGCATTGTGTTGTTGGGGAGAATCTTCTGATGCTGCAGTAGGTGAGTGGGCATTGTGTTGTTGGGGAGAATCTTCTGATGCTGCAGTAGGTGAGTGGGCATTGTGTTGTTGGGGAGAATCTTCTGATGCTGCAGTAGGTGAGTGGGTATTGTGTTGTTGGGGAGAATCTTCTGATTCTGCAGTAGGTGAGTGGGCATTGTGTTGTTGGGGAGAATCTTCTGATGCTGCAGTAGGTGAGTGGGCATTGTGTTGTTGGGGAGAATCTTCTGATGCTGCAGTAGGTGAGTGGGTATTGTGTTGTTGGGGAGAATCTTCTGATGCTGCAGTAGGTGAGTGGGCATTGTGTTGGGGAGAATCTTCTGATGCTGCAGTAGGTGAGTGGGCATCGTGTTGTTGGGGAGAATCTTCTGATGCTGCAGTAGGTGAGTGGGCATTGTGTTGTTGGGGAGAATCTTCTGATGCTGCAGTAGGTGAGTGGGCATTATGTTGTTGGGGAGAATCTTCTGATGCTGCAGTAGGTGAGTGGGCATCGTGTTGTTGGGGAGAATCTTCTGATGCTGCAGTAGGTGAGTGGGCATTATGTTGTGGGCATTGTGTTGTTGTTGTTGGGGAGAATCTTCTGATTCTGCAGTAGGTGAGTGGGCATTGTGTTGTTGGGGAGAATCTTCTGATGCTGCAGTAGGTGAGTGGGCATTGTGTTGTTGGGGAGAATCTTCTGATGCTGCAGTAGGTGAGTGGGTATTGTGTTGTTGGGGAGAATCTTCTGATGCTGCAGTAGGTGAGTGGGCATTGTGTTGGGGAGAATCTTCTGATGCTGCAGTAGGTGAGTGGGCATTGTGTTGTTGGGGAGAATCTTCTGATGCTGCAGTAGGTGAGTGGGCATTATGTTGTTGGGGAGAATCTTCTGATGCTGCAGTAGGTGAGTGGGCATTATGTTGTTGGGGAGAATCTTCTGATGCTGCAGTAGGTGAGTGGGTATTGTGTTGTTGGGGAGAATCTTCTGATTCTGCAGTAGGTGAGAGTGGGCATTGTGTTGTTGGGGAGAATCTTCTGATGCTGCAGTAGGTGAGTGGGCATCGTGTTGTTGGGGAGAATCTTCTGATGCTGCAGGTGAGTGGGCATCGTGTTGTTGGGGAGAATCTTCTGATGCTGCAGTAGGTGAGTGGGCATTGTGTTGTTGGGGAGAATCTTCTGATGCTGCAGTAGGTGAGTGGGCATTGTGTTGTTGGGGAGAATCTTCTGATGCTGCAGTAGGTGAGTGGGCATTGTGTTGTTGGGGAGAATCTTCTGATGCTGCAGTAGGTGAGTGGGCATCTTCTGATGTTGCAGTCTTCTGATTCTGCAGTAGTGGGCATCGTGGTGGTGAGTGGGCATTGTGTTGTTGGGGAGAATCTTCTGATGCTGCAGTAGGTGAGTGGGCATCGTGTTGTTGGGGAGAATCTTCTGATGCTGCAGTAGGTGAGTGGGCATTGTGTTGTTGGGGAGAATCTTCTGATGCTGCAGTAGGTGAGTGGGCATTATGTTGTTGGGGAGAATCTTCTGATGCTGCAGTAGGTGAGTGGGCATCGTGTTGTTGGGGAGAATCTTCTGATGCTGCAGTGAGGTCAGTGGGCAATGTGTGTTGTTGGGGAGAATCTTCTGATGCTGCAGTAGGTGAGGTGAGAATGGGCATTATGTTGTTGGGGAGAATCTTCTGATGCTGCAGTAGGTGAGTGGGTATTGTGTTGTTGGAGAGAATCTTCTGATGCTGCAGTAGGTGAGTGGGCATTGTGTTGTTGGGGAGAATCTTCTGATGCTGCAGTAGGTGAGTGGGCATTGTGTTGTTGGGGGAGAATCTTCTGATGCTGCAGTAGGTGAGTAGTGTTGTTGTGGAGAAGGCATGTTGGGGAGAATCTTCTGATGCTGCAGTAGGTGAGTGGGCATTGTGTTGTTGGGGCAGTAGAATCTTCTGATGCTGCAGTAGGTGAGTGGGCATTGTGTTGTTGGGAAGAATCTTCTGATTCTGCAGTAGGTGAGTGGGCATCGTGTTGTTGGGGAGAATCTTCTGATGCTGCAGTAGGTGAGTGGGTATTGTGTTGTTGGGGAGAATCTTCTGATGCTGCAGTAGGGATCTTGATTTGCTTTGGGTGGGTGTTAGTGGTGCTCCGGGGGAGGGCTGTGTGTTGCTGTGAGTGGGGTTTTGGCTGATGGTGGACACACTTTACTGTGTGCTGGGATTGGGTCTTGTGCTGCCTGAGTGAGGTGTTTTTTCCATGGGATCTTGTGTTGCTGGGGTGAGGTCTTGTATTACTGGGAGATAGATCTTGTGTTGCTGGGGTGAGGTCTTGTATTACTGGGAGATAGATCTTGTGTTGCTGGGGTGAGGTCTTGTATTACTGGGAGATAGATCTTGTGTTGCTGGGGTGAGGTCTTGTATTACTGGGAGATAGATCTTGTGTTGCTGGGGTGAGGTCTTGCTGGGAGATAGATCTTGTGTTGCTGGGGTGAGGTCTTGTATTACTGGGAGATAGATCTTGTGTTGCTGGGGTGAGGTCTTGTATTACTGGGAGATAGATCTTGTGTTGCTGTTTGTCAAATTAATTAATGAAGGGTACAGAGTAATGTTCCTTTGGTAATACATAGACGTAGCCTTGAACATTGTTACAAAGGTTGGGTGTTCTGTCTTACAGGATCCAGAATTGCAAGGTTTAACTGTATACCACTTTGACAGTATACAAATAATGTTCTGCCCACAGACTACATCAAACAATGTACAAGACATCATAGAGAGCCGTGTAGAGAAGCGTACCAAAGGTGTGTACGTGCCTATCGGTGGCAAGAAGCTGATCACATTCATGGACGACTTCAACATGCCGGCCAAGGACACCTTCGGGTCCCAGCCTCCTCTGGAACTCATCAAACTCTGGTTGGACTATGGATTCTGGTACGACCGAACCAAACAGACTGTCAAATACATCAAGGTATGGCAACAACTGGCTGTTTAAATTTGGGTCGACAAGGGGCTAAAATATTAAAATTCTCTTTAAAATGCTAAGAGGTTGAAATATGGTCCAATAAGACCCAGTGGTTTAAGGCGTTGAAATTCCCGATGTAAAGTTGGTCTTCTTAGTCTTGCTAGAATCAGGTGAGCTGGAGTATCTGAATTGTTGGTTGGAATGTCTGATTCTTTTTGTCACCCTGTGAATTAACTGCAATACAGTTCAAAGCATCTCCAATTATCCTGTACATCATTTATCTATTCAGTTATGATCAGTATCCTGGAGTGAGGAGTGAGTGAGTGAGTTTAGTTTTACTCCACACTCAACAATATTACAGCTATATGGCGGCAGTCTGTAAAGAATTGAGTCTGGTCCAGACAGTCCAGTGATCAACAGCATGAGCATCGATCTACGTAACTGGGATACGATGGCATGTCAGCGAGGCTGACCACCCGATCCTGTTAGTCGCCTCTTACAACAAGCATGGGTTACTGAAGATGATTTATAACCCAGATCTTCACGGGTTTATCTTTGAGCCGTTTGTAACACTAACTATATTTTTTAAGTGATGTGCCGACCTCTTATCACTAACATAGCACAGAATGTATTTTAGTTAATGTCTGGTCTAAATTACTGACAACTCCCCAACATCACTTTGGTCACTTCTTTGAGTGATTGTTGTTCTTCACTTTGGTCAGCACATGATTCTGAGATGTATGATACCTGTATTTCCAGGACATGCTGTTGTGTGTTGCTATGGGTCCACCAGGGGGCGGCAGGATGGTCATCTCACGCCGACTACAGAGTCGGTTCAACCTCATCAACATGACCTTCCCACAGGTAACACCATCATCCTTACCTTCATCCCTCTACAGATTCATCCCTCAGTTGGAGAGTATCAGGCTTATTAATAAATCACAAATACATGTTGCTATATGATACATCTTGGATATTTGGTTGGAATATAAAATGATGATTATTATTCATGACATCAGACCAAATCATGTTCATGTTTAAATGTAAGAAAATATGGACACTTTAACTATCTCCTACCATTCATACTTCAGGAATCGGAAATCAAGCGCATCTTTGGCAGCATGATCAACCAGAAGCTGCAGGACTTTGAGGAGGAAGTGAAACCGATCGGGGACATCATGACCCAGGCAACCATTGAGATGTACCAGACCATTGTAGCCAAGTTCCTCCCCACACCCACCAAAATACACTACCTCTTCAATCTCCGGGACATATCTAGGGTGAGATATCATCAGTGTGCGAATTAGTTTCCACATTTTGTTAGCCAGTCGGGCTATCTATGCCTGACAGTTACTAGCCCACAAAATATTCACTAGCCCGAAATTTGAATGTAGAAACTAAGCAAAAGATTACAAAAATAAATCAGAATAAGATATTGTCGGTATAACACAGGTTTCATCATTAAGCCGCTGATGTGGTGAAATTTTTATCAGGCCATAATCTTGCATGATTTCTAAGTGTATTATAATTTAACAAGTCGGAGAGAGTGATATATTTACAAAATGATCCCATGAAAATTCCCCTAGCCAGTGGGGCCAGTGACTGTGGAGATTTAATGGCCCGACTTGATTTATACCAGCCACGGGCTAGCGAGCCAGTGGCTATTTCTCACACTGGATATGATCGAAGTGTGTAACTTGGCTGAATGTATGTCAGGCCACAAAACGTGGAAATTTGATCTTATCAAAATCAGATCTTGGTTCTTGCTTGAGATTGAATAAAGTTAGGATTGATCCATGCTTGTGATAGAACATGTGAAAAATATAACGTTTGTCAGTAGCTTTTCCTAAGAAATTGTGCTGACTGTACTTGTGTGTTGCTGCAGGTGTTCCAAGGTCTGCTGCGAGCTCACAAGGACTACCATGACACAAAACATGCCATGACAAGATTATGGATCCATGAATGCTTCAGGTAACATGTCCCCCTTAGAGATTCAGGTTAGATTGGTATATGTCCCATCAACCTCTGCTTGTCGTAAGCAATGACTTAATGGATGCTTCAGGTAACATGCCCCCTTAGAGATTTCAGGTTAGATTAGTATATGTCCTATCAACCTCTGCTTGTCGTAAGCAATGACTTAATGGATGCTTCAGGTAACATGTCCCCCTTAGAGATTTCAGGTTAGATTAGTATATGTCCCATCAACCTCTGCTTGTCGTAAGCAATGACTTAATGGATGCTTCAGGTAACATGTCCCCCTTAGAGATTTCAGGTTAGATTAGTATATGTCCCATCATCTAGGGCTTCAACGAGTCCATTATTTTGGACTCGAGTACTCGAGGGATGAGACTCGACTCGGACCCGAGTACTCGAAATTCATACCTTTCAAGCAAACGATAGCGTACATTGCATGACGTGTTCCGATCACACAAGTGAACACTTACTTCTTTCCGACTTCATATCGTCATGTGACTAACATTTCCTATTGGTCAGAATCAGTATTTGGATGTTTACTTGACAAATGTTTTTTTCTTCGTACTTCTTGTACTGCCTGCAAAACACAGTGATATACCGCACAGGCGACATATGGTTATTTTGCTCTTTTCACTATCCAGATCAAGATACGCCCATACATTTGAATTTTTTTATCTTTCTCCATGTCTATCAATTGTCAAGATAGTTACCTAATCATTTTAAGAAGTGAAATCTCAAACGATGTATAATATTTACTCTCATCTGCAGACTTGTAACATCTAATACCATACAGCCACACCGTGTGAGGAGTAAACTATTTAATTTAGGTGTTAATAAACACATTATTAGATGGGTTAAAGAATTCAGGGTACATAGAACTCAGTATGTCATAGTCAATGGCTATCAATCTTCTTTTCTCTCAACCCCTGCTCGAGATCCACATGGCTGTGTTTACTCATCCGTTCTCTTCGTATTGTATACCAATGACTGTTACTTGTCAATATATGACTTGTTTACTGTGAAATTTGCAGATGACGCCACTGTTACTGGCCTAATTTCTGATTCTGAACATTATTATCGTCAAGGCATTGACAAAACCGTAATGACAGTTTTTTTATCAAACCTTTGTTCAAAGTGTGTTGACCTACAATTTTCTATGTTGGTATGGGGATCTGTCTCATCGCAACAAAAACAAACTTTTCAAAATTGTTAATACTGCTTGCAAAATTTCTGGAGTGTCTTTCGAGTATATTCCCTTTATCTATGAGCGCCAGATTGTCAAAAAGGCAGCTAAAATTAGATTTGATAGTTGATATATTTGATCTCACCATTTTGAACTACTTCCTTTTAGACGCTGCTGTCGATTCCCTCCTTCAAAACAAACAGAGCTCGACAGTCTTTCATACCATCAAGTATTCGTGAATGCAACAAATATTTGAATTATCACCATGTGATAACAACTAGAATTATTCAGCCTCTTTACCTATGTGGTTAATTGAATTATATCATGTCAGATTTATTTGTAAATAGCATTCGTTTTGAGCATGTAATTATTGTGTATATTTTTGTGAACTGTGTATATATTCATTTTGAGACAGTTTGGATGTATAAGAATTTCCTCCGGGATAATAAAGTTATATCTTATCTTAATATTAGACGTGAACGGCCGCTCGTGCTTAGCACATGGCAGACAGTCTGTCAACGTCAAATAATTCGAGTTATCTCCCCTTTTCGAGTCCTCGAGTCCTTGAAAATGGACTCGAGTCCAGCTGAACCCGACTCGTCCTCGAGTACTCGAGTACCCGTGGAAGCCCTACCATCATCCTCTGCTTGTCGTAAGCAGCGACTTAATGGATGCTTCAGGTAACATGCCCCCCTTAGAGATTTCAGGTTAGATTGGTATATGTCCCATCAACCACTGCTTGTCATAAGCAGCGACTTAATGGATGGGATGGTCAAGTTTGCTGACTTGGTCGAGTTCATGGTTCTCCACAAGGTGGATCATTGATCACTAAATCAATCACTGGATTGTCTGTCCAGAATATTTATCGACCATTGCCACAGCTGGAATTGGCTTAGTTTCAGGAAATGTTCATGAGACATCTAGAAATTTAAATTTGAAATATCAAGTTACCATCTAGTGGATGAGAAGAATATGGTGGCATTCATATCTTTAATGTATGATATATTTGGGATTACAGTTTCTTAGTAAAGTACAAATTCTAGTACTTTTGTTGGGTTGAGTCCCATCCGGGATTCAAACCCACACCCTCAGTGTCAGGCACCCAATCGCCAGCACACAAAGTCAGCTGTCTAACCCACTCAGCCACAGCAGAAGCATATAACATACCTTACATCTGACCACTTTCTAAATGGCTTTGTGTATTCACATTCATATCTTGTTTTGTTTTGTCCAGAGTTTTCTCTGACCGTCTTGTGGATGATAAGGACATGGAGGCGTTTGTGGCCATCTTGACGGAGAAACTGGGCAGTCTCTTTGACCAGACCTTCCACAACATCTGCCCCAACAAACAACCACCTATATTTGGTAGGAACAAAATTATCTATTAACTACTTGGGTGATAAACCTACTGTCTAGTTTGAATGTGAAGCTGAATGAGTTCTGTATCTGGAATATATTACCAGGTTATCTTGTCGAGATACATGTACCTTGTATAAGGTAGGAGAGTATTAGATCATGAATGTATCCTGTCTGTGATGTTCAATGGAGTATATATTGTACAGGTGACTACATCAACTGTACCTTGCATAAGGTAGGAGAGTATTAGATCATGAATGTATCGTGTCTGTGATGTTCAATGGAGTATATATTGTACAGGTGACTACATCAACTGTACCTTGTATAAGGTAGGAGAGTATTAGATCATGATTGTGTAACCGGGATAGTGGGGATGTCAACAAAATTATCCAGGACACTGGTTACGGGGTGAGACCTTTTATTCCATTATTAACAACACCCTGAAACAATACACGGTTCAATAAATACAAAGTCATAATATATACATAAGATTTAAAATCCGTCACACATCCTTTAGATGAAATACTACTATGACACACATTCTAGACAAATAAACTACAAGGGGCGATCACTCCTTGATTTACTGATTACATATTAATGACAAATATAGTTAAGGTAGAGGCATATAAATCCTATAAACATGCCCAGATAGAAAATATAAAGTATACAATGCTACATAAATACATACAATCAAGCACAATATAATGCCTACCCGGTGTATGGCACTAGGGTGCAGAGTACAGCCCTGTCAAGCCGCCAAGCCAGTCAAGCGTACGCATTACAATCTGTATAAACAATGATCAACGTTAAAGCTTCAATAGCTTAAACTATATATATATATATATATTTCTACCATTTCAAAAACCTAGGATATAATATAAGCAGTTCAAACTTATATCGCAGTCATATTTACATTCACATACACACTATACTTTCTTTCATTTATAAAATCAATCAGTCAAACGTGCAAATATATAACTATTCACTCATAGGAGAGAGAAAACACTTTAATGAACTGAATCATTTATTTGGATACTAAAAGATTATTGGATTGCAATTTAGCTTAGTGACCCTAACAAGCTAAACCTAACTTTACACTTACACACAAGTTACAGTTTATATTTACACATAAGCATTAACAATATAACATTTAAAGGTATACACACTGATTAATTGATATAAAAGATTAAACTGACCTGTGGTGATCTTATAAAGTAGATAAATTTCCAACATGGGATAAAGTCTTGTCGGTGCAAGCAGTGACAGTGAAGTGAAGATTTGAATTAGTAAAAGAGGGCAAGAGTTTGAATGATCCAATCAGATTGGATCAACTGAGGGCACATAATAATGTAATGGCCCTACCTAACCCCCTTAATTAAACTAGAATAGCACTGACTACATAGCTATTAATAGACATGCTTTTAAGATGAGTATAGTCAGTTTCAAAATGAACAGACCTGTTGATAAAAACATTCATTACTATAAATAAGAAATATTATACCTGCAATGCAAAGTGACAGTTAATATACACACGCATCCATAAATATCCAAATATGAAACGATATCCCTGAAACTGCAATGTAACTGTTAACATTCATAAAATTAATAATATTAAAACTAATATGTACATGACTATAAAAATACAATATTATATATCCGCCACAATTGTATCCTGTCTGTGATGTTCAATGGAGTATATATTGTACAGGTGACTACATCAACTGTACCTTGTATAAGGTAGGAGAGTATTAGATCATGAATGTATCGTGTCTGTGATGTTCAATGGAGAGTATATTGTACAGGTGACTACATCAACTGTACCTTGTATAGGGTAGGAGAGTATTAGATCATGAATGTATCGTGTCTGTGATGTTCAATGGAGTATATATTGTACAGGTGACTACATCAACTGTACCTTGTATAAGGTAGGAGAGTATTAGATCATGATTGTATCCTGTCTGTGATGTTCAATGGAGTATATATTGTACAGGTGACTACATCAACTGTACCTTGTATAAGGTAGGAGAGTATTAGATCATGATTGTATCCTGTCTGTGATGTTCAATGGAGTATATATTGTACAGGTGACTACATCAACTGTACCTTGTATATGACTACATCAACTGTACCTTGTATAAGGTAGGAGAGTATTAGATCATGATTGTATCCTGTCTGTGATGTTCAATGGAGTATATATTGTACAGGTGACTACATCAACTGTACCTTGTATAAGGTAGGAGAGTATTAGATCATGATTGTATCCTGTCTGTGATGTTCAATGGAGTGTATATATTGTACAGGTGACTACATCAACTGTACCTTGTATAAGGTAGGAGAGTATTAGATCATGATTGTATCCTGTCTGTGATGTTCAATGGAGTATATATTGTACAGGTGACTACATCAACTGTACCTTGTATAAGGTAGGAGAGTATTAGATCATGATTGTATCCTGTCTGTGATGTTCAATGGAGTATATATTGTACAGGTGACTACATCAACTGTACCTTGTATAAGGTAGGAGAGTATTAGATCATGAATGTATCGTGTCTGTGATGTTCAATGGAGTATATATTGTACAGGTGACTACATCAACTGTACCTTGTATAAGGTAGGAGAGCATTAGATCATGATTGTATCCCTGTCTGTGATGTTCAATGGAGTATATATTGTACAGGTGACTACATCAACTGTACCTTGTATAAGGTAGGAGAGTATTAGATCATGATTGTATCCTGTCTGTGATGTTCAATGGAGTATATATTGTACAGGTGACTACATCAACTGTACCTTGTATAAGGTAGGAGAGTATTAGATCATGAATGTATCGTGTCTGTGATGTTCAATGGAGTATATATTGTACAGGTGACTACATCAACTGTACCTTGTATAAGGTAGGAGAGTATTAGATCATGAGTATCATGTCTGTGATGTTCAATGGAGTATATATTGTACAGGTGACTACATCAACTGTACCTTGTATAAGGTTCAATGGAGTAGATCATGATTGTATCGTGTCTGTGATGTTCAATGGAGTATATATTGTACAGGTGACTACATCAACTGTACCTTGTATAAGGTAGGAGAGTATTAGATCATGATTGTATCCTGTCTGTGATGTTCAATGGAGTATATATTGTACAGGTGACTACATCAACTGTACCTTGTATAAGGTAGGAGAGTATTAGATCATGAATGTATCGTGTCTGTGATGTTCAATGGAGTATATATTGTACAGGTGACTACATCAACTGTACCTTGTATAAGGTAGGAGAGTATTAGATCATGATTGTATCGTGTCTGTGATGTTCAATGGAGTATATATTGTACAGGTGACTACATCAACTGTACCTTGTATAAGGTAGGAGAGTATTAGATCATGATTGTATCGTGTCTGTGATGTTCAATGAAGTATATATTGTACAGGTGACTACATCAACTGTACCTTGTATAAGGTAGGAGAGTATTAGATCATGATTGTATCATGTCTGTGATGTTCAATGAAGTATATATTGTACAGGTGACTACACCAACTGTACCTTGCATAAGGTAGGAGAGTATTAGATCATGATTGTATCGTGTCTGTGATGTTCAATGGAGTATATATTGTACAGGTGACTACATCAACTGTACCTTGTATAAGGTAGGAGAGTATTAGATCATGAATGTATCGTGTCTGTGATGTTCAATGGAGTATATATTGTACAGGTGACTACATCAACTGTACCTTGTATAAGGTAGGAGAGTATTAGATCATGAATGTATCGTGTCTGTGATGTTCAATGGAGTATATATTGTACAGGTGACTACATCAACTGTACCTTGTATAAGGTAGGAGAGTATTAGATCATGATTGTATCGTGTCTGTGATGTTCAATGAAGTATATATTGTACAGGTGACTACATCAACTGTACCTTGTATAAGGTAGGAGAGTATTAGATCATGATTGTATCGTGTCTGTGATGTTCAATGGAGAGTATATTGTACAGGTGACTACATCAACTGTACCTTGTATAGGGTAGGAGAGTATTAGATCATGATTGTATCGTGTCTGTGATGTTCAATGGAGTATATATTGTACAGGTGACTACACCAACTGTACCTTGTATAAGGTAGGAGAGTATTAGATCATGATTGTATCGTGTCTGTGATGTTCAATCGAGTGTATATTGTACAGGTGACTACATCAACTCGGAGCAGGTGTACGAGGACATACATGATCTGACCATCCTGAAGAAGCACATGTTGGAGATGCTGGATGAGTACAATACCACACCTGGGGTGGTCAGCATGGACCTCGTCCTCTTCAGAGATGCCATCGAACACGGTGAGTCTGACGTGTAGCCACAAAATTATCTCACCATCTGACAGACTAGGTATAGTAATAGGAAACAATCAGGTGGGGCGTAACCTTTTTTGAGTAGTGTAGTTTTTAAATGGAGTGTTGGTTGGCCTTTAGAAAGTATGTCGTGTTGTAAATTCTGGGTTCAAATCACGACAAGGTACAATCTGTTCTTCATGTTCTTTGACAGCTTGGTGTATACAGGCAGGCCGCGTTAATCCAAACAGTGACGTTTTTCATCAAAAATGTTCGGACAGTGAAACAAGTCCAGTACACCACACTGCAGTAGCGTTACTTCCTTTTTACTTGACTGATAAAGACAAAAGAACGTATACGTGTATACTGACTTTATTACTGGGATATTTAAAAATAAATTGTTAAGGCAGTAACTTTGACACAATGTGTGTTTATAAAAAAAATAAAAAATATGACAGGTTTTGTTCAAACTAACACAAAGTGTGATCTATTAATTATTAAAATCACAAACTCATGACTTGTTCAACTCACAATGTATTAATTGCCATTGAAGTTTACCGATAATGACCCCCGCTATTGTTAGGCAACATGGCTGCCGTATGTACAACCGGATTGATGAGGCAAAAAACAAGTAGAATTAGCTAATCCGTTACCGATAATTGAAGTTCGGAGTCGGAGACTGAAGCACCAGATTAATGAATCAACAGTTGATGTGTTTATATAGCAAACAAGATTGGTTACAGCTTGAGTCTGTTCGGATGGCGCGGGAATCGGATTATCGGGGACCGGACTAACGCGGCCTGACTGTATATCAGAAGAACAAATGTACTGAGTTTCTGACTGATAAATAGCAAACACTGACAGACTAATCACCCGGGTCGTGTCCCGGAATTTCTTTTTGATATGCTGTAAACATGGTAAGGTACCAGATTATTCCTTTTGTGGCCTGTGATATGTCTGCGGTGTATCTGTGCAGGATTGACATGTAGAATATTTTCAGTTCATATGCTGCCTTGATGTTTCAGTTTCGAAGATCATCCGTGTCATCCGCCAGCCCCGAGGCAACATGCTGCTGGTGGGTATAGGTGGCAGTGGGCGCCAGAGCTTGGCCCGTCTTGCCGCTCACATGTGCGACTACACCACCTTCCAGATCGAGGTCACCAAACACTACAGGAAACAGGAGTTTCGAGATGGTCAGTAGACCTCCATGTGCCACTTGATCTCAATGTCCCTGAACCTTTCGCATTATGGTTTGACCTTGAACTCTGTCTGCTCGCCATATGCATTTTTTCTTGAACTGACATGACTCTAAACCTTGTAGATTGCTGTTTGACCTTGAAATCTGATTGCTTGTATCAACAGATCTGAAGAAGCTGTACTGGCAGGCTGGGGTAGAGAACAAGCAGACGTTGTTCCTGTTCAACGACACCCAGGTGGTGGAGGAGGGCTTCCTTGAGGACATCAACAACATCCTCAGTAGTGGTGAAGTCCCCAACCTCTACAAGCCTGATGAGTTTGAAGAGGTGAGTTGAGCTGGAGCAATTTGAAAATGTTTCCACCATTTTCAATTCTAGTGATTTTAGTTTGGGCAGTAAGGAAGTAGCATCATGTTGCCATCTTTACAAGCACAACTCTACCATGGAACTCCTGACTGGAACGTATTGTTTGTAGGTACACACTGCTCTGGATTCAATTCTAATGGTTTTAGTTGGGGCAGTAAGAAAGTAGTATCATGTTGCCATCTTTACAATCACAACTCCACCACGGAACTCCTGACTGAAACGTATTGTAGGTACGCACTGCTCTGGTTTCAATTGTAATGATTTTAGTTGGGGCAGTAAGGAAGTAGTATTATGTTGCCATCTTTACAAGCACAACTCCACCACAGAACTCCTGACTGACTCCTGGTTTCAATTGTAATGATTTTAGTTGGGGCGTAAGGAAGTAGTAGGCCATCCTTACAAGCACTGCTCTACCATGTTCCTCTGAATTTGTAGGTGATTTTTCTAATGGTTTTAGTTGGGACAGTAAGGAAGTAGTATTATGTTGCCATCTTTACAAGCACAACTCCACCACAGAACTCCTGACTGAAACGTATTGTAGGTACGCACTGCTCTGGATTCAATTCTAATGGTTTTAGTTGGGACAGTAAGGAAGTAGTATTATGTTGCCATCCTTACAAGCACAACTCCACCACAGAACTCCTGACTGAAACGTATTGTAGGTACGCACTGCTCTGGTTTCAATTGTAATGATTTTAGTTGGGGCAGTAAGGAAGTAGTATTATGTTGCCATCCTTACAAGCACAACTCTACCATGGAACTCCTGACTGAAACGTATTGTAGGTACGAACTGCTCTGGATTCAATTCTAATGGTTTTAGTTGGGACAGTAAGAAAGTAGTATTATGTTGCCATCCTTACAAGCACAACTCCACCACAGAACTCCTGACTGAAACGTATTGTAGGTACGCACTGCTCTGGTTTCAATTGTAATGATTTTAGTTGGGGCAGTAAGGAAGTAGTATCATGCTGCCATATTTACAAGCACAACTCTACCATGGAGCTCCTGACTGAAACGTATTGTAGGTACGAACTGCTCTGGATTCAATTCTAATGGTTTTAGTTGGGACAGTAAGAAAGTAGTATTATGTTGCCATCCTTACAAGCACAACTCCACCACAGAACTCCTGACTGAAACGTATTGTAGGTACGCACTGCTCTGGTTTCAATTGTAATGATTTTAGTTGGGGCAGTAAGGAAGTAGTATCATGCTGCCATATTTACAAGCACAACTCTACCACAGAACTCCTGACTGAAACGTATTGTTTGTAGGTACGCACTGCTCTGGCGGACGTGGTGAAGAAGGAAGGTATTGAGGACACGGTACAGAGCGTGTTTGCCTTCCTAGTGAACAGGGTCCGAGCCAACCTCCATGTCGTCCTGTGTATGAGTCCAGTGGGAGAGGCGTTCAGGTAGGTCTTTAGCTGGTCTAAATCACTGTGATATTATATCACAGTTCATGTCTCAAAGGAGAGACAGTATTCTGCAGTAATTGATTGAGGGAGTGTCCACCTTCATGGTCAAGAGTCATCTTACTGACTTGGTTGATGTTGGCCGGCTGTGATGGCATTTCATAGATCATTACTAATAATCACCTGATTGTCTGGTCCAGATATGCTTATATACAGGCCACTGACATGGCTGAAATAATGCTGAGTACATCGTTCAACAACAAACACACACTAATAACCCATTTTTATTGCAGTTTTTGAAGGATGCTTTAACATAAATATGTATCATTGGTTAACTATCATCAAAAACCATGTTCATTATGACATTTTTATCAGACTCGATGATGAAAATCTATAGAATTCTAATTTTTGCTGATAATTAGTTTGGAATCATTCATATGGAAACACTCCTTTCATTTTATATTCTGTAGAGGGAGAGTGGGGCCTGATATACTTGATAAGACAAATACTTTTTTGGTCTGCTTTAAGTCCTACCTTTTTTATGAAGTACAAAACATTTTCCCAAACATCCAGCATGTTACTAAACAATTTACCCTTTTCAGCTAAAACCTGGGGGAGAGTTATTTTTTCAGAATATTTCCCAAATTGATATTTTTTGTACAGGACAAGCCCACCCAAAACCTCCTGGAATATGAAATGATTGATCCACTTATCCCTAATTTCATCTGAAGATACCCTTAACAGTATTATTAAAATCTATTGATGCTGTTCATGTTAGAGTAAATGCACATGAATATACCAGTGAGAAAAATTATGATGTCATCTTTGAAGGAAATGTTTTCGCTCCTTCCGCAGCTGCGCTGCTAGTGACGAAGGAGTTAGTGAGGATGGAAAGGGGACTGTTGCCTCAGTACATCACGTTAAACAGCGCGCAGCTAACTCTTATGCATTTACGCAGCGCACTCTACGAAATCAGCTTTTCCGCAATGCCCCGTGGCGCGATGCACATACGTCATGGCTGTGGGTTCTGCTGTATATATGCAATGTCCTTCACACATCATCACCTTGTAGAACATTACACATAGACGTATCTTACCTTCATGCGTCTCTGGCCACAAATAGAATACAAATCAAGGCTCAATGTGAACATGCACCTTTATGCATTCTTCCAGTGCATGATTCAATTTGCCATAGGATGCTTCTGTGCTCCAGTTGTATAAGGTGCTTGAATTTGCTGTGCGGAGTTGCCTTCCTTAGCTTTGCCAGGAACCAGTGATTATTTAATTGTAGAATTACACGAACCCTACCTATAGGTGAAGTTTGGTTATAATTCTTCGTAGTCTCTGAAAGGAATTGAGTATTCACGTGAGATAAGCGCATGCGTGTTAGCCGCATTCTTGAATGGACACATTTTGGAGTATTCATATTTGTGGGGTAAAACGATTGCTTTGGGAGGGCATGTAAATACTCCATTCCTTTCAGAGACTATGTAGAATTATAACCAAACTTCAACCTACAGGTAGGTTTCGTTTAATTCTACAATTCTACTACATCTGTGACGTCATTAGAGATCATGTGAGATTTGAAAACAAATGGGTCCATGAAGAACACAACAATTTGTTCAAAATAAATCACGCATGACATTTTAATGTCAGACAACAGCAGTTTTCATCAAACAGCAAACTCCTTACAAGATTTCAAAAATATTGAACCATAATTCTTCACAGAAACAACCGATTTACGGTAATATGTTTGAAAAGTAGTCTCTCTTTTCAAACCCACACTTTTTATAATAATGTCCACTGGAATACCATTATTAAAGGCGGTTGACTAATGAGTAGAAGCTGCCCTGACACTGTGGGCCTTATACACTCTGGTATCAATACCTGCTTGGTGTAACACACTTGAGCCACCTTCCTATAGCAGGGTATGAAACTCCCAAAAATTTCAGCCAGACCACAGGGCTTGTTAGATGTAAAACTTGCGAGCCCTGACCAAAACTTACCTGCCCGCAAATAATTTAGGTTTAACAAGCGATGTGGTTCATCATCCAATTGAAATTCATAGTTTATTTTTTACGAGTGAATTAACAATGATTTATTATCCTGAAATATGATGAACATCTTCATATACATGTCTGCATTTTAACCCGACCATTGGGCAGGTGAATTTGAGAATCTGGCAGTCCGTGTTGAAAATAACTCGTCCCGGGCGGTTGGGCAGGCAGGTATTTCGAACGCTGCCTACAGTGTCACACGACACTGGGTCATCTAGTCTCTGGTAGCTAGTGATGATTTGATTCCAGATTTGCCCTAAGAATCTTTCTAGCCTTATGTTACCCATGTTAGGGTCTGTCTTGAGCTGCCTATAGTGTCACACGACACTGGGTCATGCGGTCTCTGGTAGCTAGTGATGATTTGATTCCAGATTTGCCCTAAGAATCTTTCTAGCCTTGTGTTACCCATGCTAGGGTCTGTCTTGAGCCTGCATTGCTTCCTCCCACAAGTAGCTCGGTACATAACCGACATATTGCACACAGCCATGTTAAGTACAACTCACCTTCTCGCTCTGTATGTTGTCATGCATGATGGGATGTTTCAAATACAGTTGAAAAGATGAACATGATGAAACTACCAATTATCAGGCACCTGATAGAAATATCAAGAGTAGTAATTTGTTGAAAGGAAGCGGTTTACTAATAATTTGCTGTTTTTGTTTGGTGCCTGTTTTTAATTTTCTATTTTGTAAGTTTTCAGTTGTCCATGTAAATAGTTGTTAAACATTAATCTGTTATTAATCATTTTTAAATATTATTTATTTTTTCTGGTGATGGGATAGGTTTTTTTCTCAGTGGCAGACAAAAGGTATGATATCGTGGATGTTATTTTTAACATATCAGTGGGCTGGCATGATTCTTAAGTATTGTTGCGTCTGCCGTTTTTAGTTTTGTGTGTGATGAAAGTAGCATATTCAGAGGTACAGATAAGCTGCGTATCTGCGTAAATTACGCAAATATTTATGTGAAAACTCAATTCCTATTAAGTCTATTGCGTACAAGTACGCTTGAATTTTTGTAAATACTCAATAAATGTGATCTTACACGCGTTCACACAAAAATGTCAAATCTTAATATGCGTACCGGTGGATAGATATTATAACTGAGGTATACTGAGAGGTTCTATTTCAGGATATGAACATGACAACTTGCAGTTTTTCTTATCGCTTCTCATATTACAGATCAAATATAAATAAAAAACACTCAAATTTAAACTTTATTATATTTTTAAATTATTGGAAAATGGCAAAATACCCAATTGAGTTTGAGTGAGATGAGTACAAGGTATTTGGTTTCTCAAAGGAAAATTAGGATACCCAAATGAGATGAACACAAGCGAGTACATAACTCAATGACCCAAAAAGTTATCTGTAGCTCTGCATATTAGATATTGTCAACTGAATATGGCTTCTAATTGGGTAAACCTAAAATGTCGTTGCTATTTTACCTGTCAGTTCATGATCATCAGTTCATGATCGTCAGTTCATGATTGTCAGTACATGATTGTCAGTTCATGATCATCAGTTAATGATCAGGATTCCATTTCAACTGATGGATCACCATCTTCAGAATCCATTCCCCTTTTTAACTGTTACAAGATTATCTCCATTTAAGACCGACTAAATTAATCAGGTGATCATAGTTTGTGACTTGGTTGATTACATGTTCTCAAAGCCTGAATGAGTGAATTGTTGCTGACAATATCAATCACTGGTTTGTCAGGTTCACACTCAGTTATTTAACGGCCATCATATGGCTGGTATACTGCTTAGTGTGGTTTTAAACAAGAAAGTAACAAACCTGAATGGTGGTCAGATTCATTGACTAGCATGATAGTTTGCAGTGTAGTTCACTACTGCAATCACTGATTTTATTGCATACAGGACACTTTGATGAAGCTTTGTTACTGCCATTCTCTTCCCACAGAGGTTACTTGTCATATCTTCCTACGAACCTCTGTTCTAATACGGCCATATTTCCCGGTTCACGTAAAATCCACTATCGGCAAAAAATCACAACATGAATTATCTCCCTTATTTCTATCCAATCAGAACACGTGTTACATTGACTTAGATCCAACCTGACTAATGCAAGCAAATGTGGGACCACAAATATCCCTCTTCTGCCGGGGACTTGTTGATGTGACACACAAGATATTTAATAGCTAGCTTGTCTGTTGTCAACGACTGACTGACTGAGTATGGTTTTACGCCGCTTTTAGCAATCATCCAGCAATATCATGGCGGGGGACCCCAGAAATGGACTTCAGGCATTGTACCCATGTGGGGATTCAAACCCGGGCCTTCGGCGTGACGAGGGAACACTTTAACCACTAGGCTACCCCACCGTCACCGTTGTCAATGGAGACGATGATTGCTCTGCCATTACATGACTGAGTTCTGTCTAGAAGAAACATTTGCGCATCGCGCAGGGGAAGAGGTTCTAGTTTTCCCAAAGCATACGGAAATTACTGAGGCCTTGCGAATGATCACTTTTGAAACAACGTCGCTGATTGCACAACTAAATCTGACTGCAACCAATCACGAATCCTGAACACTCACACCATGAAAGGGCCGTATTAGAACAGAGGTTTATAGGAAGATATGACAGGAGTAACCTCTGTGGGAAGAGAATGAGTTACTGCTGACGTTGGCACTAAACATGAAAGTAACTATGATAACTGAGACAGCTCCATTTTATCAAGAAGAACATTTCATGTTTATAAATTCAAAAGTTCACAGAATACCATATAAACAACTTAGCTTAAATCAGAAATAACAATGCTCTGTACAGGAAATATATTTGAAGTCAGAAACATAGCTGAATTGATTCGCCTGTTTACAAGGAACTTGATCGTAAAGGGAGGGAGTCAGAACTACAAAGCTTAGCTCAACTGTCTTTGTCAGCAGGAAAAGTATCTTGACCTGTCAGTACTCTTTGTGTGATGACATTCTTCAGAGGTTACCGACGGACTGTCTTGGGTTCTTTGAATGCCGAAAGACCTTGGGCAGTTTTGCAGTTTTAATTAGGAACCAAAGATCTTGTTTTCTAAATCTTCTGAGATATTTTGTTTTGAAATGTTAGTGTGAGTTATGTTACTACGTGTTTCCAGGAACCGTATGCGCATGTACCCTGCTTTCGTCAACTGTACCACGATTGACTGGTTCAGTGAGTGGCCGCAGGATGCCCTGCTGGAGGTGGCCGACAAGTACCTGGCCGAGATGACCCTGGGCAGTGAGGAAGAGGTTGGTCATTTATCAAAACGATTTTCAGTTGGATATTGATATTGAATGAAAACATGTTTTCACAATAGTTAAGTGCTTAGTTGGTCTCAACACTACATATGTTCTGGTATTAGCCATGTTTTCATTCATCATCTTTATTTGACCTTTGTGTTTGGAGTAATTTCTTATATTTTCTTACTTCATTTCTTTGCTCTGTAAACAAGGTAAACAAGCAACTCTCAAAAACTTACACAAAGGGTGGTGATCCAATTTATTCAGGCAATTGGAATCTTAGAGTTTTCAAGATGGTTGCCATAGCAACTTATGAATTCTCTTATTATGTGTATTTGACGTAGTAATTCCTCTGAAATATCTGGAGTGAGGAAGCATAATTTTTACACATATTTTCTTCTTATGATAAATAATCTATATTGTTGTCATATTTTCATTAGGATTATGGTGTCAGTTTTCGGTCCTTGGTACATCTGAGAAAACTATTTGAATATCAATGCTAACAGCAACTTTTGTTCAATGCTTGTTTTGTTGACATCTTGTTGTTTATATACAGATGAGATACAGTACTGTGGTACTATTTTGTCAATTCTATGACTATCAGTATCTTTTTCATTTTCTCCCCTTCCTTCCAAAGGACAAGCTGAAGCCTTCCCTTGCAAAGATCTTCTCTGTCATGCACAAATCAGTGTCAGAGTTCTCTAAGAGGATGCTGCTTGAGATGAGACGGCACAATTATGTCACGCCCACCAACTACCTCGAACTGGTGTCAGGATACAAGAAGTAAGAATCGGTCCGTAGAAGCACATCCTGGTCGTAAAAGGCGACTTAATGGATTGGGTGGTCAGACTCGGTGACCTGGTTGATGATGTGTCATTGTGTCATGGGATGGTGCTCACAATATCACTCACTGGATTGTCTTGTTCACACTTGAGTGTTTACAAGCTCATGTCACATAGTTCAAATGTTGCTGAGTAGGGTTACAAGGCACACAGACACACGCATCTTTGGATGAAGATATCCATATTGTTGTTAGTGGTGTGAGGATAGTCCAGCAATATCATATTGGGCAGGGCTCCATTTAAGAGATGTTAACCTACTTGCACCAGGTGCAACCTAAGATAAAAACCTAGTTGCACCAGCCAAACTCCAGTTGCAACGTAGTGTGCTAAAACGTCAGAGGTTTCGGTGCACATAAACATATTTTCGTGGGATGTTGTACCCATGAAACCATAACAACACAGACACAGCTGGTTCCTGTTTACTCGAGCTGTCATAGCCAAGAGGTGTCTATAAATAGCAATGTTTTGATGCCATAGCTAATCAAAGTTTAGAAGAAATATGAGTTGACATATTTATGCTTATAATGTTAGATTTATTGTTGATATAATTCTCGAAACTTGACTAATAACTAGGTTTCACTTTGTGATACTGGGTTGCACCAGTGCAAGTATCAAAGCACTAAATCGAATTGGGGGACACCAGAGATGGGCTTCACACATTGGAACCATGTGGGGAATCGAACCCAGGTTTTCGGCATGACGAGCAAACGTTTGTTTTTCATCAATTCAATCTATTATTCATGGTCATTAGTGGTGTGACGATTCATCGATACGCATCGATTCATGGGCCACCGATACAGTGAATCAATACAAAGTTTTACATTGTCATATATCCCGATAAAACACTTCAAATGGGCCACGATGTACATCGATGTTTAACTTTGAATATTGCCAAATTGCGATATCTGTCAAGAAAGACTTACTTTTGTTTGATGATTAAAATATATGCATACTTATTTTCCCTTCATAAATTTCTCGGAAATTCTTGCGTCAGGAACTGTGTCAAACATGTTCGCACTTTATTATCATTCACAAAGTATGTGTATAAACATAATTAAGTCATTTCCGAATGAACATTGAAAAACGCTGGTGGAATTTGACGAAATACTTTAAAATGGTTTTGTTTTGATCTTAAGGTGTTTTGTAGTTAGAAGTGTTAGAATTAAAGATTTTAGTATCGTGATACATATCATATCACCACCATTATATCGGGATTCGTATTGTATTCAGTGCACAATACTCTGGCAATATATCGCCATGACTAAAAATGTTGTATCATGATATATCGTATCGCTTGTTGTATGCCAATACCAGCACTAATTGTTATGATTATAAATTAGTTAATAATGTGGTACACTACTAATGTGTTCAGCCCATGTACATGTTCCATGACATGACATTGGTTTCCTTGTCAACCGATAAGTGTACAAACTGTAATCTCTACTTCCTGGGGAGGATACACAAAAATCAAATGAAATGACAAAGAGAACTAATATTTGATTTTAAGCTGCACTTGCATTGTATTAGTGATAGGTGGATTTGAAATTGTGCCATAAAATCTTGCCCATTGGACAGCAGGCTGCGTTGGTCAGAGAATGTACAAGCAAACCTGTCATTCTAAATCACTGATTTGTTTAACAGACTGTTGAATGAGAAGAAGAAGGAGCTAGGCGATGCCGCCAACAAGCTGAAGAATGGTCTGAGTAAGATTGACGACACGCGGGAGAAGGTGGAGAAAATGTCGGTGGAGTTGGAGGATGCCAAGACGAAGGTGGCGCAGTTCCAGAAGCAGTGCGAGGAGTACCTGGTCATCATCGTCCAGCAGAAGAGGGAGGCTGACGAGCAACAGAAGGTGAAGGATGTCATCTGGGGTGGGCAGGTCATTGGGGATAGGGATGTGTCATCGATGATGTGGACATGTTATGTTGGATGAGCTGGGATGTTGTGCAGCCATATGGGATAGGCTTAGGTCATCTGGGGTGGGTAGGTCACCTGGCATAGGGTGTGGTCATCGATGTTGTGGACATGTAATGTTGGATGAGCTGGGATGTTGTGCTGCCATATGGGGTAGGCTTAGGTCATCTGGGTGGGTAGGTCACTTGGCATAGGGTGTGGTCATCGATGTTGTGGACATGTAATGTTGGATGAGCTGGGATGTTGTGCTGCCATATGGGGTAGGCTTAGGTCGACTGGGTGGGTAGGTCACTTGGCATAGGGTGTGGTCATCGATGTTGTGGACATGTAATGTTGGATGAGCTGGGATGTTGTGCTGCCATATGGGGTAGGCTTAGGTCATCTGGGTGGGTAGGTCACTTGGCATAGGGTGTGGTCATCGATGTTGTGGACATGTAATGTTGGATGAGCTGGGATGTTGTGCTGCCATATGGGGTAGGCTTAGGTCGACTGGGTGGGTAGGTCACTTGGCATAGGGTGTGGTCATCGATGTTGTGGACATGTAATGTTGGATGAGCTGGGATGTTGTGCTGCCATATGGGGTAGGCTTAGGTCGACTGGGTGGGTAGGTCACTTGGCATAGGGTGTGGTCATCGATGTTGTGGACATGTAATGTTGGATGAGCTGGGATGTTGTGCTGCCATATGGGGTAGGCTTAGGTCACTGGGTGGGTAGGTCACTTGGCATAGGGTGTGGTCATCGATGTTGTGGACATGTAATGTTGGATGAGCTGGGATGTTGTGCTGCCATATGGGGTAGGCTTAGGTCATCTGGGTGGTTAGGTCACCTGGGCATAGGGTGTGGTCATCGATGTTGTGGACATGTAATGTTGGATGAGCTGGGATGTTGTGCTGCCATATGGGGTAGGCTTAGGTCGACTGGGTGGGTAGGTCACTTGGCATAGGGTGTGGTCATCGATGTTGTGGACATGTAATGTTGGATGAGCTGGGATGTTGTGCTGCCATATGGGGTAGGCTTAGGTCGACTGGGTGGGTAGGTCACTTGGCATAGGGTGTGGTCATCGATGTTGTGGACATGTAATGTTGGATGAGCTGGGATGTTGTGCTGCCATATGGGGTAGGCTTAGGTCATCTGGGGTGGTTAGGTCACTTGGCATAGGGTGTGGTCATCGATGTTGTGGACATGTAATGTTGGATGAGCTGGGATGTTGTGCTGCCATATGGGGTAGGCTTAGGGGATCATCTGGGTGGGTAGGTAGGTCACTTGGCATAGGGTGTGGTCATCGATGTTGTGGACATGTAATGTTGGATGAGCTGGGATGTTGTGCTGCCATATGGGGTAGGCTTAGGTCATCTGGGTGGGTAGGTCACTTGGCATAGGGTGTGGTCATCGATGTTGTGGACATGTAATGTTGGATGAGCTGGGATGTTGTGCTGCCATATGGGGTAGGCTTAGGTCATCTGGGGTGGTTAGGTCACCTGGCATAGGGTGTGGTCATCGATGTTGTGGACATGTAATGTTGGATGAGCTGGGATGTTGTGCTGCCATATGGGGTAGGCTTAGGTCATCTGGGTGGTTAGGTCACCTGGCATAGGGTGTGGTCATCGATGTTGTGGACATGTAATGTTGGATGAGCTGGGATGTTGTGCTGCCATATGGGGTAGGCTTAGGTCATCTGGGGGGGGTAGGTCACCTGGCATAGGGTGTGGTCATCGATGTTGTGGACATGTAATGTTGGATGAGCTGGGATGTTGTGCTGCCATATGGGGTAGGCTTAGGTCATCTGGGGTGGCCCAACTACAGGTAATGTTGGATGAGCTATGGTCATCGATGTTGTGGACATGTGATATCAGGTTGGCTGGGGTGTGGGGATGCCATTTGGTGTTGGGGTATGTCACCTTTTGATGGCAGGTCATCGGGGACAGGGGTTTGTTAATGATGATTGGGACATGTAATGTTGGGTGGACTGGGATGTTTAGGTGCCATAGGGGATGGGCTCAGGTCATCTGGGGTGGGTAGGTCACCTGCCTAGGGTGTGATGCCATATCATCTGGGAATGTGCCAACTTCCAAGATTATAAAGTGTGTGTAACAAACATGATTATTACACCTTGCTTTACAGTACACTATACTGTTTCATTACTAGCTTTCTTTGTTTTCAGTCTGTGGCTCAGAAGGGTGAACGTATTGCAGAGGAAGAGACTAAGTGTCAGCACATGGCTGATCTGGCACAGCATGACCTGGATGAAGCCCTGCCAGCCCTGCAGGAGGCCATCAAGGTGAGCAAAGGTCACAGGTCACAGGAACCTATATGGTAGGACACACTGACCAGTATGGTAGGACAAACACCACACTGACCTATAGGGTAGCTCACAGGTCAAACTGACCTTATGGTAGGACACAGGACATACTGACCTATATGGTAGTACACAGGTTACACTGACCTGTAGGGAAGGACACAGGTCACACTGACCTATATGGTAGGACAGAGGTCACACTGACCTATATGGTAGGGCATAGGTCACACTGACCTACAGGGAAAGACACAGGTCACACTGACCTATATGGTAGGACACATGTCACACTGACCTATATGGTAGGACACAGGTCACACTGACCTATATGGTAGGTCATGGGATGTTTAGGGTAGGACCTAAAATGTATGAGCACAGGTCATACTGATCTACAGCGCATGCGTAGAGGTCATCCTGACATACAAAGGTATGAAAAAGTGTTGCACTGCATGTACCTGGTTCAAAGCAATACAATAAAATGAAGTAGTTTTATCATAAACATTACATTCTCTTCACACCAGGCTCTGGAGTCACTCAGCAAGAAGGACATAACAGAGATCAAGTCCTATGGCCGACCTCCTGCTCTGGTAGAGAAGGTTATGGAGGCGGTCATGATTCTCCGAGGAAATGACCCAACATGGCCAGAAGCCAAGAGACAGCTAGGTGAGAACTCTCATATGATTACACCTTCATGTACACTCACATCACACCCCCCATCCCTTCATTAACTCTTGTCTTTGTTTTCATATTCCCCAATACTTCTGATAAATGTTCATGAATGCTCCCACCTCCTTTCTCTATGTAATATTTTCAGAAGCCCCACCCACCTTCATAGGGTCCCATATATAAAGTTTTGTCTCAGCACAGGTTCCCATAGTCTGTCTCACAGTCCCTGAACCGCATTATTTTCCCTTCTGTATTGTCCTTTCTGCAATGCTAAGCCCCAAATGAAGCAAGTTTAGATTTCCTCAGGTTCTGAATAATCCCTTTTCACTGGAGCTCCTTTTCAAGTTAAAAGGAATTCTTTGTTTCTATCAAAATTGTTTATATTCAGAGACTAAGCGTTAGTCTATGGTTCCAAGTAAGATTGCTGAGGCAGCTAAGGAAACTTTTGGGATAAAGAGTGAGTGAGTGAGTTAGTTTTACGCCGCACTCAGCAAAATATTCCAGCTATATGGCGGCAGTCTGTAAATAATCAAGTCTGGACCAGACAATCCAGGGATCAACAGCATGAACATCGATCTACCAATTGGGATATGATGACATGTGTTAACCCAGTCAACGAGCCTGACCAACCTGATCACGTTGGTCGCTTCTTATGACAAGTATGGGTTACAAGCATCAATTCCAACCCAGACCGTCACGGGTCTTTTAGGATAAAGGACCAGTCTCATCAACGATTCTGTCTCCTAGGTGATGGCAACTTCTTAAAGCAGCTGATGAACTATGACAAAGACAACATCACAGACCGAGTGCTGAAGAAAATTGGCTCATACTGCCAGCAGTCTGACTTCCACCCCGAGATCATCGGGCGTGTGTCCACCGCTGCCAAGTCCCTGTGTATGTGGGTGCGAGCTATGGAGGTGTACGGGCGGATCTACCGAGTTGTGGAGCCCAAGCGACAGCGGCTACAGGCTGCCCAGTCTCAGCTTAATGAGAAACAGGCTGCCCTGGCTGATGCTAAGGCCAAACTAGCTGAGGTATGTCTGCTGTAATCTTAGTAACAAGTCAGTCATTCAGGAGGGTCAGACATCACTGTAGAAAAGCCAGAGAACTTACAGATTTCAACATCTTTCATGTGAGGAGCAATATGTTTCGGAGTATAAGCTTACTCCTTCAGCTAATGAATGCCAGGATGCCTAGAATATTTGTGATATAGTGCTAAATGATTTGCATTGTTTTTATAAAACAGTCAGACACACATCAGGGAAACCAATATCCTGTCAATTAGGGAATTATGTGCAATTTGTTTTGAGGAAGTAAACCCAGTTTCGATGAACAGCTTATTGAAAGTAGTTGGCCTGGCTCCTTTCCATAGTTATCCGATACACACTTAAGATGTTGATAAATATCTTGATCCTGTGTAGTTTCATAATTGATCATTTAAAACAGCATCGGAATGACTTTCCCCATTTATCAGAACATGATACCAAGTTCATTGGATCAATAACACAAAGAATCAATTTGCATTTGTGTGGTAGACATTTTTGATTATTACCGCTGCAAATGTTCCCCTCAGGTGGAAGCCAAGATGGCAGAGTTGAAGCGTCAGTATGATGAAAAGCTGGCTCAGAAGGAGGAGCTGAAGAGGAAGGCAGAGCACACCGAGATGATGCTTGACCGTGCGTCCAAGCTGGTGTCCGGTCTGGCCGGGGAGAGGATCCGGTGGGAGGAGACGGTCAAGGACTTGGAAGAGAGGATGGGCTACTTGGTGGGGGACTGTCTGATAGCAGCAGCCTTCCTGTCCTACATGGGACCCTTCCTCTCCAACTACAGGGATGAGATGGTGCAGCTGCGCTGGATGCAGGAGGTACAGTGTCCGTCCTTATTTGTGTCCCCTTTGTGGAGTGTCCTCCTGTAGTGTTCTTGTGTCTTTATGGGGGTAGCCTCATGGGGGGTCCAGATGTAGTGTCATTATGACCTGTTGCAGTGTTACTAATGGATGTCCTCATGTAGCATCCTTTTGTCATGTCCTCCTGTGATGTCTTTATGTCATGCCCTCATGTAGTTTCATTATGTCAGAACATCCAATAGTGTCCTTATGTCATGTCCTCCTGTGGTGTCCTTATGTCATGTCCTCATGTAGTGTCCTATGTCATGTCCTCATGTAGTGTCCAATCTCATGTCCTCATGTAGCATCCTTGTGTCATGTCCTCCTGTGGTGTCCTTATGTCATGTCCTCCAGTAGTGTACTTATGCCATGTCCTCCAGAAGTGTTCTGTGTCATGTCCTCCATAAGTGTCCTATGTCATGTCCTCATGGGATGTCCTCCTAGAGTGTTCTTACATCATGTGTCCATGTGGTTCCTCATGTTGTCTTTTCTTGGAATCTGCTTGACATCCTTTGTGTGGTGTCTTCAAGGGGTGTCTTAAAGGGGTGTCCATGTGTGAGAGCTTCATGGGATGTGCTTGTGTTGTTCCTTTGTGTGGTGTGTTCAAGGGGGTCCACATGTGAGGGCTTCATGGGATGTGCTTGTGTTGTTTCCATTGTGTGGTGTCTTCAAAGGGTGTCTGTATGGTGGGGTAGCCTAGTGGTTAAAGCGTTCGCTCGTCATGCTGAAGACCCAGGTTCGACTCCCCACATGGGCACAATGTGTGAAGCCCATTTCTGGTGTCCCCCGCCATGATTTTGTTTGAATATTGCTAAAAGCGGCATAAAATTATACCCACTCACATCAATCCAACACAGTGTTAAACAACTGAAATATTGTTCAAAACAGCATGAACACCTTTTTCACTTATTTCGTCCAAATTGTCCACAGGTGAGGAAACTTGGTGTACCATGTGCACCAGACTTCAGCTTCTGTGATTTCATGGCCAAGCCGACTCAGGTGCGAGACTGGAACATCCAGGGTCTGCCCAGCGATGCCTTCTCCACAGAGAACGGAGTCATCGTCACCCGCGGCAGTCGGTGGCCCCTGATGATCGATCCCCAGGGACAAGCCATCAAGTGGATCAAGAACATGGAAGTGTCTAGGGTAGGAATGTTGACTTACACTGTGTTTTCAAGGATCAAATTAAGATACCTTAATTAAGATACCTAATGTCCATAAACATTGTATGTGAAAGTATCACTTTAGAGTTTAGAGGCACCATTGTTTACATCATCAGGATGGCGTTATTGACATCATTCAAATGTAAATGTGACATAAGTTTGGAATGACCTCATAGCTGAAGAACCCGTGAAGATACGGGTTAGAATTGATCTTCAGTAACCCATGCTTGTCGTAAGAGGCGACTAACGGGATTGGATGGTCAGGCTCACTGACTTGGCTGACACATGTCATCAGTTCCCGGTTGCGTAGATTGATGCTCATGCTGTCGATCCCTGGATTGAGGGGGCGGTGGGGTAGCCCAGTGGTTAAAGCGTTGGCTTGTAACGCCAAAGACCCGGGTTCGAATCCCGCCGTGATGTTCCTGTAATATTGCTTAAAGCGGCGTGAAACCAAACTCAGTCAGTCAGTCCCTGGATTGTCTGGTCCCGATTCGATTATTTACAGACTGCCGTCATATAGCTGGAACATTGCTGAGTGTGGCGTAAAACTAAACTCACTCACTTACTCATAGCTGAAGATTATTGACATCAATGTAGAATCTTTAAGACATCATTAAAGGTTTTCTAAGATGGCAGTTATGATCAGTGCATTTGTCTAAATGGGAGCTCAAAAGGATTGAGAAATGATTGGCAAGAAAGAAATTTTACCCTCCCATGTGTGCCATACACCGAGTTTAAAAACTCAAGTCAAAATTGATGTTATAACCTTGCTCTTGTTCAAGGTCGTCAAGAATTCGACACTCATTTCTTGAACTCAGTATGACACATATGATCTACAATAATGTGTATATGATTGTGAGATAGCTGAATGTTGATCTGTTCCTCCAGGGTCTGAAGGTGATAGATCTGCAGCAGTCGGACTACATGCGCACCATGGAGAGTGCAATTCAGTTTGGTCTGCCTGTCCTGCTGCAAAATGTGCAGGAGAAACTGGACCCTTCACTGGACCCCATCCTCAACAGATCACTTATCAAGATCGGTCAGTCTTGCTTTAAAAACTTCCCTATGGTCACCATCTTGACGTGGCGACCTGGTTAATTATGTACCTTTGTACCCCTGATGGCTTATTGGTGACCATTTTGATGTGGCGACCTGGTTGATTATGTGCCATTGTACCCACGATGACTTATTGGTGACCATCTTGATGTGGCGACTTGGTTGATTACGGGGTGTTCATGCCATTGCTAGATATCCAAGGTGGAATATTTAAGACAATTCAACAGGGTGTTCATTGTCTGCATACAGAGGATATTATTTAACATAGGGACTAGATATCCAAGGTGATATGTTTAAGACAATTCAACAGGGTGTTCATTGTCTGCATACAGAGGATATTATTTAACATAGGGACTAGATATCCAAGGTGGAATGTTTAAGACAATTCAACAGGGTGTTCATTGTCTGCATACAGAGGATATTATTTTAACATAGGGGCTAGATATCCAAGGTGGAATGTTTAAGACAAGAACAGGGTGTTCATGTCTCATACAGAGGATATTATTTAACATAGGGACTAGATATCCAAGGTGATATGTTTAAGACAATTCAACAGGGTGTTCATTGTCTGCATACAGAGGATATTATTTAACATAGGGACTAGATATCCAAGGTGGAATGTTTAAGACAATTCAACAGGGTGTTCATTGTCTGCATACAGAGGATATTATTCAACATAGGGACTAGATATCCAAGGTGGAATGTTTAAGACAATTCAACAGGGTGTTCAATGTCTGCATACAGAGGATATTATTTAACATAGGGACTAGATATCCAAGGTGGAATGTTTAAGACAATTCAACAGGGTGTTCAATGTCTGCATACAGAGGATATTATTTAACATAGGGACTAGATATCCAAGGTGGAATGTTTAAGACAATTCAACAGGGTGTTCATTGTCTGCATACAGAGGATATTATTTAACATAGGGACTAGATATCCAAGGTGGATGTTTATGTTTAAGACAATTCAACAGGGTGTTCATTGTCTGCATACAGAGGATATTATTTAACATAGGGACTAGATATCCAAGGTGGAATGTTTAAGACAATTCAACAGGGTGTTCATTGTCTGCATACAGAGGATATTATTTAACATAGGGACTAGATATCCAAGGTGAATGTTTAAGACAATTCAACAGGGTGTTCAATGTCTGCATACTCCTCCTATTTACAGACAATCCTGAGAAGGGTAACACTGCATGATCTGTATGTCAGAACACACCACCCTCACATATATCTTAAATGGCTTGTCACATTCAATGTGTGTAGATTTTAGATTATCATTTATTCCCATGGGGATTCCAGCAACCTTTGGGTGATCACGTGTCTTTGTATTCAGACGTGGTTATTGCTCATAATATTGATCACTGCCATATAGTTTAATTATGAACTGGCTTTATGCATTGTACGGCCCACGTTTAATTTGAATGGCACTGATAAGATGCATATCCACAGCACCACATTGTCTCAGATTTACCATATTTCTTCAGACAGATACCCCATCAGAGAATATTTCTGACTTTATAGTGTCTGATAATGACCCGCCTTCTATTTCTTCAGCCTCAATATTATGACACCATTTGGCTTTTCTTGAACTTTCTAGGAATTTGTCTAGACCAGCTCTGAGGCCAGTACTAGGCCCCAAGTCTAAAGCAGTGGTCAGTAAAATCTGCCCATGTTATTACTAATGTTATGACTTGTAGAGTCAATTTGTATTCCATATGCTGGCTACATGCATTTACTTTAGAGCTAGATAATCCCAGCTTTCAATATACAACTGAACACTAAGCCTATACACCAGATCTTTGTATCCCCGTTTGTTTTGAGAATCTTTGTTTTTACTCAGTGTCTGTTGGAGAAAATATGGTTTATTGTCGTTGCATGGCACCTATGGAAATTCTACACAGGTCTGAATCAGGAAAAGAATTTCTTGAATCTATAAAGAATAGACACAGCCAAATAAATTAATGGTAGTTGTGGAAAAAATACTTTAAAAATATGAGATACAAATAAATTAATTACTCTTATTTAAGTCATTATAAAAACAGCAGCCTTTGATGCCTTTATTAACTGTTTGTGATTCCCTGGAAATTATTATCATTTCTTTGAGAGTCATTAATGTAGTTAGATGTTTATTTGTCCAAGATTTCATGGCCCTAAAACCCAGTGGATGAAATGGCTAAATAGTGACACTGTTGCAGGCGGGGCATACATCATACGACTGGGAGACAAGGAGATTGAGTACAACTACGACTTCCGCTTCTACATCACCACCAAGCTCAGCAACCCCCACTACACCCCCCAGATTTCCACCAAGGCCACCATTGTCAACTTCGCAGTCAAGGAGCAAGGTTGGAAAAACATAAATAATCAAAAAGTCTTTGTTGCATCATTCTCTTCCCACAGAGGTTACTTGTTATAACTTCCTATGAACCTCTGTTCTAATACGGCCCTTTCATGGTGCGAGTGTTCAGGATTCGTGATTGGTTGTAATCAGAATTAGTTGTGCAATCAGTGACGTTGTTTCATAAGTGATCATTCGCAAGGCCTCGGTTATTTCCGTATGCTTCGGGAAAACTAGAATGTCAAACGTTTCTTCTAGACAGAACTCAGTCATGTTATGGCGGATCAATGGCGTCTCCATCGCCATCGTTGACAATGGACAAGCTAGCCATTAAATGTCTTGTGTGTCACATCAACACAAGTCCCCGGCAGAGGAGGGATATTTGTGGCCCCACACATTTGCTTGTGTTGGTCAAGTTGGATCTAAGTCGATGTAACACGTGTTTTGATTGGATAGAAAGAAGGGAGATAATTTGTGTTGCGATTTTGTGCCGCTAGGGGATTTTCCGAGAACCGGGAAATATGGCTGAACATAGGTTCGTAGGAAGATATGACAAGTAACCTCTGTGTGAAGAAAATGTTGTTGTATGTGAAATTGAAAGATTTGGTTTTCAAGGGAGATAACTGCACAAACTAGACAGTAGAAAAGCATATCGCAGTATACTGGTAATCCTGTGCAGTCCAAGTGCATCCATAGAAGCTCACATGTATGATTATGTCTCCCCCCGAAGGGTCGGGAGACATTGTTTTTGGTAGAGTTTTCATCAGTGTCTGCATTCCCATTGTTTCCAGAATGTAACTCTAAAACTACTTGAACAATCTTCACCAAACTTGGTATACTGCCTCTCCATATCATGTAGATGTGCCTTTTAGGGGTTTGAACTTTTCATTCAATTTTATTTTTTTCTATTTCCATGGCAACAAGTTGGACTTTGTCTTTTTGAAGGGTAAAGTTCGTTTCTGGAGCATAATTCTGAAACTATTTGACCCATCTTCACCAAATCTGCCTCTCCATATCATGTAGATGTGCCTTTTGGGGGTTTGAACATTTCTTTCAATTTTATTTTTTCCTGTTTCAATTATTTTTTCTGTTGAGGTCTCAATGTTGAATTGGGGAAGGGGGAGACATCTGTTTTTACGAGTAAAAACACTTTCTAGTTGTGTCTGTGGTACAGGTCTGGAGGCCCAGCTATTGGGTATCGTGGTCAGGAAGGAACGGCCAGAACTAGAGGAACAGAAGGACACGCTGGTCAGAAGCATCGCTGCAGGCAAGAAGAAGCTGGTGGAATGTGAAGATGAGATTCTGAGGTAAGGCAGTACAGCTCAGGGCTTGATTTAGTGCTTTAAATTTGTTACTTGCACTGGTGCAACCCAAGATTACAAGTGCAGCCTAGTTATTAGTCTAACTTGCACCATGTGCAAGTAAATTTTTGATTGGGTAAACTTCTGAATAAAACATCTAAATAATTCAACAGCATATTTCTTTCATTACATAATCTAATAAAAACAGTGCAACTAGAATTTGGCTGGTGCAACTAGGTTTTTATCTTAGGTTGCACATGGTGCAAGTAGGTTAACATCTCTCGAGCCCTGTCAGCTATAACACACACTGGTGGAATTCAGTGATTTGATTCTGGTCCTTCTGTGGCACTAGACTGGAAATCACCAGCTTGGAGCAGGTACCTGTAAAGGTCAGGTATGAGGGTAGAGTTTTGAATAACGCCTAAATGTATCTGCAGGTTGCTGAACGAGACCAAGGGCTCCCTCTTGGATGATGAACAGCTGGTCAACACACTCCAGACATCCAAAATAACTTCCCAGGAGGTGTCCGAGCAGGTCCAGATCTCAGAGCAGACTGAGGCCAAGATTGATGCGGCCAGAGAGGTGAGGTTATATATACAACACTGAAAAGTTAGGGCAAAGAGTGGAAACTTACTGCCTCAAATTTATTCTTTTTGTGCAGTTTCTAGAAAACCAATAAATATTCCAAGCTGATAACTGGTGAGTGAAGAAGATTGGGTAGTGAGGCTCTGTGGGTGAGTTGATTGCTGTTGTGACCACAGTGCCCAGACATCATGGTGGATTGTACTTTAGAACCAATGGGGATTCTGGTTAGAATTCCTTACCATTGGTCATTGCTTGTCAAAAGAGACAGCTTAATTGACAGGGAGGCCAGGAATCATGACATAGATGAATGCATGTCATCATCCCAAGACACAAATTATGTGTACTGGCACCTTGTCTCCCGATAGTTTCAAGGTCCTGTCCCTGACTAGAACACATGCCACCTTTGTTGACAAATATGCCTTTGTCAACCCAGCAGTGAATGGGTATCAGGTAGGATGAAATCTCTGATCCACTGTCCAGAAATATATCATCATCATCATCATCATCATCATCATCATCATCATGAGGGTACAATGTGTGAAACCCATTTCTGGCATCATGAGGGTACAATGTGTGAAGCCCATTTCCCCTGCCGTGATATTGCTGGAATGTTGCTAAAAGCGGCGCAAACTCACTCACTCACTCACTCACTCATCATCATCATCATGACATTTGGAAGGCTCCGCATAATGTATGATTTCACATAAGGCTAAAGGATAATCTGCTTCTTCTATCCAGGGTTACCGACCATGTGCCCAGAGAGCTTCCATCCTGTTCTTTGTCCTCAACGACATGGGCCGCATCGACCCCATGTACCAGTTCTCGCTGGACTCCTACATCGAGCTGTTCATCCTGTCCATCGAGAAGAGTCAACGCAGCTCCAAACTGGAGGAGAGGATTGTCAATCTCAACGAGTACCACACTTATGCTGTGTACAGGTGAGCTAGCACAGCTGTCGTGTCCTAAATAGTAGCCTCAGTCAATATACTGTCATGTCACTAATAAGATTGTATTCATATAACATGGATTCTCACTGGGACCTAGCGTGAAATAGACTTCCAACACTCTTGTTATACCCCCGCTATGAAGTAACGGGGGTATATAGCATTCATTCTGTCCGTCCGTCCCGAAACTTTGTCCGGAGCATATCTCTTAAAGTTTACTTGCTAGGTTCACCAAACTTCACACACATGTTAATCATTACCCATTGATGTGCCTTTTGCTATTTTAATTTTTTTCTTCAGAATTTTGTTTTTTTGCTGTTTCCATGGAAACATGACTTAGTGCCAAATGTGTTTGATGGTTTTGTCCGGAGCATATCTCTTAAAGTTTACATGCTAGGTTCAACAAACTTCACACACATGTTAATCATTACCCATTGATGTGCTTTTTGCTATTTAAATTTTTTTCAGAATTCGTTTTGTTGTTGTTTCCATGGAAACATGACTTGGTGCAAAATGTGTTTGATGGTTACCTGGCCACAGCATATCATCGAAACTATACATGCTAGGTTCACCAAACTTAATACACAAGTTAATCATGACCCACAGATATGCCATGTGCTAAAAAATAACAATCTTCATCTACGTCCACTTCATTGTGTGCAACAAGTTCAATTGTATGTCAGGTTTCCACGGAAAACACAAAAAAATAATGTTTCCATAAATTAATACCGTAATCAGTACATGGCAAAACTATTATCTAACATGTATATAAAGTTTAGTAGAGTCAAGGAGAAAGTCTTGTGAGCTGCTGATCGTTGTCACATTATATATATCAATATCAGTCATTTCCATGTCCCAAAGTGGGAAGCTGGGGTATGTGAGCTGTGCTCACTTCTACACTTGTTTCAACAGGTGATCAAAATCTTTGACTTGGTTGATCATATGTCATCGTATTCCAATGATGATGGATGTTGCTCATATTATCAACCACTGGTTTGTCTGGGCCAGACTCAGTTATTCACTAGCAGTAGTTGGTCTGAAGACAAAACAGTGGAAGTTCCATATAGCTAGCTGCTATAGAGCTAGATACTGTATATAGTAGACTTATGCTGCAATAGAGCCAGATAGTGTAGATAATAGAATTTAAGGTATCACATTAAGTTTCTTGCCTCATTAGCATTTGTTATAAGAGATTCACGTTTAGTTCCCCATTTGTATTGTTTGAATTATTTCTTATCAGTTTAATCAAGAGATTTAGTTCCCCAAATAGCACATTTCGATACTTTAATTTTAGTTAGTTTAGTTTTCAATTCCACTGCGCAACAGTTAGCTGATCTTGTTCAAACGAAACAATTTCTACTAGTAACATGGAGTTTTGATGTTGCAGATACACATGTCGGGGACTGTTCGAGAGGCACAAGCTACTCTTCTCCTTCCAGATGTGTGCCAAGATCCTGGAACATGCTGGAAAAATCAACATGGACGAGTACAATTTCTTCCTCAGAGGTGGTGTGGTAAGCTAATTTGTTTGATGTCACGATGTTTAAGTTAAAAAACGAAATCAATGTGTTTCTGATAAATATTGATTGAACATGGTCTCATGAACTTTCTAGCAGAGGCAGACAGTTTACAGACAGGCAGTAAGACATGCAGAGAGACACACACACATACACACTACAGACACACTACAGACACACAGGCTCATGTTCACATACAGAGGTTGCTATGTAAGTGCAATTATCTTAAATCTTTCACCTCACCTCACCCAAAGTGCCATTATCTTGAATCTTTCACCTCACCTCACCCTAAGTGCAATTATCTTGAATCTTTCACCTCACCTCACCCTAAGTGCAATTATCTTGAACCTTTCACCTCACCTCACCCAAAGTGCAATTATCTTGAATCTTTCACCTCACCTCACCCTAAGTGCAATTATCTTGAACGTTTCACCTCACCTCACCCTAAGTGCAATTATCTTGAACCTTTCACCTCACCTCACCCTAAGTGCAATTATCTTGAACCTTGCACCTCACCTCACCTGAAGTGCAATTATCTTGAATATTTCACCTCACCTCACCCTAAGTGCAATTATCTTGAACCTTTCACCTCACCTCACCCTAAGTGCAATTATCTTGAACCTTGCACCTCACCTGAAGTGCAATTATCTTGAACCTTTCACCTCACCTCACCCTAAGTGCAATTATCTTGAATCTTTCACATCACCTCACCTCACCTCACCTGAAGTGCAATTATCTTGAATCTTTCACCTCGCCTCACCCTAAATGCAATTATCTTGAACCTTTCACCTCACCTCACCCTTAGTGCAATTATCTTGAACCTTGCACCTCAACTCACCTAAAGTGCAATTATCTTGAATATTTCACATCACCTCACCCAAAGTGCAATTATCTTGAATCTTTCACATCACCTCACCTCACCTCACCTGAAGTGCGGGGCGGTGGGGTAGCCTAATGGTTAAAGCGTTGGCTCGTCACGCCGAAGACCCGGGTTCGAATCCCCACATGGGTACAATGTGTGAAGCCCATTTCTGATGTCCCCCGCCGTGATATTGCTGGAATATTGCTAAAAGCGGCGTAAAACCAAACTCAGTCAGTCAGTCACCTGAAGTGCAATTATCTTGAACCTTTCACCTCACCTCACCCTAAGTGCAATTATCTTGAATCTTTCACCTCACCTCACCTGAAGTGCAATTATCTTGTATCTTTCACCTCAACTCACACTAGGGGCGGTGGGGTAGCCTAGTGGTTAAAGCGTTGGCTCGTCACGCCGAAGACCCGGGTTCGAATCCCCACATGGGTAAAATGTGTGAAGCCCATTTCTGGTGTCCCCCGCCGTGATATTGCTGGAATATTGCTAAAAGCGGCGTAAAACCAAACTCAGTCAAACAGTCAGTCACCTCACCCTAAGTGCAATTATCTTGAATGTTTCACCTTGCCTCACCCTAAATGCAATTATATTGAACCTTTCACCTCACCTCACCCTAAGTGCAATTATCTTGAACCTTTCACCTCACCTCACCCTAAGTGCAATTATCTTGAATATTTCACCTCACCTCACCTCACCTGAAGTGCAATTGTCTTGAATCTTTCACCTCGCCTCACCCTAAGTGCAATTATCTTGAATCTTTCACCTCGCCTCACCCTAAGTGCAATTATCTTAAACGTTTCACCTCACCTCACCCCAAGTGCAATTATCTTGAACCTTTCACCTCACCTCACCCTAAGTGCAATTATCTTGAACCTTTCACCTCACCTCACCCTAAGTGCATTTATCTTGAACCTTGCACCTCACCTCATCTGAAGTGCAATTATCTTGAACATTTCACCTCACCTCACCCTAAGTGCAATTATCTTGAATCTTTCACCTCACCTCACCCTAAGTGCAATTATCTTGAACTTGCACCTCACCTCACCCTAAGTGCAATTATCTTGAACCTTTCACCTCACCTCACCCTAAGTGCAATTATCTTGAATCTTTCACCTCGCCTCACCTCACCTCACCTGAAGTGCAATTATCTTGAATCTTTCACCTCGCCTCACCCTAAGTGCAATTATCTTGAATCTTTCACCTCACCTCACCTGAAGTGCAATTATCTTGAACTTTGCACCTCAACTCACCTGAAGTGCAATTATCTTGAATATTTCTCATCACCTCACCCAAAGTGCAATTATCTTTAATCTTTCACCTCACCTCACCTTACCTCACCTGAAGTGCGGGTCGGTGGGGTAGCCTAATGGTTAAAGCGTTGGCTCGTCATGCCGAAGACCCGGGTTCGAATCCCCACATGGGTACAATGTGTGAAGCCCATTTCTGGTGTCCCCCGCCGTGATATTGCTGGAATATTGCTAAAAGCGTCGTAAAACCAAACTCAGTCAGCCAGTCACCTGAAGTGCAATTATCTTGAACCTTTCACCTCACCTCACCTCACCCTAAGTGCAATTATCTTGAATCTTTCACCTCACCTCACCTCACCTCAAGTGCAATTATCTTGTATCTTCTCACCTCAACTCACACTAGGGCAATTATCTTGAATCTTTCTCCTCACCTCACCTGGTGCAATAGCTTGTAGTGGTCAACTCACACTAGCTTAGCCTAGTGGTCAAAGCGTTGGCTCACCCGAAGACCGGGTTCAATCCCCACATGGGTAAAATGTGTGAAGCCCATTTCTGGTGTCCCCCGCCGTGATATTGCTGGAATATTGCTAAAAGCGGCGTAAAACCAAACTCAGTCAAACAGTCAGTCACCTCACCCTAAGTGCAATTATCTTGAATGTTTCACCTCACCTCACCCTAAGTGCAATTGTCTTGAATCTTTCACCTCGCCTCACCTTAAATGCAATTTTCTTGAACCTCACCTCACCTCACCCTAAGTGCAATTATCTTGAACCATGCACCTCACCTCACCCTAAGTGTAATTATCTTGAATATTTCACCTCACCTCACCTCACCTCACCTGAAGTGCAATTATCTTCAATCTTTCACCTCACCTCACCCTAAGTGCAATTATCTTGAACCTTCACCTCACCTCACCCTAAGTGCAATTATCTTGAATCTTTCACATCACCTCACCTCACCTCACCTGAAGTGCAATTATCTTGAATCTTTCACCTCGCCTCACCCTAAATGCAATTATCTTGAATCTTTCACCTCACCTCACCCTAAGTGCAATTATCTTGAATCTTTCACCTCACCCTAAGTGCAATTATCTTGAATCTTTCACCTCGCCTCACCCTAAATGCAATTATCTTGAACCTTTCACCTCACCTCACCCTAAGTGCAATTATCTTGAACCTTTCACCTCACCTCACCCTAAGTGCAATTATCTTGAATATTTCACCTCACCTCACCTCACCTGAAGTGCAATTATCTTGAATCTTTCACCTCGCCTCACCCTAAGTGCAATTATCTTGAATCTTTCACCTCGCCTCACCCTAAGTGCAATTATCTTAAACGTTTCACCTCACCTCACCCTAAGTGCAATTATCTTCAACCTTTCGTCCCACCTCGCCTCACCCTCCAGTTTGACACAGATATCCCCATCAACAGTAGAGTAGGATAGATCTTTGTTATTCTAAGTCCTCAAGAAGAAATGTTTCTGTTCAGGTTATTGACCGAGACAACCAGATGGACAACCCATGTTCTGGATGGTTGTCGGACAACGCCTGGGACAACATCACAGAGTTGGACAAACTTGCCAACTTTCATGGCATCATCACGTCCTTCGAGCAATACCCTCGCGACTGGAACATCTGGTACACATCAGCTGAACCCGAGACCTCTCCGCTGCCGGGTGAGTGGGACAACGCATGCAACGAGCTGCAGAGGATGTTGATCGTACGTTCGCTTCGTCCCTGACAGAGTCTCGTTCTGTGCCACGTCCTTCATTGTGAACAATCTTGGCTCCAAGTTTGTGGAGCCTCCTGTGTTGGACATGCAGCAGGTTGTGGAGGACTCGACGACGAAGACGCCGCTCATCTTTGTGCTCTCTGCTGGGGTGGTATGTACAACTTGCTTGTTTGCTCTCTGTTTATTGCCGTGCTCAGCAATATTCAGCTATATGACACTGATCTTTTAATAAACGAGTGTGGACCAGGGCCCGTTTCACAAAGCTCTCGTAAGCCTAAGATCTCGTTAACTTTTCTCTTAGCATTCGTACTTCCTAAACTGTAACATTGACTTACGATAGTCGTAGCGCCATTAGAGCTTTGTGAAACAGGGCCCTATACTGTAACATTGACTTACGATAGTCGTAGCGCTACGAGAGCTTTGTGAAATGGGGCCCTATACTGTAACATTGACTTACGATAGTCGTAGCGCTACGAGAGCTTTGTGAAACGGGGCCCTATACTGTAACTTTGACTTACGATAGTCGTAGCGCTACGAGAGCTTTGTGAAACGGGGCCCTATACTGTAACATTGACTTACGATAGTCGTAGCGCTACGAGAGCTTTGTGAAACGGGGCCCTATACTGTAACTTTGACTTACGATAGTCGTAGCGCTACGAGAGTTTTGTGAAACGGGGCCCAGGCAATCCAGGTATCACAAATGTGGACCATGGAGCTTCAGCATTTCTTCACCGTTCCTCCCAGTATTAGCTCACATTTGGAATATAATAGAAACACTGTTGAGAGTAAGTGAAATACATAACTCCCATGTTTATCTCTGCTGCTGCTGCCACAAGGTTCTGATTCTACATCCTCTGTTCCCAGGATCCGACAAGTTCTCTCCTGCAGTTGGCTGAGAGCAGTGGGATGGCCTCCAGGTTCCATGCCCTCTCACTGGGTCAAGGTCAGGCTCCCATAGCAACCAGGATGATAAAGGAAGGCGTGAAAGAGGTGAGCGTTTAGATCAGTTTTGATAAGTGTCATCCACAGAATTACCTCCCTTGTGCATTCATTGTAATATAGAAGTTGTGTACCCATAGAAATGTCTATGTTTATGGATAGCTGGATCTGTCATTGCCCTCACTGCCACATCTGTGTTTCTTCAGGGCAACTGGGTATTCCTGGCTAACTGCCACTTGTCTCTCAGCTGGATGCCGCAGCTGGACAAGCTGGTGGAACAGCTGCAGATCGAGGAGCCACACCCGGAGTTCCGCCTGTGGCTGAGCAGCTCCCCCCACCCAGAGTTCCCCATCTCCATCCTGCAGCAGGGCATCAAGATGACAACAGAGCCCCCCAAGGTGAGTGATGGCTGCGGGACATGTAGACACACACCTTGATTATGAGGCAGGTCAAGTGGAGATGCTGTGCTGTCAGACCCCACTATTTATCCCCACTCCTTCCTTACATAGACCGGACCGCCTCCATGGTGTAGTGGTTAGAGCGTCCGCCCGGAGAGCGGAAGGTCGCGGGTTCGATCCCCGACCGCATCATACCAAAAGACGTTAAAATATGGTACTTGTTGGTCCCTGCCTGGCGCTCGGCATTAACGGGTACAACAAGGACTGGTCGGCTCGAGTCAGTATAATGTGTCTGATTGGGGTATTCATGCTTCACTACGGCATGGTATCTCAGTGGGCTAGCACTATAAAACCAGCTTCAGACTGGGCTAGTACAAGCAGCCGCACATACACATACACAAGCATGCACGTCATCATATGAGCGAAATATTCTCAAGCACGACGTTAAACTCAATTTCACCTCACCTCACCTTACATAGACCCTTTATTCATCTATGCTGAAATTTCGATAAGCTTGAAAAACCATGAGATAGGATAAGTATTATAAATATACAATTTATAGTTAAAATTTCCAAATTGTCAGAATATTTTAATTACTCAACATTTGTGAATTTTGGGATCCATAACCCAAACAAAGTGAAAAAATATAAGTTTACAGATTCAGACAGCTATTAAAAAATAAAGTTTTGAAATAAATAAATTGACAATCAGTTTTCTTATAAGCAGAGTACTGTGTTCACCAGAAAAAAACAATAAGCATACTATTAAATTTAACTGCTAGATCAGCATGACTAACATATCTAAGACTGATAATTCTTTGTTCCCGGACTGACTGAGAAAGATTTTGTTCTTAAGATACAAATCAAGCATTAGTGATGACTTATTCAAGCAGGCACACACATGTTCCCGACCACTAGTGTTGGAAATCGGACACGAAATCCACTATCCATTATCGGAGGACTTGTGGTTAGTGTTGGTCCGATTAATTAAAATAATTGAAGATTGGTCGCAGTGACTAAACGACCAATCAATCGATCATGTTTTCTCGTAATCGAAAACAAACCAGTTTGGAACACTTGTTTGCATTAACAATATTTTTCACAAGTTTTTTTTGTCTGTGTCATTACATGTATATTTCATATGCACTACAAGCTCATTCCAAGTCATGATAGAATTTATTTTAAAGACTCCAGGCAATGTATGTTCCTAACATACTAGTAATCCTTTAAAGATGTGAAATTTGCAAATGCATTTTGTGCGATTTGCAAAAAAAACACAACCTTTTGTGCATTAACAAACATAACAGGAAAATTTGATAAATGACACTAACCAATTATTTTGATGATTGATCGGTTGTAATGAACCAATCATCAATTATGAGATTTTATCCTAATTCCCAATACTACTTGTGGTGAACGATCATTGATTATAATCGAAATATATACATTTTTAATGTAATCACCAATTTTGAGGGTTTTTCCACAGGTTTTTTTCTAGTTATTATACTGCCTTCCAATGAAATGCCTGCATGCAAGAAAGACACTGGAATTGTAATTAAACAATAAAAGTGGTTAAAATTTTACAATGGGCATAGCTTTACGCTGTTGAGCGCATGTTTGTTCGTGAATATTCGTCGAATTTAATGGTTAGTTTAATTCCTTCAAGTGTGTTATACAAAAACAACAAAATTCTGATTAATTGAAAATATGTTTTTAATAATCAATAATCATTTTTAATCCTTCTTTCAATCGATTTTCGATTATTTTCGATCATAGGAACACCACTACCGACCACCCCCTCCCTCCACACACACACACACACACACACACACACACACGTTGCTCAATAAATGCAATGGTCACGTGACTCACATCATAAAACCCTGTTACACCTGACTCTTCCTCTTGTGTGTCCAGGGTCTGAAGGCCAACATGAAGCGTCTGTACAACCTGTTGGCAGAGAGTCAGTTCAACCGCTGCCACAAGCAGGACAAGTACAAGAAGCTGCTCTTCTGTCTCTGTTTCTTCCACTCGGTGCTGCTGGAGAGAAGAAAGTTCCTCATGCTGGGATGGAACATCGCATACGAGTTCAACGACTCCGACTTTGAGGTGAGTTGCCGGTCTGGTTCTGTTGTCATTGTTACCTCATTTTGCTGACAGTCAAGTGATGTCAAGTCAAGGGCAGTTTGTCTAGTGTTCATCCTCAGTGATCTCAGTGACCACTTGACCAATGACGTTGATGCTTCATTCATACACTTGTGAGGTGGTGTAGTCTAGTGGTTAAAGCATTTCCTATCATGCTAAAGGCACAGGTGAGTGAGTGGGTGAGTTTAGTTTTACACCACACTCAGCAATATTCCAGCTATATGGTGGCGGTCTGTAAATAATTGAGTCTGGACCAGACAATCCAGTAATCAACAGCATGATCATCGATCTACACAATTGGGAACCAATGACATGTGTCAACCAAGTCAGCGAGTCTGACCGCCAGATCCCGTTAGTCACCTCTTACGACAAGCATGAGTTACTGAAGATCAATTCTAACTTGGATCTTCACGGGTTTGAAGGCACAGGTTCTATTCCCCAAATGGGTACAATGTGTCACGTCAATTTATGTGTCCCGTGCAATGATATTGCTGAAATATTGGTGAAAGCAATATAAAACCCAACCTACTAGAGCTGGTGATCGTTAAATTTTGTCAGATCAATAATCGCTAGTGTCAGATCAATAATCAATTGATTATAATCTTTTGGACGGTCATTTCATAGTCAAATACCTATGTTAGCGAACTAACTTCCGGGTTGTTGTCAGCACCTGTCAACTCGTAGTATTTCAATGACGACGTGACCTTTTCCGGAAAGGGACATCCCAATCTAAATATATCTAGCATTGCCATTGGCTAACATGCGCACTTGTGTAGTACACAGGTTCCATTTAAGAAGTAAACAAGCAATGACGACCAGATTGTTCGGTAAAAGATAACATGACAAGGTAGAATAACACGTTTTAATGTGTGTGCATCCAAATAATGATTATTTCCGATTATCGATCTGCAGTTTATTTGTAATCGACAATCGTTTATTTTGACTTAGATCGAACAATTAATCAATCGCTCCAGCACTACAACCTATAAATCACTCTTACCAGTGATTGTTGAGGTGGTTCCAATACAACATCCTACCTTGAATAAATGTCTAAGATTAAAGTCCGGTAAAACTTTTCCTCTTTTTTCGTGGGTTACAGTAAGCATGCAATGATGGCAAGACTCGACAAGGCTTCTGTGTCACAACCTGGCTTGGGGTGATGTCATGATGGTTTGACGTCACTTAGAAAAAACACATCAATTTTAATCAGATAATAGTGAGAGTGCCAGACATATGAGATCTTGGAAGCAGGATGGTGTTCATGTGATATTTTGTGTAGCAAGCAAGTTTTGGCTGTAAAGATTTGTATTGTATAAAGGAATAATGCACACAATTCCAGGTGTCAGAGAACCTGCTGAGTATCTACCTGGACGAGTATGAAGACACACCCTGGGATGCCCTCAAGTACCTCATCGCTGGCATCAACTACGGCGGCCATGTGACAGATGACTGGGACAGACGCTTGATGCAGACTTACATCGGCGACTACTTCTGTGATGCCTCTATCAGCCAGGCATTCTACAAGTAGGCACCCATGTCATCATTCTGCCCATAGTATTCATCGAGACGGGAGTAGATGTGATGGGAGGTGTTAGGAGAGAGGGGGGGAGTAGATGTGATGGGAGGTGTTAGAGGAGAGAGGGGTGTAGATGTGATGGGAGGTGTTAGAGGTGAGAGGGGGAGTAGATGTGATGGAGGTGTTAGAGGGGAGAGGGGGAGTAGATGTGATGGGAGGTGTTAGAGGAGAGAGGGGGTCGAGATGTGATGGAGGGGTTAGAGGAGAGAGGGGGAGTAGATGTGATGGAGGTCTTAGAGGAGAGAGGGGGAGTAGATGTGATGGAGGGGTTAGAGGAGACAGGGGTGTAGATGTAATGGGAGGTGTTAGAGGTGAGAGGGGAGTAGATGTGATGGAGGTGTTAGAGGGGAGAGGGGAGTAGATGTGATGATGGAGGTGTTAGAGGAGAGAGGGGTCGAGATGTGATGGAGGGGTTAGAGGAGAGAGGGGGAGTAGATCTGATGGAGGGGTTAGAGGAGAGAGGGGAGTAGATGTGATGGAGGGGTTAGAGAGGAGACAGGGGTGTAGATGATGATGGGAGGTGATAGAGGAGAGAGAGGGTAGGAGATGTGATGGAGGTGTTAGGAGGAGAGAGGGGAGTAGATCTGATGGAGGGGTTAGAGGGGAGAGGTGGAGTAGATGTGATGGAGGGGTAGAGAGGAGACAGGGGTGTAGATGTGATGGGAGGTGATAGAGGAGAGAGAGGGTCGAGATGTGATGGAGGGGTTAGAGGGGAGGGGGAGTAGATGTGATGGAGGGTTAGAGGAGAGAGGGGAGTAGATGTGATGGGAGGGAGAGGGGAGTAGATGTGATGGAGGTGTTAGAGGAGAGAGGGGTGTAGATGTGATGGGAGGGGTTAGAGGAGAGAGGGGAGTAGATGTGATGGGAGGAGAGGGGAGTAGATGTGATGGAGGTGTTAGAGGAGAGAGGGAGAGATGTGATGGAGGGGTTAGAGGAGAGGAGGGGTGTAGATGGATGGGAGGGTTAGAAGAGAGAGGGGAGTAGATGTGATGGAGGGTTAGAGGAGAGTAGAGGTGTAGATGGATGGGGTTAGAGGAGAGAGGGGGAGTAGACGTGATGGAGAGGAGAGGGGGTGTTGATGTGATGGGAGGGGTTAGAGGAGTATAATGTGTCTGAGTGGGGTATTCATGCTTAACTGCGGCATCTCAGTGAGCTAGCACTATAAAACCAGCTTACGTCTGGGCTAGTACAAGCAGCCACACATACACACGCATGCACGTTGTCATATGAGCAAAATATTCTTAAGTACAACATTAAACCCCATTTCACCTCACCTCACCTTTATCAGCCAGGCATTCTGCAAGTAGGCTTCCACATCATCAAGAGGGGTCGAGATGTGATGGAGGGGTAAGATACAGTGAGGGGATACTCCTTTGGACGCATCTATCACACAGGCATCCATGCCATCATTCTGCCCACAGTATTCATCAAGATCTTTATGGCAGTTGGTTTACTATAATCTACACACTAAGATCATGTTAAAAGATTAAGGGCTCCTAAGATTGAATTACCAAGAATTGAAGGACCAACTAAAAATTATTTGTCACCTCAAACAACAATCATAGTCAGGAGTAAGAGCATACAAACATTCTTACAGTCGTTTCCTGTAGTCATTGTGACACACGTTCTGGTATTATGATCACTTCATAGCCGGATTGTATTCAATTTTGAACTCTGCATGTGCGTTTTCTCTCCTCTACAGAGTGTCTTCACTTGCCACCTACTACGTCCCCAAAGATGGCCCCCTGTCTTCCTACAAGGAGTACGTCAGCATGCTGCCCAACATCGACCACCCAGAGGCTTTTGGCCAACACCCCAACGCAGACATCACGTCCCAGATCCAGGAGACGAGGATGATGTTTGATACGTTACTGTCACTGCAACCACAGATCTCGAGCACGGCTGGGGAGAGCAGGGAGGACAAGGTACAAATAACACTGTGTAGTCTCCTATGTACAACATAAGGGGTGTGGTTATGCATCAAAACTAAGTGGAGGCTTGTGCTGATTGTAGGTGATTGTAGATCAACTGATTGATTAGAAAGAGGTTGATAATGGCATAGTGGTGCACATTGAGGGGTTAGAGGGGGTTGGGGATGTGATTGGAGGGATGGGTTAGAGAGGGGATAGGAGGAGGAGCGTGAGGAGGGCACGAGAGTGGGACAAGGAGGGTGGGATGAAGTTGGAATGTTGGAGAGTGGGGTGGGTCATTGTCATAAGTGAAGCTTTTTTTCTAAATGCTATTTGACCTTTGAACTGAAAGATGAGAATTCTTGTGACCACCATATTGCCATTTGTTTTCAAGATGATTGCATTGAATGAATTTATCTGATAAAATGGCATTCTTCAGCCAAAACTGGCACTTGTCAAACCTTCATTTTAATCTGCAGAGGTCTTTTTTGTGGCTCACCACAACTCCATCCTAATAGTAATTGTTTTTTATTTCATTATCAACCTTTTGGCATTCCATGTCCCAAGAGTCCTCAAGATGGTGTGCGAAATAGCCGCCTATTCGCCTGCCTGTTGGCCCGTAGCTAGTAAAGTATCTGTCAGGCCTTAGAGAATTTGAAATGTCTCGGCCTGACTGGCTTGATGATTTGTTCATTGCTATATACATTTCAGTCAACAAATGCTAGAGAAATTTGATGTTGGTTAGTAACTTTCCAGGCCAATATTAGCCCCTCTGACCAGTACAATTTTGGGGGCGGAGGGGTAGCCTAATGGTTAAAGTGTTCGCTCGTCATGCCGAAGACCCGGGTTTGAATCCCCACATGGGCACAATGTGTGAAGCCCATTTCTGGTGTCCCCCGCCGTGATGTTGCTGGAATATTGCTAAAAGCGGCGTAAAACCAAACTCAGTCAGTCAGTCAGTAAGATTTTGCAGTTACATCACACACTGCCTAATGTGTATATGTCTATGTTTCAGGTGCTTGACCTCGCAGCCAATATTTTCAAACAAATTCCTGAGAATATTGACTATGAGGGCACAGCCAAGATATTGTCCGTCGATCCCTCGCCTCTCAATGTGGTTCTGCTACAAGAAGTAAGTGCACACAGTCATTTTGCTGAGGTTTTTTTCTCCTGGTAGTTTACATATAAACAAACAGTAATTTGATCTCTCAGACTATTCTTGACCACCTCCATGTTACAGATCATTCAGTACACTGTTCTGACTAGACCATTCTAGACCACTTCCATGGATTAGAGCGACTTCAGTGTTTGCCATACCATTCTTGACCACCTCCATGGTACAGAGCATTGAGTGCAGTGTTCTGACCAGACCATTCTTGACCACCTCCATGGTACAGAGCATTGAGTGCAGTGTTCTGACCAGACCATTCTTGACCACCTCCATGGTACAGAGCATTGAGTGCAGTGTTCTGACCAGACCATTCTTGACCACCTCCATGGTACAGAGCATTGAGTGCAGTGTTCTGACCAGACCATTCTTGACCACCTCCATGGTACAGAGCATTGAGTGCAGTGTTCTGACCACTCACTTGTTGGTTGACTATGGTCAGTTCTTGTTGCAGGGCGGTGGGGTAGCCTAGTGGTTAAAGCGTTCGCTCGTCATGCCGAAGACCCAGGTTCGATTCCCCACATGGGTACAATGTTTGAAGCCCATTTCTGGTGTCCCCACCTTGATATTGCTGGAATATTGCTAAAAGCGGCGTAAAACTAAACTCACTCATTCAGTTCTTGTTGCAGTGCTGTAACATGGGGTTTTGTTGCAGATCCAGCGGTACAATCTTCTGCTGGACGAGATCCGTGTTTCTTTGACAGACCTTGAGAGGGGTATCCAAGGCTTGGTGGTCATGAGCTCCGAGTTGGAGAACATCTTCCAGTGTATCTACGATGGCAGGGTGCCGCCAGCATGGGAGAAGGTGATGCCAATAATCTCTATGATAGGTCCTATACTCCCCAGGGAGCTGAGAATATGAAAACTAAAGGAAACTGATCTCCGAGATAACAATTGTACATACATCATCATGTCTTGTGTGGAATTGGTGCTTCATAAATAGACACAATATCATTTTTAAGTATTTGGTTCATTATACATAATATGACATCTTCAGTTCCTACCGGGTCCCCACTTACTGTAGAGTTTATTTTCTAAATTATCTGAACAGGGTTGCACCTGATGAAATGAATTTTCATTCAGTTAGTTGTAAAATTGTTTGTCAGGTGAAATTACTATATGCTAATGGACAGACATTCTCTTCCCACAGAGGTTACTCCTGTCATATCTTCCTACGTAACCTCTGTTCTAATACGGCCCTTTCATGGTGTGAGCGTTCAAGACTCGTGATTGGAGGCAATCAGATTTAGTTGTGCAATCAGCGACGTTGTTTCAAAAGTGATCGTTCGCAAGGCCTCAGTAATTTCCGTATACTTCGAGAAAACTAAACCTGTTCCCCTGCGAGATGCGCAAACGTTTCTCCTAGACAGAACTCAGTCATGTTATGGCGGATCAGTGGCACAAGCAAGCCATTAAACGTCTTGTGTGTAACATCAACACAAGTCCCCGGCAGATGGGGGATATTTGTGGCCTCACATTTGCTTGTGTTGGTCAAGTTGAATCTAAGTCGATGTAACACGTGTTCTGATTGGATAGAAAGAAGGGAGATAATTCGTGTTGCGATCTTTTGCGGCTAGGGGATTTTACGAGAACCGGGATATATGGCCATATTAGAACAGAGGTTCGTAGGAAGATATGACAAGTAACCTCTGTGGGAAGAGAATGATGGACAGAAAGTCATAGCATTAATTGGAACTGTATTTTCAGCATGAATTGGGAAATATTATATTCCAATCTGGACCAACAAACTTTTATCTTCTCAGGCCTACCCATCAATGAAGCCTCTGTCGGCATGGACACGAGACTTGGTGATGAGAGTGGAGCAGTTTGCCAAGTGGGCTCAGACAGCTCACCAACCTACAGTCTTCTGGATGTCTGGCTTCACCTTCCCCACCGGCTTCCTCACAGCGGTACTGCAGACATCAGCCAGACAGAACAGCGTAAGTTGTCTCCCTTTACCGATCAATCCTCACAGCGGTACTGCAGACATCAGCCAGACAGAACAGCGTAAGTTGTCTCCCTTTACCGATCAATCCTCACAGCGGTACTGCAGACATCAGCCAGACAGAACAGCGTAAGTTGTCTCCCTCAATTACCGTACTGCAGACATCAGCCATCAGAACAGCGTAAGTTGTCTCCCTTTACCCATCAATGATCACAGCAGTACTGCAGACATCAGGCAGACAGAACAGCGTAAGTTGGCTCCCTTTACCGATCAATCCTACCGATCAATCCTCACAGCAGTACTGCAGACATCAGCCAGACAGAACAGCGTAAGTTGTCTCCCTTTACCGATCAATCCTCACAGCAGTACTGCAGACATCAGCCAGACAGAACAGCGTAAGTTGTCTCCCTTTACCGATCAATCCTCACAGCAGTACTGCAGACATCAGCCAGACAGAACAGGGAAATTTGTCTCCCTTTACTGAACAATCCGCAGCTGGAAGAAACAGTATTAATAAACTCTATGATGCTACAATGCCCAACATTATGTTCCTGTGCTGCAAAATGGCCTACATTGTGTTCTTCTGCTTGAATGTCCAATTTTGTTTCCCTCCGCTATAACATCCTACATTGTGTGTAACCATTGTGTTCCTTTATGCACCCTACATAATCCTCTATGCTACAACACCCATCATGTGATCCTCTATGCTACAACACCCTACATCATGATCCTCTATGCTACAACACCCTACTACAACACCCTCATGATCCCTCTATGCCTCTATGCTACAACACCCCTACATCATGTTCCTCTATGCTACAACACCCTACATCACAACACCCTGATCCTCTATGCTACAACACCCTACATCATGATCCTCTATGCTACAACACCCTACATCATGATCCTCTATGCTACAACACCCTACATCATGACCCTCTATGCTACAACACCCTACATCATGATCCTCTATGCTACAACACCCTACATCATGATCCTCTATGCTACAACAACCTACATCGTGATCCTGTATGCTACAACACCCTACATCATGATCCTCTATGCTACAACACCCTACATCATGATCCTCTATGCTACAATCCCTACATCATGATCCTCTTTGCTACAACAACCTACATCGTGACCCTCTATGCTGCAGGTATCGGTTGACACGCTGTCCTGGGAGTTCACAGTCATGACAGTGGATGATTCCAACATCACTGGACCACCGAAGGTAAAGTGTTTTTGTTTGTTTTGATATGACACTCGCAGCATTATTCAAGTCCATATATATTTGAGTCTAGACCAACAATTCAAACACTGACATCTTAACCACTGATCTACAGAAATGGGACATGATGTCATGCATCAAGCAAGCCAAACCAACCCAAATTATTAGTCTCCTCTTACAACAATCACAGTCAAGAATACAAAAATCAGAGCTTCAGATAACGTTTTGGGTCATTTAGTTATGTGCTCGCTTGTGTTCATCTCAATTTGGTATCCTAATTTTCCTTTGTGTAACCAAATAAATTGTACTCACCTCACTCAAACTCAGTTTGGTATTTTGCCATAATCCATTAATTGTAAAAATATAATAAAGTGTAATATGAGAAACGATAAGTAGCTTAAATAGAACCTCTCAATATACCTCAGTTATTTTATATATACACCGGTACGCAAGCTAAGATTTGACATTTTTGTATGTAAGCATGTAAGATAAAATATATTGAGTATTTTCAAAAATTCAAGCATACTTTTACGCAATAGACTTAATAGGAATTGAGTTTTTACATAAAATTTTGCATAATTTACACAGATACGCAGCTTATCTGTACAAGAACATACAAGAATTCTGACACCAGTTTCTTGAAATCCTTGTGACCCACATGCTAGTATAATATCCACATTTTAAAGAATGAGGACTATTTTTATGGATATACAACTTGTTTATTCTGTATAGGCGACGTTTCGACATAGATTCTAATGTCATTGTCAAGCAAGTGGTACATGGGAAGTATTTTGGGTGATAAATATACATGAGATATTTGTACAATAGATGAGGGATGAGGCGAAAATGAGTTGTTTATACAATAGAAGAGGTTGATAACACAGGATTAAGTAGGTTGATAGGAAGCCAGTAAAGAACATGTACATGGTTCTATACATAAGAGGTTAAGGATGATGATGGGCAGCCAGTAGGGAATGATGTACATAGGTGTTAAAGGGACTGTTGGGAAGCCAATAGTGAAGTGATGTTCTACAAGGCATAATGTACAACGGCTGAGTAGGTTACATGAAATATATTCAGCAAGTGATGATAGGCCTTGAGGATGAAATGTATTGTATATCCATAAAGACAGCCCTCATTCTTCATCTACCCAACTTCTAGCATGCCAATCAAAGAAACCACATTATAGCCCGATTGCATTATCTGAGGGTGTGTAACTGATACAAAACGTGTTTGCCCACAGGATGGAGTGTTCATCAAGGGTCTGTTCCTGCAAGGTGCAGGCTGGGACAAGAAGAACGCCTGTCTCATTGAGGCCAACCCCATGCAGTTAGTGTGTGCCATGCCAACCATCCATTTCAAGCCCGTGGAGAACAAAAAGAAGACAAGCAAAGGTACCAGTGAAATTTAGCTGTAAAGTCAAGAGGTGCTGATCATAACCTGAATATCAAAATTTCAAATAATGTCAAATAATTCCTATAGGACTCTCCTTCAAATTTAACATGATGGGTTAGTAATCAAGGGTTAGAGCAGGGTGTGTACTGTTACAAACTTCACTATGGTTCAATATTAGTTTGTTCACTCACTCACTCATTCACCCACCCACCACGACTGTATCTCACAGTTCACTAACAGTTCAGAATGCAGAGGGACAGTGGGGTAGCCTAGTGGTTAAAGCATTGGCTTGTCACGCTGAAGACCAGGGTTCGATCCCCACATGGGTACAATGTGTGAAGCCCATTTCTGGTGTCACTCAGAATGCAGAAAATGTACCGTTTTCCCCTTCTGTTGCAGGAATCTACACATGCCCAGTCTATTACTACCCAAACAGAACTGGGGCTGCCGGACGTCCTTCCTTCATCGTGGCAGCAGAGCTGAAGTCCGGTGAAAAGACCGCTGACCATTGGGTCAAGCGAGGCACAGCTTTACTCATGAGTCTGGACTACTAGGCACTCACTGACCGATCATTACATCATTGTGTAACGACATCTTGCTGATCTTTGTTCCACTGAAGAGCAGTCAGCTTCATGTGATGATTTCATCCAAAGACTTTCTCACTTTCTGTGGCTGTGTGCTTGTTTTTGTCGATTCAGCATTCCTGTGTGAAATTGCGTTTCACATGTATTCTACATTTCAAAGTTGTATCATTCCAGTTATTGTAGTATATGTGAGATCAAGGATTTGTTGCAGTTTATTGATGTGAATATTTTTATGTTTTGACAGTATTGTGATATTTTAAAATCATTCTTGAACTTGAAACATATTTCAGGAGAAATCAGCTGATCAAGTAGTAATATTAATGTATGGCATTTGCTAGTTTCCTTGTTTTGCAGACAATGATGGTTGTTTGAAAAAGCGTGGAAGCAAATTAATAAGAAAAATTAGGATGTATTTAAAGATGATTTCTTAAAGTCAAAACCTTCATATAAATATTTTGAGAAAAGAGTATTAACACAGCACACTTTCATTTGTATAACATGAAAATTAATTGGATAGATTAGGTTTAAGTGTAAAATATTTTTAATATTTTAGAAATATGAATGATTTCTTTTCAAAAGGTTAACTTTTACAAACAGCATTTATGACTTGTGAATGTATTTTTGTGTGATATATTACATAATTAAGTATTATTAGTTTTGTTAGTGCAACAATACTTATATGAAATGCTCACAGATGTTTGATGAATTAACACCAGGAGTTTAACTCCTGTTCCGTCCTTGTTTCTGTCCATACATATGTACATACTGAAAGTTATTGTTTATAAATTTATACACAATGTTATTTATTTTCTTTTACAAAATGTTTACAGCATTGAACAAATATTACAGTTACACTGTAAAAATGACCAAAAAAATGGGTTGAAATAGGTCAGTTGAAACTGATACCCTGACAAATAAAATCATAATAACAATACCAAGACTTGTTTGAGGTGTTTGTTTGTTTGTTTAATGCCTGACTCAGCAATGTTCTAGCTGTGTAAGGGTCGGTGGGGTAGCTTAGTGGTTAAAGCGTTCATCCAGACCCGGGTTCGATTCCCCACATGGGTACTATGTGTGTAGCCCATTTTTGGTGTCCCCTGCCTCAATATTGCTGGAATATTGCTAAAAGCGGTGTAAAACCACACTCTCTCACCCCAGCTGTACAAAGAGGGTGAGGGAATATTGTCATTAATATTACAGTTGTATGAATTGCACGGAGGAAAACTGTCATCAATATTTTAGCTACGTTATGACAAGGGAGCCTGGCAAAGTCAGCAAGTGGTGGATAGCTTGAGCATCGATCCATGGTGTTGCGGTACAATGAGATAATCTTCCATGTCACACATTGTATATTTGTCATCCACACTTGGGATTGGGATGGTGTTTGGTTCGTTGACGAGTCGAGATTTCATCTGGACAGCTCAGATGGCAGGGCAAGGGTGTACAGACGGCGGTATGCTGACACGTGCCTTGTTCAACTTCGACTGTTTGGTTTCGCAGGCGTTATGGTATGGGGAGGGGGCATCACATCTCATGGTAGGAGACAACCTGTCATTGCCAATGGCGATCAGACAGGTCTGCGATACAGGGATGAGATCATTGGGTCTCGTGTGCAGTCGTTCATTCAAAGACAGAGACATAACATTGACGTTAGCTGAATTGGGTTAAGCGTTGGTTCAGACATGAAACAACATTCCCTAACCTTTAATTTCTTCAGTCTCAGTTTCGTCTATGCGTCGTCGTTATGAATTTGTGAACTGCCATTTGACAGTAGTATAATTTGGCAAAACAGGAGACACCTCGAGTTCTAAATCCTTGACAGGGCAGTTTAGAATTCAGTACGGCTGTGAATAAAGGCTAGAATGGTTGGGAAATCAAAAAAATATAAGAAGTAACATTCCACCCATTTTATTTCATTAAACGGGATCGGGTGGTCAGGCTCGCTGACTGGGTTTGACACATGTCATTGTATCCCAATTGCGTAGATCGATGTTCGTGCTGTTGATCACTGGATTGTCTGGTCCAGATTCGATTATTTACAGACCGCCGCCATATAGCTGGAATATAGCTGAGTGCGGCGTAAAACTAAACTCACTCACTCTTAAAAATGACCAGACACAATGACAGTTTACATGGCTGAAGGGCCGGTGAGGAATGGGTACCCTTTCTTAGTGGTGAGGTTTGGGAGTGGCGAGAACCCAGCAACTATGGCAACAACTGTTGTTTCTAGAATCAGACAAGATGGATGTTTCTGTAGAGGTGGTTGACAGAGACAACAGCCAGTTGAACGGGTGTGTGTGAGGTTGTCAGTAAAGTGGTGAGTGAGTTAGTTTTACGCCGCTCCTAGCAGTATTCCAGCTATATCATAGCGGGGAACACCAGAAATTGGCATGTGTTCCCGGTGGAGGACCCGGGCACTCACCTGATCTGCGCTAAGAGATCAGAAGGTACCAAACCAAGGGCACCGAGAACATTGGTAGCCTGACGACAGTGTAGTGGGATGCAAGCGAAACACTTCAAAGGCGAGGTCCGCATATTTATCACGCTGAATCTTGTCAATCACATTGTTCTGAACCATGTAGAGGAGGTGAGTATCCGGTGTTGGGGATCTGTTGTGTGGAGGTCCGGGATGGTAACCCCACGCTTTATTGAGCAGAAAGCTGAACGGATTTAAAGACAACCAAAAAAGATGATTAAACTAGTCCCATTGGAATATTTCACTCCTGATTGGAATAGATTCCGAAGTCTGCACCTGCCATTGCGAGTACATCTACAAGTTGAATCGACCAGCAACTCATTAAAGACTTGAGTAAATCAACTAGTCTCTCAGTGAGGTCAATACTATGAGGGGCGGTGAGTGAGCCTAGTGGTTAAGGCGTTCGCTCGTCACGCCGAAGACCCGGGTTCGATTCCCCACATGGGCACAATGTGTGAAGCCCATTTCTGGTGTTCCCCGCCGTGATATTGCTGGAATACTGCTAAAAGCAGCGTAAAACTAAACCCACTCACTCACTCACCCAATACTATAAAGACTTCAGAATCCATTCATGAGGGACAGAAGCGTATGCTTTTCTGTAGTTAATCCAGCACATGGAAAGGTTGCAGTGTTATGTTTTAGCCTCTTCCAAAATCATTTTCTGTGCAAGAAATTGATCCTTGCACCCCAACATCCATTCCTCGCTCCCTTCTGCTCCCTATAAATCATTGGAAGAGCAGTACGATGACACGAGCGTCGTCAAACACCCTGTGAAGATGCTATATTGAGTTTTCAAACGAGTGATGGGCCGAAGGTTTGGATGTCAGTCAAGTCTCCTGTCTTGGGAATGATTATTGGAGGAACATCCTCTGTATCCACAAGAGAATTTACGCATTGAGATCCGGGTTAGAATTGATCTTCATGCTTGTAAGAGGCGACTACCGGGATCGGATGGTTAGGCTCTCTGACGTCGTTGACACATGTCATCGTATCCCAATTACGTAGATCGATGCTTATGCTGTTGATCACTGTATTATCTGGTCCAGACTCGATCGCCGTCGTATAGCTGGAATATTGTTGAGTGCGGCGTCAACCAACCATCCAACCACGAGAAAATTGAAGCAATAACGTAATGATGCTTGGACACAAGGGAATACCATCAGGCCCTGGGCCTAGATTTTCGAAGCTCTCTTAGATACATACATTTACATAGACTTACGACTATCTTAGTGCTAAGATAGCTTCGAAAATCTAGGCCCTGGTGCTGTATTAGATTTGGACTTTAAAAACTGTGCAATTATCATTAAACATTTCCTGCTGCATCTGTAAGTGGGTCATCTTGGTATTTGTTCCGTGTTTGATGTTTTCCGGATCACGTGGAGTCACACGTTCAATGTGTGACTGTAGTCACTTGTCATTTGCTGCTATAACACCTTTGATGCGCTGATTCAGAATGAAAGTAGTGAGTACTCGATTTGTCTTAGGGAAACTACTGTTATATGTTTCCAGCATGTGCCAAGCCTTTGCCAAGATAACTCCATGTTGTTTCTTTTCGTTTAGTACATATAACATATATCAATACAATTTCACATTTTAATTCTTGAGTTTTTATCTCTTTATCACTAGGGGCGGTGGGGTAGCCCAGTGGTTAAAGCGTTCGCTCGTCACGTCGAAGACGGGTTCGATTCCCCACATGGGTACAATGTGTGAAGCCCATTTCTGGTGTCCCCCGCCGTAATATTGCTGGAATATTGCTAAAAGTGGCGTAAAACTAACAAACGAGTGATGGGCCGAAGGTTTGGATGTCAGTCAAGTCTCCTGTCTTGGGAATGATTATTGGAGGAACATCCTCTGTATCCACGAGAGAATTGACGCATTGAGATCCGGGTTAGAATTGATCTTCATGCTTGTAAGAGGCGACTACTGGGATCGGATGGTTAGGCTCTCTGACGTCGTTGACACATGTCATCGTATCCCAATTACGTAGATCGATGCTTATGCTGTTGATCACTGTATTATCTGGTCCAGACTCGATCGCCGTCATATAGCTGGAATATTGTTGAGTGCGGCGTCAACCAACCATCCTACCACGAGAAAATTGAAGCAATAACGTAATGATGCTTTGGACACAAGGGAATACCATCAGGCCCTTGGCCTAGATTGTCGAAGCTCTCTTAGATAGACGTAAGTGCCATACATTTACATAGACTTACGACTATCTTAGTGCTAAGAGAGCTTCGAAAATCTAGGCCCTGGTGCTGTATTAGATTTGGACTTTAAAAACTGTGCAATTATCATTAAACATTTCCTGTTGCATCTGTAACTGGGTCATCTTGGTATTTGTTCCGTGTTTGATATTTTCCGGATCACGTCGAGGTGGACTGTGTGACTGTAGTCATTTGTCAGTTGCTGCTATAACACCTTTGATGCGCTGATTCAGAATGAAAGTAGTGAGTACTCGATTTGTCTTAGGGAAACTACTGTTATATGTTTCCAGCATGTGCCAAGCTCCATGTTGTTTCTTTTCGTTTAGTACATATAACATATATCAATACAATTTCACATTTTAATTCTTGAGTTTTTATCTCTTTATCACTAGGGGCGGTGGGGTATCCCAGTGGTTAAAGCGTTCGCTCGTCACGTCGAAGACGGGTTCGATTCCCCACATGGGTACAATGTGTGAAGCCCATTTCTGGTGTCCCCCGCCGTAATATTGCTGGAATATTGCTAAAAGTGGCGTAAAACTAATCTTGAATGCATCCTTGTTTCAACAACGGTCGTATATCGCCGTTTAAAAATCGTAGGGAGTGAGCACCTGCTACTGTACATGTGTTTCAAAACTTCTGAAAGAATAGTGCTGCAGGAAAATTGGGCGACATACATGTATAGGGAACGTTAACTACTGGAACGCTGAAGTTCTCTCCATGTCAAACAGTGAGTGAATTTTGGTTTACTCTTCCTACAATGCAATGACCAATTGTGGCAATGTCTGAGGCGTGTTTTGACGTTGACGAACACGCCGATCGAATTCATCCCATAGGTGTTCTGTCGGGTTAAGATCTGGTGATCGGGAAGGCCACGGCAAGACATTGACTTAGCATTGTCAAGTCAGTGGACCTGACGCGTGCTGTATGTGAAGTAGGGTTGTCGTGCTGGAACAACTCACTCTGTCGGCCCATAATCGGAGGCATGTGACGTGCAAGGTCTTCGTTGATTACCGATTTGCTGTCAAATTCCCCGCACCACCACTAAATCAGATCTTTGTGTGCTGGATATCGCACCCCACACCATGACACTGTCCCCATCGAATCTGTCGTCCTGTCGAATGCAATTAAGGGCAAAACGTTCATTTCTCCGACGGTAAACACGCTGTCTTCCATCTCGCCGGTGAAGAAGAAATCATGATTCATCACTGAACCAGGCTCGCCTACAGTTTCTAAGGTTCCAGTTCCGGACTCAACGACCCCACCGCAAGCGACAGCGCTGATGGAAGTTTCTTCAAACAGGGGAGACAACTGGCCTTCTTGGTCGAATCCCTACTTCACGCAATCGAGTGACAGTTTGGCGGGAAAATCTTCTCAAACCAGGGGATGCGTTGTGCAGTCTCCACGGCTGTGGCAAGACGATGACGCAAGTGATGCCAATGGCTATGTTTCGATTGGCGGCATGATGATTTCAGTTGTGGCATGATGATTTCAGTTGTGGCATGATGATTTCAGTTGCAGTTGCATGATGATTTCAGTTGTGGCATGATGATTTCAGTTGCGGCATGATGATTTCAGTTGCGACAGGATGATTTCAGTTGCGGCATGATGATTTCAGTTGTGGCATGATGATTTCAGTTGTGGCATGATGATTTTGTGCAGTTTTCCACGGCAGTTGTGGCATGACAGATGACGCAAGTTGCATGATGATTTCAATGTGGCTATGATTTCAGTTGTGGCATGATGATTTGATGATTTCAGTTGTGGCATGATGATTTCATGATGATTTCAGTTGTGATGATGATTTTTCGTTGCATGATGATTTCAGTTGTGGCAGGATGATTTCAGTTGCGGCATGATGATTTCAGTTGCAGATGATTTCAGTTGATGATGATTTCAGTTGCGATTTCAGTTGATGATTTCAGTTGTGGCAGGATGATTTCAGATGATGATTTCAGTTGCGGCATGATGATTTCAGTTGCGGCATGATGATTTCAGTTGTGGCATGATGATTTCAGTTGTGGCAGGATGATTTCAGTTGTGGCAGTTGTGGCATGATGATTTCAGTTGTGGCATGATGATTTCAGTTGTGGCATGATGATTTCAGTTGTGGCAGATGATTTCAGTTGCGGCATGATGATTTCAGTTGTGGCAGGATGATTTCAGTTGTGGCATGATGATTTCAGTTGCAGATTTCAGTTGTGGCATGATGATTTCGGCATGATTTCATGATGATTTCATGATGATTTTCAGTCAGTTGCGGCATGATGATTTCAGTTGCGACATGATGATTTCAGTTGCGGCATGATGATTTCAGTTGTGGCATGATGATTTCAGTTGCGGCATGATGATTTCAGTTGTGGCATGATGATTTCAGTTGCGGCATGATGATTTCAGTTGCGGCATGATGATTTCAGTTGCATGATGACATGATGATTTTCAGTTGCGGCATGATGTTGCATGGCATGATGATTTCAGCATGATGATTTCAGTGATGATGATTTCAGTTGTGGCATGATGATTTCAGTTGCGGCATGATGATTTCAGTTGTGGCATGATGATTTCAGTTGTGGCAGGATGATTTCAGTTGTGGCATGATGATTTCAGTTGCGGCATGATGATTTCAGTTGTGGCATGATGATTTCAGTTGCGATGATTTCAGTTGTGGCATGATGATTTCAGTTGTGGCATGATGATTTCAGTTGCGGCATGATGATTTCAGTTGCAACATGATGATTTCAGTTGTGGCAGGATGATTTCAGTTGCAGGATGATTTCAGTTAGTTGATGATTTCATGATTTCAGTTGTGGCATGATGATTTCTTCTTTTCCAGGCAAAAAGAATAACAAAATTCAACAGAACGTTTGGCTTTTATAGTGATCGATACCGCACGCTCTTCGGCTTATTTACACGTGTATTGTGCTTTGCGTGTTTTCTTGGTGACGTTTTGGCGAATATTTCTTCAAACGCTTTTAAAACAAGGGGAAAGTTAAAATTGCCGCGTTTTGGCGCTGAAGCTTTTTCAGCCCCACAAAGATGACGTTTTGGAGAGAAATAGTATATTTGGATTGTTTTTGCCGCAGCTACATGAGTCAAATATTCTCAAAATTGCCTATGCGTTTCTATTTCTAAAGAGTGTATTTTAATCCCCGACATATGCATCTTCGCGGGTGATACAGGAAGATAGCCATAGCAATGTATAGAAGCACCTGATATCAGTGTCACACACAGGAAACACTTCCGTAGTTCTTCTTCCTGCCAACATGAAAGACGTGTTTCACAATGTGACTACAAATGTTGACTCATTAACTGATTAGATCAAATGACAGTCAAATGACTGAGTCATTTGTTTTCAAATTCGTGTATTAATTTACGTATTTCTTAAACATACTTTCAATATTTTCATGACGCATAATTTTTATTAAATTTTGCCAAGCTCGTTGATTTGGGTGAAACTTTGAAAATAGTTTGTTGTTGTTTTCACAACAAACAGTGGCATATGTAATTCATGAGTATTTCCTGTACGATCGAATATAGTTGTGTCGAACATATTACGTCAAGGTTTTCCGGCTGTGTCGATCCTCGGTTAACTCGACGTATTTACTTAAATTCCAGCAAGTTCGACACAAGTACGTTTGTACGTACAGTGATTCATAGTTGTGTCGAACATATTACGTCAAGGTTTTCCGGCTGTGTCGATCCTCGGTTAACTCGACGTATTTACTTAAATCCCAGCAAGTTCGACACAAGTACGTTTGTACGTACAGTGATACATCGTTGTTTCGAGCTTGCGATTGTCTCAACGTACACTTCCTTATTGATTAAGTCATCATTTTGTGGTTGTAACGAGCCTCGGATAACTCGAAGTATTTACGTTACGCCCTTTGCCTTCTTCACAACGGGCTGAATATAATGAAACATATCACTTTATGGATGAACTTATTCCATAAAGCTACGTTTCGGTATTGATTCTTTCACCGTTATCAAGCTTTAGCTTACCTTCTTCTAGAATGCCGTGGGACTATAGGGGTAGCCTAGTGGTTAAAGCGTCCACTCGTCACACTGAACACCCGGGTTCGATTCCCCACATGGGTACAATGTGTGAAGCCCATTTCTCGTATTCCCCGCCGTCATTGCTGGAATATTGCTAAAAGCGGCGTGAAACCATACTCACTCACTCAAGAATGTCAATCAAACAATTCGGACTGTACATGCATATTAACTTATGTGTTTCTATTTCCTAAATCGCAATTTTGTGTTTTCAACTCTGTCTCAGGCGGGTTGTTTATTTTACAGATCCTGGCAGCGATGACAATGCGGTTCTCATTTCTGATTCAGCTGTCATTCAAGATTTTCTTTGCTTGTGCGTCCTCTGATATCTGCAGCCCATGTAAATGTTTTTCCTCATCTCATGGAGGGTGCATCGTCATGGACTGTTCCAGTAAGAATTTGAACAAACTTCCTTCAATTATACCAAACTCGACATGCAAGTTGAACCTTCAAGACAACACGATTGTAACCCTCGTCAACGACAGCTTCAAGGAACTGAATAACTTAACCTACCTGGACATTTCCTTTAACTCTATCTTCGAATTACAAGGAAACTGCTTCGCTGGTCTTGCAAAGGTTGAATTCCTGGATCTGTCCGGCAACAACATCTCATTTAATGCAACGTCCGAGACGGTGTTTTCTCCATTGCAACGTTTGAGGAGTCTGAACATCAGCAACAATATATATCCCATGTACCCCCGTGAGCTCCTTGGGCCACTTGGATCACTACAAAGTCTTACAATGGACGGCTTCCGAGGACCTGTCTTCACGGAATGTGAAGAATTTGACAACTTAAGTTATCTGTCTCTGTCTGGTTTTAACGGTAGATGTACGATCCGTCACATAGCCAACGAAACGTTTCTCCATCTTCCAATGATACAGGTGTTGAATTTATCCAACTGCGGAATATATAGAACTGAACCTGGGGCTCTTCAGATCCTAAGACATCTACACACATTAGATTTGTCAGACAATACCCATTTAAAATTTAAAGGACTAATTAATGTTACAAATGGGCTCGACAAAACTAATATCAAGAAGCTTGTGATAAATCAAATAGTCAAAAGAAAAACTGTTGGAGTTATTGTTGGTCAGGCACAAGTCCAACATCTCCAGAATTCATCCCTTGAAGTGATAGAGGTAAATAACAATAACATTGAAGAGTTTGATGTAAACATGTTCCGTGTACTACCAAAGTCTCTCAAAAAGGTCATTATGAGAAACAACCGCTTGCATTATGGAAACTACTCCAAGAATTTGGGTAACCTCACTGGGTTGGAATTCCTGGATTTAAGCACCGATCACGTCACTCCTTATTTGCGGTTTGGAGTCACAGTCCCTGGAAGACAACGACGCTCGTTGCATCCGCGCCAGGGAGAAAATAGTTTGAGAATTAACAAAATAAGCAGTCAGACTCATCAGCATATTAACAAACCATACTTCAGGAAAGACGCCGTAACCGAATTCCGAATTCCCCCCAAACTGAGAACATTAGAATACACTAATTCACTGTTAGAATATTATATATCAGAAATGCATTTCGCTGAAAATAATTTGAGTTATATTGATTTGTCATCTAACATTCTCACCAAGTGGTTTGGCCCCATATCCGGTTTAGAAAAGGTCACTCACCTAAACCTGTCCTACAATAAAGCTGATTTTGTCGATCGTAAGTTCTTTCCAAGCTTCAAATCTTTGATAACCTTAGATATATCCAGAAATTTTCTCGAATTCGGTAGTCAAAAGAACGTGTCTTACTTTAGAAATCTAAGCAGTTTAAAATTCCTAAATATGTCAAAGAACAACATCCATGTCCTGACATTCACCTTCCTGGAAGATCTTCATTCACTTAAACATTTAGACGTATCTGTTAACAGCATACATGGTGTGGATTTGAATTTAAGACTGATCCCATCTTTGACGTATTTTAATCTTTCGGATAATTACCTTTTATGGATAGGAAAAAAGGAGAGATTACAAATGGATGACTTAGCAGAGAAGCATGAAATGTTTGTAGATTTGTCATGGAACATGTTGTCATGTGATTGTGACAACATCAATTTTCTTTTTTGGTTAATGCAATCCAGGATAAATTTTGTGGATTTACATAACTACAGATGCATATTCGATTCCGGATATGTAAGGAAATTTGCAGACGGCGAAGGAGCACTAGAGCATCTGGAAGAAAGTTGTCGATTGTACCTTCTCTTGCACTTGTAACCCTGTCCGCAGTGGTGCTGTTCACGTCCCTTGTCCTGTCGGGTGTTTGTTACCGATACAGGTGGAATCTGATCTATTTCTTCTACGCGACGAAGCTCAAGCGTAAGAGAAATAAACGCAATGGGGACGACAGTTACGACTTCGACGCCTACGTTTCCTACGCGGATGCAGACTTTGACTTCGTCCGAAACATGTTGAATGAACTGGAGAACCTGCTTGGAACAAGACTCTATATCCGGGACAGAGATTCCCTTCCAGGTGCACCAATAGCTGAGAACATCATCGACGGTATCCGACGGAGTAGGAGGACGGTGTTGGTGTTGTCCAGGGCCTTCCTGAGAAAGAAATGGTGCAGGTATGAGTTACACATGGCCAACATGGAGAGTGTGTCCACACGTCGATCAGTGATGACCATCATTATGTTGGAGGATGTGTCCAGACAACATATTCCACCTGAGATTCTGTACGATGTTCAAAATGGCCGCTTTGTTGATTACCCACAGGAAGACATGGACATGGATCAGTTCTGGAGAAACTTGCATGTGGCAATTGAAATGTAAAAGTAAAAGACCAAACTTTGTTTCATGGTGTTGCCAGAAAGAATATTCCACCTGTGATTCTGTACGATGTTCAGAATGGTCGTTTTGATGATTACCCACAGAAAAACATGGACATGGATTAGTTCTGGAGAAATTTGCATGTGGCAATTGAAATGTAAAAGAGAACGACTGTAACAAACTTTGTTTCATGGTGTTGCCAGAAAGAATATTCCACCTGATATTCTGCAAATTGTTTAGAATGGCCGTTTTGTTGATTACCCACAGGAGGACGGGGACATAGATCAGTTCTGGAGAAAGTTGCATGTGGCAATTGAGATGTAAAAGAGAACGACTGTACCAAACTTTGTTTCTTGGTGTGGCTATTAGTATTCTTATGCGTTTCCAATCTCCAACCTGGGCCAAAAAGAGAGCGGGCGGGCGATGAATTAATTGGAAACAGATTTATAGCCTAGTGTGTATTCTACTTCGTGCAATTTCAAAATTTAGATAATTTGTAATAGTCTTTAAATTAATTTTTGATGTAAATGGAGTCGCTTTGCTTGGGATTTTTTTTATATTAAATGTTAATAAAGGTCAAGCATTTTTTTGTTTGTTTTAGTGTGCAAAGGTACGAGTATTTTTGTAAAAAAAAAAATTTCTACAGCACTGTGAGTGAGTACAGGTTTCTGTCCTAGTCCTAGGGTACGCCACTTTGCAATATCAGAATGATAACAGTCCATTTGTATATGCGGTTTCTTCCAGGCTGAATATCAGGCTGACAGTTCTTGATCAAGACGGTCATTCTCAGCCTCGGGGCGGTGGGGTAGTCCAGTGGTTAAGGCGTTCGCTCGTCACGCCGAAGACCAGGGTTCGAATCCCCACATGGGTACAATGTGTTAAGCCCATTTCTGGTGTCCCCCGCCGTGATATTGCTGGAATATTGCTAAAAGCAGCGTAAAACCAAACTCACTCACTCACTCATTCTCAGCCTCAGTGAAAGTATGCCTCTTTGAGATGCTGGAAAGTTACGTCACATTACCATGTCATTCTACCTGGTTACCCGTGAAGATCCGGGTTAGAATTGGTCTTCAGCAACCCATGCTTGTATCCCCCGTGAAGATCCGGGTTAGAATTGATCTTCAGCAACCCATGCTTGGATCCCCATGAAGATCCGGGTTAGAATTGATCTTCAGCAACCCACGCTTGTCGTAAGTGGCGACTAACGGGATCGGGTGGTCAGGCTTGCTGACTATATGTTGACACATGTCATCCTATGTCAATTCCGTAGATCGATGCTCATGGTAGTGATCACTGGTTTGTCTGATCCAGACTCCATTATTTACAACTGCCGCCATATAGCTGGAATATTGCTGAGTACGGCGTTAAACAACGAAGAAAACAACAACGTTCTACCTGGTATCCATCCACTGCTGTTGCTGAGTGCGGCGTTAAAAGCAACGACCAACAACAACAACCATCCATCCACTGCTGGCTGAACAGAGGCATAATTTGAACAATCACTTGCCCAGAGAGACACCCTATGTATTGTATGTGCATCAGTGTGGTACCTAGAAACCCTCCCAGGAGCAAACCTGTCGAACATGGTCACCCATCCAAGGTGCATAACTTCAACGTCGCCTTGAACAATATTTCAGTCTTTCCCAGGCTGTCAGCGTCATATTGGAGTGAGTGAGTTCAGTTTTACAACACACTCAGCAACATTCCAGCTATGTGGCGGAAGTCTGTCAATAATCCAGTCTGGACCAGACAATCAAGTGATCAACAGAATGAACATCGATCTACGCAGTTGGGATACGATGACATATGTCAACCAAGTCAGCGAGCCTGACCACCCGATCCCGTTGATCGCCTGAGGGGGGTAGGGCAGGGCAGGGGGTAGGGCAGGGCAGGGCAGGGCAGGGCAGGGGGCATAGGGCTTTAACACATATATACGATATTTATTATCCAGCTCAGCTCAGCTGCTCAAAGGCATCATATTATCAATCTCAACTCCCTGGGGAACATACAACTCTTCCAGCCATTTAGGTGCACCGAGTTAATGTCGCTTACCCATCCTTACCTGGGCGGTGGGGGTGGCCTAGTGGTTAAAGCGTTCGCGCGTCACGCCGAAGATGCGGGTTTGATTCCCCACATGGGTACAATGTACGTGTGAAGCCCATTTCTGGTGTCCCCCGCCGTGATATTGCTGGAATCTTGCTAATTGGTCACTCACTATCTTGCCATGTGACAGATGAGGAATGTTGCATTTTTCGAGACCAAAGGACGTGCCAATCATTGGAAAAGTTCTCGACAATGTATTTTTCAATTTGGATTCTGGCTTGGCACAAAGTTGAGGTCATGTAAAGGAGTATAACTATTCTTCTCCACTAGGATATTATCGTAAATATATTAAGGTTGGCTGGTTGTTTTAAAGCCGCACTCCAATATCCCAGCTATATGGCGGCGGTCTGTAAATAATCCAGGCTGGACCAGACAATCCAGTGATCAACGGCATGAGCATCGATCTACGCAATCGGGATACGATGACGTGTGTCAACCAAGCCAGCGAGCCTGACCACCCGATCCCGTTAGTCGACCAATTCTAACCCGGGTGGTAAATATATAAAACGGACATGTGCTCTGGGTGACATCTTTAATTAGCCAGGGAATTCGAAATACGCGCGCGCACACACACACATTCGCTCTGATTAGTATAGTGGACGTATTCAAACCCTTCTGCAGACATGCAGAAATAGAATGGTCATTGGAACATCGTTCCCGTTACTTTCATTCGATCAGTTGATGACCAAGAGAAGTGCATTGTTGTTCTGTGGCGAGTGACCATATTTATCATGTGTGAGACGAAACGTACCTTAGTGTGAGTGTCAGTCTATATGTTTGTGTGTGTGAATTGTGTAAAGGAACCTAACCCCCAAACACTCAAAACAGAATTCCCAATATGGCCATTTGTCTTCGGACCGAGCAATCGTCTGTGTATTGTATAGACTGACTGACTAAGTTTGGTTTTACACCGCTTTTAGCAATATTCCAGCAACATCACGGTGGGGACACCAGAAATGGGCTTCACACATTGTGCCCATGTGGGGGATTCGAACCCGGGTCTTCGGCGTGACGAGCCAACGCTTTAACCATTAGGCTACCCCACCGCCCCGTATTGTATAGAACAAGCCAAGGTGACCTGATGCTGAGTACTTGTGTACCAAAAGAAAACAACGTCTAAAATTATCATTTTTTACAACTGTCAGTTCATTTCACGACTTCTTTGCCCAGGATCGCGATGAGCTTATTCAACAAATTATATACTAGTGAGTGAGTGTGTTTAACTTTACGCCGCTTTCAGCAATATTCCAGCAATATCATACCTGTGAAGATCCGGGTTAGAATTGATCTTCAGTAACCCATGCTCGTCGTAAGACGCGACTAACGGGATCGGGTGGTCAGGCTCACTGGCTTGGTTGACACATGTCATCGGTTCCCAATTGCGCAGATCGATGCTCATGCTATTGATCACTGGACTTTCTGGTCCAGACTCGATTATTTACAGACCGCCGCCATATAGCTGGAATATTGCTGAGTGCGGCGTAAAACTAAACTCGTCTGAGACACGCAATACGTTGTGTAGACTTAATTTCTTTTGATCTACTTTGCTCCGAGTCTTTGTTGACACACCATGTCAATATGTAAGACTTGAGTTTGTTGTAGCTTCCTTGCAACAAATTGACACTCCATAATATTTAGGCATATTGTCCAAGGCGGCGAAAACAACCAATGACTCGTGTTCACATGACGTTTGTTCCTGGTTATAAGTGTCGTGTTACATGTGTTCATTGTAAACAGAAACCATAGCAGCAGTAAGGCGGACGTAGAGAGGCTTCGTATCAGGAGTTGGTCAAGGGATTCACAGCATCTGAAACAGGGGACAAATGAGTTATGCTAAATATATTTTATATAGACCTTGGAGTTTGTGCACACTAATATCTTCAATATGTACACACGCATGACAGTCAGAGGGTTGACCAATTTGCAAGACGGTCAGAAGGTTGACCAATCTGCATGACAGTCAGAGAGTTTACCAATTTGCATGACAGTCAGAGGGTTTATTATATTGCATGACAGTCAGAGGGTTTACCAATTTGCATGACAGGCGGAGGGTTTATCATGGCATGACAGTCAGAGGGTTGACCAATTTGCATGACAGGCGGAGGGTTTATCATATGGCATGACAGTCAGAGGGTTGACCAATTTGCATGACAGTCAGAGGGTTTATCATATTGCATGACAGTCAGAGGGTTTATCATATTGCATGACAGTCAGAGGGTTGACCAATTTGCATGACAGTCAGAGGGTTTATCATATTGCATGACAGTCAGAGGGTTTATCATTTTGCATGACAGTCAGAGGGTTTACCAAATTGCATGACAGTCAGAGGGTTTATCATATTGCATGACAGTCAGAGGGTTGACCAATTTGCATGACAGGCGGAGGGTTTATCATATTGCATGACAGTCAGAGGGTTTATCAAATTGCATGACAGTCAGAGGGTTTATCATATTGACAGTCAGAGGGTTTATCATATTACATGACAGTCAGAGGGTTTATCATTTTGCATGACAGTCAGAGGGTTTATCATATTGCATGACAGTCAGAGGGTTTATCATATGGCATGACAGTCAGGTGGTTTATCATATTGCATGACAGTCAGAGGGTTGACCAATTTGCATGACAGGCGGAGGGTTTATCATATGGCATGACAGTCAGAGGGTTGACCAATTTGCATGACAGGCGGAGGGTTTATGAAACTGCATGACAGTCAAATGGTCTATTATATTACATGACAGTCGGAGGAATGACCAGATTGCACAAACGAACCTGCATGATGAATATTTGCTGACAGGCCACCAACATGTTTGGTTAAGAAAAATGGCAGCATACTTCATCCGGGTATTCACACTCCATAGCGTGATCAACCCATCCAGTCTCCGCTTCACAATCCTCCTTGGTGTGGAACAAGCAGGTGAACGCCTCCCCTTCACATGCTGTTGGGCAATAACATAATGATAAATATACAAAATGAAACAAAGCGATAAAACACCAAATTTGAACTACATTATAGAAGACGTAAAGACAACATATTATGCTGAACGTTTTAACGCCTATTCAAATTGCAAATATGACAGCTTCACCAAATTTTGGTCACTATGTCACAATCTGTTCTGTTAACCTAGCGCTATATATAATGTACTGCTATTATATTTTCAAGTACCTATTCATTTCCACCTGAATGCACATTTGCCTGTAAATCAACTTTGTATATATTTGCGAATCGTGTTTATACCAACCCGTTATGTAATGAACTGTGTGACCTGGATTTAAAAAAAAAAATAACATAATGATGCATTCCCCACCAAACCAAAACGTTACATGTATTTCTGGTGACATAATTCGATGTATATGTTTGGTAGGATATAAAGTGCAATGATAATATATACACCGACCCATCAGTTCATAATTCACCAACGTACACAAGAGTTGATGACATCACAGACGAATGTGCTACGTCACAGGTACATACACATGTCAGTGTCAGTGTCCTCGCTTTAAAACAAATGTACCATCATTAAACAGACCCCAGAACGGATTACACCGTGCGTGGATAGGGCTACCCATATTTGATCGTGCCATGTTATCTCAGTGGACTAGCAATATGCTACAGGCTTTCGTCCAGCCTAGTGCACACACACACACGCACACGCACGCACGTACGTACGCACACACACACACACACACACACCACGGCACAACACGCGCGGTATGACACATAGATCACACACGGTAACACACACTCACAGAGATTACACACATGTCACACACACACACACACACGATTAATTAAAGTCCGTGTGAGCTGCAAACGGGACGCAAAAACGAACGATGCTTAAACATAACACTTTCCACAATCGATTCTTAGAGAAATGCCTTACCAGATTTGGTCGTAGTCGTAGGCGTTGTTGTTGTAGTAGTGGTCGTAGTTGTCGTGGGCTTAGTGGTTGTAGTTGTAGTAGTTGTTGTGGTAGGCGTGGTAGTAGTCGTAGTAGTAGTGGTAGTAGTTGTTGTAGTGGTCGTAGTCGTTGTAGGGATAGTAGTTGTAGTAGTTGTTGTGGTAGGCGTAGTAGTAGTAGTTGTTGTTGTGGTCGTAGTTGGTGGTCGTAGTTGGCGTAGTAGTAGTAGTGCTTGTAGTCGTTGTCGTTGGCTTAGTAGTGGTCGTTGTAGTTGTAGTTGGCGTAGTAGTTTGTAGTAGTTGGCGTTGGCGTGGTTGTGGTTGTGGTCGTAGTCGTTGTCGTAGGCTCAGTAGTGGTCGTTGTAGTTGTAGTTGGCGTGGTTGTGGTTGTGGTTGTGGTCGTAGTCGTTGTCGTAGGCTCAGTAGTGGTAGTGGTTGTTGTAGTTGGCGTAGTTGTGGTTGTGGTCGTAGTCGTTGTCGTAGGCTCAGTAGTGGTAGTGGTCGTTGTAGTTGGCGTAGTAGTGGTAGTTGTTGTAGTTGGCGTTGTTGTAGTTGTGGTCGTAGTTGTTGTAGTTGGCTCAGTAGTAGTTGTTGTGGTTGGCGTTGTTGTAGTTGTTGTGGTTGTAGTCGTTGTAGTTGGCCCTGAATATTCCAAACATATGAGATATTCAGTTATCTCTCACAAAGTCAGCTGAATACATGAGACTTCAGAATCAGTTATTCCCGTTTAATGTTACCATCGTTTACTTTGATCATTATCCGACTTCCCTATCACAGAGTCTTACCACCGCCTATCTTTACCATCTCAAACATTACTCGAATTTAAAATCTCAGACTTTTACCATTTCCCCTCTTAACTGTCTTGTTTTCCCATATTTTACCATTACACGACTTTGTTTTCCCATACTTTTTACAATTACCCGACTGTTTTCCAATACGTTTCCCATTACCCGACTTTGTTTTCCCATACTTTTTACAATTACCCGACTGTTTTCCAATACGTTTCCCATTACCCGACCTTTGTTTTCCCCATACTTTTACCCGTCTTTGTTTTCCCATACGTTTTACATTACACGACTTTGTTTTCTTTACTTTTACCATTACCCGACTTTGTTTTCCCATACTTTTACCATTACACGACTTTGTTTTCCATACTTTTACCATTACCCGACTTTCTTTCCCCATACTTTACCATAACACAACTTTCTTTTCCCATACTTTTTACAATTACACGACTTTGTTTTCCCATACTTTTACCAATTACACGACTTTGTTTTCCCATACTTTTACAATTACCCGACTCTGTTTTTCCCATACTTTTACAATTACCCGACTCTGTTTTCCCATACTTTTTAACCATTACCCGACTTTGTTTTCCCCATACTTTTACAATTACCCGACTCTGTTTTCCCATACTTTTTACAATTACAACTTTTTTTCCTCATACTTTTACAATTACCCGACTTGTTTTCCCATACGTTTCCCATTACACGACATTGTTTTCTCATACTTTTACCACTATCCGACTTTCTTTTCCCATACTTTTACAATTACCCGACTTTGTTTTCCCATAATTTTTACAATAACCCGACTTTGATTTCCCATACTTCTTACAATTACCCAATTCTGTTTTCCAATACTTTTTACAATTACCCGACTGAATTCCCATACATTTCCCATTACACGACTTTGTTTTCCCGTACGTTTCTCATTACACGATTTTGTTTTCTCATACTTTTACTTTTACCCGACTCTGTTTTCCCATACTTTTACCATTACACGACTCTGGTTTCCCATACTTTTACAATTACCCGACTTTGTTTTCCCATACTTTTACCATTACACGACTCTGGTTTCTCTTACTTTTACCATTACCCGACTTTCTTTTCCCATACTTTTACCATCACACGACTTTGATTTCCCATAATTTCACAATTACCTCACTCTGTTTTTCCCATAATTTTACCATTACACGACTCTGTTTTCCCATAATTTTTACAATTACCCGATTTTTTTCCCATACTTTTTACAATTACCCAACTTTGTTTTCCAATACTTTTTACAATTACCCGAGCCTGTTTTCCCATACCTTTTACAATTACCCGACCTTGTTTTCCCATACATTTTACAATTACAAGATTCCGTTTACTCTTACTTTTATAATTACATTACCTTGTTTTCCCATACTTTTTACAATTACCGGACTCTGTTTTGCCATACTTTTACAATTACCCAACTCTGTTTTTCCCATAATTTTACCATTACCTGATTCTGTTTTCCCATACTTTTTACAATTACCCGACTCTGTTTTCTCATACATTTCCCATTACAGCAATTTGTTTTCCTATACTTTTACAATTACCCGATTGTTTTCCCATACATTTCCCATTACACGACTTTGTTTTCTCTTACTTTTACAATTACCAGACTCTGTTTTCTCTTACTTTTACCATTACCCGACCTTGTTTTCCCATACTTTTTACAATTATCTGACTGTTTACTCATACTTTTACAATTACTCGACTCTGTTTTGCCATAACTTTACAATTACCCGACCCTTTCCCATACTTTTACCATTACACGATTCTGTTTTCCCCTAATTTTTACAATTACCCGACTTTGTTTTCCCATACTTTTACCATTACCCGACTTTGTTTTCCCATACTTTTTACAATTACCAGACTGTTTTCCCATACTTTTTACAATTACCCGACTTTGTTTTCCCATACTTTTCCCATTACACGATTTTGTTTTACCATACTTTTACAATAACCCGACTCTGTTTTCCCATACTGTTTACAATTACTGAGTTTATTTTCACATGCTCTTACCATTACACTTTTACCATTACACGTCTTCAATATCTCATTCTTTCATCATTACCAGTCTTCACTATGTCTTCACATGGGCAGTCTGAATAATTATTGCACATGGGGAGTTTTGAAAGTATATGATATTCCCTATTAAACGTTCAAACACACTGTTCGTTCTGGGTTCTCGAACCCAGGCACATTGTTTGACGAGCGAACGTTAAACCCACAAGAGTATCCCATCGCGCGCAAGCGTTCATTTGACTATGTAAATTCAGATGTAACATTAGCTTAACTTACGGGCTGTCGTTGTGGTCAAGCAGTAGAGCTTGCGAAGTTGACACAGCCAGTAACCGTTGTTGACGTTACCCCTTGACGACGTTATCCTAAATGAGCTATAAATGAACAAGTTCAAAAGTTTAATGAATAAGTTCAAACTTCGTACACAAACTCACGAATAATGTTTCCTTATAATCCTTTCATTATAATGGAACCCTTGGTTGAAGTTGTCTCTAATGAGACATCAAAGAAATTCGTGTATCTAATCATCCTTAAACAATTATAGGAATGTTTTGTTAATTGGCTGCCTTAACAGAACCAGACACAGTTGTTGGCGGTACCCTGCGACCTAGGTATCCTGAATGTGTATTGTTTAACGCCGCACCCAGCAACCTATTCCAGCTATATGGCGGCGGTCTGCAAATAATCGAGCCTCTACCAGAAGTGATCAACAGCATGAACACCGATCTACGCAATTGGGATACGATGACATGCGTCAACCAAGTCAGCGAGCCTGACCACCCGATCCCGTTAGTCGCCTCTTACGACATGCATGGGTTGCCAAAGACAAATTCTAACCCGGATCTTCACGGGTATTATCTAAATGAGCATCAAATATAACATGAGTTAATAAATTTAACACTTAATTATTCAAAGTTCGAACAAAATTTCAGGAAGAATTGACATATCTCTTTGAGGTTTGTTCCCTTGACAGAGCCAGAACCATTGAAGTACGTTATCCTAAATGAGCTGTACGTGTAATGTGAGTTAGTATTACAGCATTTAAAATTTGTTAAAAGTCATCCACAAACTAAGGACGACTATGTATTTGAGATTTCTTCCTTTGACAGAGCCAGAACCATTTTGGTGTATCTTTGAATGAAGTTATCCTGAATGAATCCTGGCTGTAAGTGAAATGTGAGTAAGTAATAAAGCATTTGATAATTGTTAAAAGTTCAAGCACAAACTATGGAAGACCATTCTCCTCCCACAGAGGTTACTTGTCATATCTTACTAAGAAAGACCAGGAAGATATGACAAGTAACCTCTGTGGGAAGAGAATGAAAAATATCTAGTCTTGCCTAATCTCAGAAACAAATTCATTTTGGTGTAAAGGGGAAATCAGCTGTGAAAAATCATATGCATGAATAACTCAAAACCCTTTCCAGATCCATATGTACTAAACGTGATGGCGTGTGATCCTCTGCGTAGAGCTCAGAACACAAGTCAGTTAAAGTTATGCAACGTTGGGCGCGGAGAGTAGTTGGATGGGTGACCGTGTTTGGCAGCTCTATTCTTGAGAATTTGTGAGACTTCAGTCCTGCCCCACAACGAAGCACATGTGATACATGTGGTGTCACCTTAGGCAAGCTAGTTTCTTAAAAAATGCCTCTGTTCACCCAGCAGAAAATGGGTACCCGGTGGGATAAGCCATGTGACCTTCTAGCACCTCACACGCAGCTTGGGTTATCCGGGGTAAACATAATCAGATTGTATGTTAGCGCTTTGAACCTGCCCCTCCGTAGTGCGGAATTCCGCGCATTACAAATGCCATTAAAAAAAGAGTGGATAGTACAGTTTCCACTATATGTGTTTATGAATCACTATCACGTAGTGATGAAAGGAGGCGAGCGTACCCTGCCCTACTACTGGCACCAGTCACAAACATGTATAAAACACTTCCCCATGAAAACAAAATCCAGTGACGTCGAGCTTGACACAACAACAGCTTGTGCTGCCTTGTGTTCTTGGGTTAAGTCTGATAGATCGACTGACTCTATGCCCGATTCATTTGGACAAACAACGATGTGGAAGCCACTTGACATGAAGTCTTGTGATCCTGACAAGGGCTGTATCTTCCTGGGAATTGTCACTCGATGTTTTATGGCCAATCGGCTGGTAGTCGATGGATGACCACCATCATTTCTTGTACAGTCTGTTTGGGTCAAAATGATACCGATGAATCTCAATCTAACTTCATGATCAAACATTCATTTTCGACGCAGAATGAAATGAAAACATCAGACCAGCTCTGAAAAAAGGATTCATAAGGTTTGCCTCCAAAATGAAAAAGTCACTTAAACGATCACCATAAACTCTGAAAATAATGGGCTTGATGTCAGAGATGAATTTGATAGTCTCATGTACCGTGCCAATAACTCGATTGGCTTTGCTTGATGTCACGTCACAATTGCACGTGCTTTCCGCCATTGAGGCTGTTCCTGCAACTGTTACTTTACCCTCTTAAACCTCCCACGGAAAATCAAAACAAAATGATGATAGTTTGTGAAGTAATTTTTTTTCATTTTGTAGACAAAAATATGAATCCTTTTTCTAGAGTTGGTCTCATGTTTCCATTACATTCTGCGTTGAAATGAATGTTTGATCATGAACCGATTCGGAGTTAGATTGTCATTTATCGGTATCCTTTTGACCCAAACAGACTTATAATAGCCCCCAATGACACTTGACATTTGCTTTATGACGGGTACGGGAATTGCACGTGATTGTCGCCTTTGATATGGTGTACCCCAAGGGTAAAAATATTAATACAAACGAACATAATTATGATTTGAATATAAATGGCAGTATGGTGGTAAAATCATAGGTGTTGCGATACTTTTCCCCATGTGTATATGTGTGAACGTCATCAAGTTCATGACGTCATAGCATTGTCAGGGCATTGTACAAAATCTACTGTCAAAACGATATCTCCAAGGAGATCATAGGTGTTGCGGTACTATTGTCCATTATAAGTTGTTCACTGGTCACGAGGGGGGCATGGGTTGATGAACCTTCGATGTTTGTTTATGTTCCGTGAGCCCGAAATATCGAGGGTACATCAACCCATGGGCCCCTAGGGACCAGTGAACAACGTATTTATCTTACCGAACACCTTAATGTTAATTTTGAATTGTTTGAAGCACGGGTACAAATCTTTTTGTAGCCATCGCTAGACTTTGCGGACAAGAAAAACAGATTTAGAGTTATCTCCCTTACATCGATTATGCATTCGCAAAACATCGGTAATTTCCGTACATCATACGTCATTCAGTGTTATTCGAGATAAAGAATTACTACCACGAAGCACCAAATGAGTTGCCACTGACAGCGGGGTACATTGAAATGTTACTCGCTTGTAAGCGGGGTACATTGAAAATAATAGAAGAGCGCTCAGCCAATCAGAAAGCGACATTTATGTGTGAGGTAAGATAATGGGTTATGTGAACGTCATATGAATGGATAACTGAAAATCGGTGATGACAGCAGGTGTTCACGAGAGTGTCAGCATATGTCCCACTATACCGGTAGCAATTACCATTCATGCAATCTGAATAAATAAAGTAAGCAGTTCTCGCCTGACGCCACAACATGGTACTCCTGCCATGCGACGGAGCAAACCAGACAATCAAGTGATCGATGGGCCTGTTGATACAACTGTTATCGACTTCAGCCGTGATAAGATTCCTGAATCCCAGGCAGGATTTAGAAAGGGATATTCTACCACTGATCATATATTTACTCTGTATGCACTAGTCCAAAATCACTATCAAAAGAAAACATAAGTTGTACATAGCATTTGTAGATTTTAAAAGGCATTCGACTCAGTCAATCGTTTTAAATTATGGCAGTGTTTACGCAAGGCAGGTTTACGAGGGAAAATGGTTAGCATTCTCAAATCAATGTAGTCTAACGTTCGATCTTGTGTGCGTTGCAAAGACGGGGTTACAGATTTTTTCGATTGCCCACTTGGTTTAAGACAAGGTTGCTGCTTAAGTCCACTCCTATTTTCCTTCTTCATTAGTGAGTTATATCACGATATCAATTTAGCTGGAAAACATGGAATCCAAATGTACCCAGATCTTGTAGAAGTCCTAATGCTCCTTTTTGCTGACGACGTTATTTTAGTTTCGGATACTGTGGTCGGTTTACAAAATCAATTAAATATCTTAGAAAGTTATACTAAAGAATGGAAGTTAACAGTAAATTTAAGCAAAACAGAAATTGTGATATTTAGGAGGGGGCGGTCCTGTGGCACAAACGAACGCTGGTTTTTTTATGGTCAGTTGATTAATGTATCAGATCAATATTCTTACTTAGGGTTTTTGTTTGCAAACAGAATGAACTTGAATAAATGTGCACATAACTTAACTTTACGTGGAAAAAAGGCTTAAATACAAGTTTTATCGGTTTTATACAAAGTTGGAACTATGTCACCCAATGTGTTTTTTAAGATATTTAATTCTCAGATTCAACCCATTTTATTATATGGATCTGAAATGTGGGGTTTTCAGCGTTTTGATTGTATTGAGAGAGTGCATCTTTTAGCCTGTAAAAAGTACCTCAATGTAAGCTCAAAGACACCTAACTGCATGGTATATGGCGAATGTGGCAGATTTCCTTTGTATATCAATTCTCACATAAGATGTTTAAAATATTGGTTTAAGGTTCTAAATATGCACGAACAACGTCTGCCAAAATTAGCTTACAATATGCTTTTAAATCTGGATAATTTGGGAAAACACACTTGGGTAACTGATATCAGAAATTTATTATTTTCTCACGGTTTCGGTTTCGTATGGTTGAGCCAAACAATTGGCGATGTGAACTGGTTTATTAATGAATTTCGTGTTAGATCAATAGATATGTTCAATCAAGAATGGAAATCCACCCTAGATTCAAGCTCACGATATGAATATTACAGGACCTTTAAAACGTTACTCCAGCCAGAAAAATACTTATCAATAATTACAACATATAGTTTAAGAACAATGTTCGTAAAGTATCGTTTAGGTTTGTTATCTTTAATGATTATTGAGGGTAGAAAAAACCTCTGTCCAGAAAGAACGTCGATATTGTCCTTTATGTAACGTTGGAATAGAAAATGAAATTCATTTTACCCTGATATGTCCTTGTTATCACGAATTAAGACAGAAATATATACCGCACCATCTTCTTGCAAAGCAGCCCCATTATGCATATATATCTTTGTTACAAACCAATAATGAAAATATTCTTGCTCAATTGTCCTTATACATAAAGTATGCATTAGCTAAAAGAGATCTTCTTATAAAGCGAATTGTATACCCTTAAATATGTATGTAAATATCCAGAA